GGCCAGACGACGACATTGTCTCATTCGCTTACGAAATCTGTCGATCTATTAGCGCGCATTATCGTTATCATAGCAGAGTCAGAGGTATATAAATCGTATGAAACAATCAAGTAAGAAGAAAAAATAGTTATCTTATCCAACAAATATAATTATAATAAAATAAACAAAGTTAAAGGCTCCTCTAAATTAACAAATCAAAATTAATATCGAAAAGCAGTTAAGAGCCAACGCAGTTGTAGGACGTGGATAAAATAATTTTCAAAACAGCAACTAAATTTTAACGATCCATTCGCTTTATTCCAAACGTTTCGGACTCGATTCGAGCCTTCTTCAGTGATTAAGCATGCATGGTCTATAGAAGTGACGCGACTTCGTCAAGGTTGATCCATCCGAGAAAGCACGATGCAAAAAGCCCTCTCAACGGTACAAAGCGCGAAGAGCGATGCATCGGACAAGAGAATGCTAACATTCGATTGTTAGCGTGTCGATTATTTCGTGTCGTTTCTGCTGGTCTGTCTCTTGTCCGATGCATCGCTCTTCGCGCTTTGTACCGTTGAGAGGGCTTTTTGCTTTCTCGGATGGATCAGCCTTGACGAAGTCGCGTCACTTCTATAGACCATGCATGCTTAATCACTGAAGAAGGCTCGAATCGAGTCCGAAACGTTTGGAATAAAGCGAATGGATCGTTAAAATTTAGTTGCTGTTTTGGAAATTATTTTATCCACGCCCTACAACTGCGTTGGCTCTTAACTGCCTTTCGATATTAATTTTGATTTGTTAAATATAATTATATTAAATACAAATTGAAAATCCCACTATGTCTCATTAAAGTTAGAATTGAATTTACAGCTTTTGAATCATAAAATTACTATAATAATAACATAATGAATATAATATCGTAATAAAAATAATTTTATTGTCTTTTTAATAAAGTTTACAATGTAACTATTATTATATATTATTATAGTTTCCCTTGAAAGGTAGAAAAAGTATTAGCAAAATAACATAAAACACGTTCTTATCATCATTGAATTTTTTCTTATAGTATTTTCGAATTTGCAGGTATCAATACTCTTCATTATACGGCGGACCTCGGAGATATGAGCAAGAATCCTGAAGAAAAATGTTTCTGCCCGACACCGGATACTTGTCTAACGAGAAATCTCTATGATTTGTCGAAGTGTATAGGTGCACCTATCATTGGATCGCCTCCACACTTTTACAATTGCGAGCCAAATTGGTTGGATTTGGTGGATGGTTTGCATCCGACTCAGGTACACTCGACAAAAGTTAAAAATATATAGATATCGATCATAAATAAATATAAGAAGAAAATACAAATATGATATATATCATTGAAAGAAACATTACATAAATAAATATGATGAGAAATATATAATCACTGTGATTAAATCATTTTCATTGATAGGAGGATCATGAAATAGAAATGGATTTCGAACCGATGACAGCTGTGCCGCTACGCGCGCATATGCGATTTCAGTTCAACATGTTCGTACAACCGATTCCGAAGTTCAAATTGATGAAAAATTTCCCAGAGGCATTGTTGCCGCTATTTTGGTTGGAAGAAGGAATATTACTCCCTGACGAATATGTTAATAAGATCAAGATGGTGTTCAAGTTGACAGCAGTTGTCAAGTGAGCCTACGACAATATTTCTCGAATAATTATATTTTGATGGATAACTAGTACTTTTGCTTAGTTATATAATCTAATCAATTTTGTCAGCAACATAATTGCAAATATATATTTTATTTTATTGGTAAATTTGAAGAAAATTAAAGAGAAATTTTCTTTAATTTTTTTCAAATTTACCAATAAAATAAAATAAATCAAACATTAATTTGAAATTTTGATTTGCAGTTTTCTGAAATACGTGATGGTATTTGGCGGGATAGGCATGTGCATTGCAGCCGGTGGGTTGTATTACAAGAATCGCAAAGAAAATAGTGGCAAGTTAGATATCATGAAGGTCATACCGAAAAGCGGCAATATAGAAAAAAGTTGGCCTACCATGAAGATCAGTACGATACACGTACGTGGCGACGGTGCCTACTAATCTTGACAAAAATTGAACACTATTAACGAAAGGCTAATCTCAATTTTAACATCGAGAAAGAAATCCCTTCACAGCTCTAAATATTTTTTTAATTAGAATTATTTTTAAAATATATAATAAGAGGTGTTACGTCCGGTGGACTTCACGATTCTGTTTTTTCATCGAAACGTTTCTTAGAAGTAATCAACGATTGGGTTGAATTTAAAATAAGGAAAACCCAACTCGGTTAAACAAGCAGAGTGGCCAGTCGAGATAGCGCTAGAAAAATTTAAATAAAATTTTAATTTACGACCCTCGGAAATATAAGAAATTCAATCCACGCGTATCAATGGGTCGTCTCAGAAACTTTGAACTAAGAGCCTTGGTCATCGGGAAATTGACCAAAAGGTAAATACGAGCAGAGCCATAAAATTAATATCGCACGTGCGCTGGATCAATAGGCCATTCTCAATCAAATCGTAGGAGATAAGGAAATCAGATCGCTCCCACTCTCTACTGGATGGTGAAGCCAAACCTTAAGAAAAAGGGCTTAACCAATTAGAGGTCTAAGACACCCTTTCTTCCTAAAAATCTAACTCCTTGGGCCTAAGAAGGGAGTAATAGAAATCATTTGATTCGATTTTCAAAGATTCCCACCATCCAGTAAGGAGGAGGAGCAACTACTTTAAAAAATGCAAGCGCAAGGCGCGAGCTCACTTGTTCTCTAATTCATTAGTTCATTAGTTCTCTAGTTCATTGGTTCACTTGCTATTTAGTTCACTAAGCGTTCAATAAGAAGCACTAACTAGGACTATAATCAGTACAGTTGACAGCTCCAGTCAAGATTCAGCCATTCAATTTTAAAATTATATAGCCTCGGGGATCCTTTTCTTGCATTATGCAATTAAGTTATTAATTTGTTTTATATCACAGTGAAAATGATTTTGTTAACATTTAATTGTGCATCATGTGAAATTTCTGATGAGCATCTCCACTACTCGGCTCTTCATGTTATAAACCTCCGACTTCAGCCATTGTAATTTTATCAACGCACTTATTTTTGTGATTCCAACGAGTTGTGAGTAAATTTGAGCAACTATTATTTTCTCCCTTTTCCATATCTTACTATCTCATAATTTAAACATCTATGTCTAACAAATAATTTTAAACAGTTTAATAATCATTAAATCTTTACTAATTACTATCATTCAATCAATCCTTGTTTCACCTCTCCTCCAGCCTTATTCCTAGTTCTTTCTAATTCGCCTAGAATCCGCAAGGCGGTTCGCGAATAATTTACCTGTTCGTCGAGAATCTCCGCAAGGCGATTCACAAACAATTCCCCGTTCGTTGAGAATCTCCGCAAGGCGGTTTGCGAACGATTCCTTAATTTTCATTTCCTTTTAATTGCCTTTTATGATTTATTTATCAACAAATCGTATTGTTTTCTATCTTTATTTTTCGTTTAAGCTCTTCTTTATATATATTTAACTCTTCATTTCTATTTTTCTTTACTCTCTTTCATTTTCTTTTAATTTCCCATTCCTTGCATTATTATTATTATTTTTCCTTTTTTTTCCTTTCTTCCCCTTTATATTATTTCCTATGTATTATCACTACTTTGGGAGAAATCATTGACATAGATGAATAATTTTCAAACTTAGACTTGGCGAATCGTTTATCATAATTTTATTATTGTATTTTAAATTGGACCTGTGTTTCGCCGAATTTAGAAAATTTTAATTTTAATTATAACATACTCGAGAATATATACATACACGCACACATACTCATGCATAACTATAACTGCTAAGATATATTTTTCTTTCCTTATATTTTTTTATATAATATATGTATTTTTTAATTTAATGTAGAATTTAATTATTTAACCCGTTCTCTTCCCTAAATCCTGAGATCGCACTAGGTCCTATCCCGCGTAACAAGGATTAGATTCCTTTATCGAAAAGGGACCACCGAACGAATAGGCAAAACGTAGAGTTAAAGAGACCTTCGGTCGCTGACCTGTATCAGGCCCTTCGTTCGACCCGATCCATACACACGCCCGAATAAAGTGTGTCACGGGGTAAGTAAGTTACGTTCTTCCATACAGCCCATTCTTTCAGGGTCCGGACGTAACAGAGGTATAAATGAATAGGCTTTCTTAAAAGACGATCGATAAAAAGTTATTAGAGCTGATATAGGGAGAAATAGAGAATTTAATCTCCATTAAAATAATAAGAGGATTGAATATTGCAACGTTAGATGTAATATTTTGATGATGTGATTAGGAAGGTTGGAAAAGCATATATTATTCTAAAACTAATTGCTTAACCATCTATTAAATGATAGATAAATAATAAAGTTTTTAAAGAAAATTGAACTTAAGTGAATAAGGATCGTATAGATAAGGTTTATTTCTTATATGTAACATATTTAAAATTAATTATTTAACTACCTCGTTGTAAAAATATTAAATATCTATAAATATTTCAATAATGCACTTGTATGTATAATATAAATTAACAATTCTTAATTTATGCTTCGCGGTTCTTGCTCAAGAAAAATATTAATTATTTAACATATTGAGAAATATATAATGTTAAAATTTTTTTAAAATTTTTCGCAATTTATAATTTTTTCTTAACAGTGATTTAATACTATTCAGCAAAGATCTGCAAAAATCATAAGGCTAAGTACTGTTGACAAGAATTATACAAAAAATTATAAACATCTTTAATGTAAAAAGATCATTTAAATTTAGAATTTAATTATATTTTTTAGTTAGTATATTCGATAATATCGAAATAATATTAATGACAATCTTATAACCATATGTAAAGCGAATAAAAATTGCGAGAAGAGAGACGCTATCAATCAATAAATTGTATGTAATTTATATATTAAAATCAATAAAGTTATTTTTATTGATTTAATTATGTTAGAAATCTTTAAAATTAGAAATCTTTAGAATTATGTTTAGAAATCTACGTTAATCGTTTTAATAATAAGTTGATAATTTTAACTAAAGAGCGATTAGTTAGCCTCTAAGATGGTATTACTTCATAATTATAAAACACAATGTTGAGCGCCAACAATCTAAAGTTCCTCAATCATTGTGATCATATAGATAATACGACAGATATAAATTATATATCAGCGCCAACAATTTAAGATTTCTTAATCATTGATCACATAAATATAGATAATATAACAGACTAAATCATATACCTATTATATTTATATTATATCATTTATCTATTATATTTAGCATATTATATATGTAATTAATCATTTACGAGTTCAACTGAGCATCAGCAAACTCGGCAATCTCCTTTTACTCGTCTTCTGCTCACCCTTACACAGCAACACATATTTATACGCGCTTCTGTACTCAGAACTCATCACGACGTAGATGACGGGATTGATGCAGGTCGTCAAGTAGATGAGTATATAACTGGCAATGTTGAGGCCTCGCCAAGCGATTGCGCTATGAAATAGCTTTGTGATGGTGATCGGCAGGTAACATATCAGGAATGACGCGAATATCACGAGAATCATCTGCAACAGCTTCCGATCCTTGGCGGACATCCTAGGTGCGAAAACGAATTCACCGTTGCGCATCCTGCCAACGCTTTTGAACTTTGATTCCCTGCGAAACGTCTTCTTCACGGGCGAGTGCGATCTCGAATCCACGAGGATTTCTGGCAGATCCGAAGGATCGCCACCGGCGAATCGCTGCAGCGAAGACTCTACCATGAAGGACGCTCGGCTGGTCAATCTCTCCAATCGCCCGCAAGAGTTTCTCGGCGATTTTCGCTGCAATTCGTTCTGATTTTTATTCAGAAACAGTTTCATCTCCATGAAATTTGATTCTTCGCGATCGTCCACGAACGATATGTCTTCCGATGCACTAACGTGAAGAGCATTATAGTCGTTGTTAGAGTTTGGATCAAGACTGATTACCGTCGTTGGATTGTCTACATGTTTTTGTGTGCAATCTGTTTTTTGTTGATCGTGGATCGACTGCTTCGAACATGATGAATCTTCGTTAATGAGAGTCGATGGCTCCATTTCCTTGTCTGGAGTGAGAAAATTTGATCGCATTGATAAGATAGGATCAAACACAAATAATTCTTGCTCTTGATTCTTCATGGATATAGATTGATGCTGCAAAATAATGATTATGATCAAAAACGGAATTTAAGCTTCAGAGTGTGATTTATAAAGTACCAAACTATATTTTAATAAATTAATAATAAATAATTATTTATTTAATAAATTAAATAAGTAAGTAATTTTTAGAACAAAAGAGAGGGGACATTCAAAGAATAAATCTAAATTTATTTAGTTTTAAATTCAATAGAGAGGGATATATGTTTCGATTAATATTTCATTAATAATCAATTACTTAAAAAATTTCTGAATACATATATAATTAATTTTTTATGTTAACATTAAATCTTCTTACATAAATAATTAGATCTTACATCATGACTGGTTTCCATAGGTTCCACATTGATCTTGTCTCTACCTCTGCTTTTTGAGGCAGTTTCGCGAACAATATAAAATATCCTGGCGTAACAAATGATAATAGCGAAGCAGGGTATTAAAAATGCAAGAAAGAAGAGAAATTCCTTCGGACTCCGTCCGTTTACATCCGGCAGGATGGAGCAGGATCCGATAGCAGGATTCAAACCAAAACGTCCGAATTGCTCGAACCACGTGACAATCAGCAGACCGAAAGCGACGATCCATATCATCAAAACCATCGGTATTAAATATTTCGTTTTATATAATCTAAAAATAATATTTGACCAAAAAAGAATGAAAAATTTGGTAATATATTCTTTAATTTTATTTATTTATCAATTTTTATGCAATAATAATTTAAATGTAGTGTTTCAAATAAATATCTAAAATAATTATAAAAAATTTAATTTTATCTAGAGCAACAGGAGAGGAAAGGGGCTACTTACGAAGGGTAAAGACCGGGATGGCCGATCATGATGTAGCGATTGATCGTGATTGCGAGAACGCTGAAGAGGCTGACTGCAACGAGGCCGTATCTCAAGAGCGGAAACAACCGACAGAGAAGTGGTCCGTATAACCACGAACTGTGCCAGAATGTGGAAGTTGCAAGCGGCAGATTGAAGCAGCAGAACATCAAATCTGATATTGAGAGGTTCATGATGAAGACTGCGGTAGCGTTCTTCAGCTGCAATTATTATAAAATAATTATATAAAAAATTAGAATAGAATAAAATTATAAAATCATTTTCACATACACATATTTATATCATTTAACAGATCTATTAATCATGTTCAAAATGTATCTATAAATTATGTTAAAAATTATTTGTTATCGATTATAATTTAAGTGCATTTATTGATATACAAATAATATAAAGAGGTGAAAATTAATTTGTTTGCTAGTTTGCCAAATAAACCTTCGAAATTCGATGGAGCAAACACGATAAAATTAATAGAGACTTCCTGATTTAATTCTAGCTAGTCGATTATATTACATCGAAGTACGTGAACCTTACTGCAAACACACGATTGTATATGCACGCAGTTCCGCGTAATCTATTCCAAATTTAGCTCATTGATGGTTGACTTTGCTGCGAGGGCTCGTTTGTTATAGAATTGTGCCGACGACCTGCGTTCATCGGCTTGTGTCACATCTTCAATTATTCGCCAGAAACAAAACATTGAATTTTATTGCATAATAAAGTAAATATTTCTTATAATTCGAAATAATACTTTTCCGGAATCAAAGCACTAAAATTTATTTAGTATTGTTATAAAAATACAACTATTTACATATCTTACTTATAAGTATAATATATATTATAAAATTAAAAAAATATAATATTAGAAATATTTTATAGAATATTAACTTTGAATAAAAGTGATTTAATTAAGATTTAATATGATTGATTATTATTAATTTAAAAATTGTACTATAATGTAACATACAAAATATATGAAATAATATAAAATGTATCTCTTAAAAAAATCAAGCACGTTCAATTGAAAAATATTCTGTCCAAATTTAACGTTCTTACTCATTGTTACTTTAAGACAATGTTTCATAGAACGTAAGAAGTAATGAGTTAAATTACTCGAACTGCTTTTAAGATTTCTGCGCGTAAGCAGTACCGGAAACTCGAATAACTGCACGTCTTAAGCGCAATACGAATTCATTATGGTATATTTTAAGTTCCTTTTCATATATTAGTCACGAAAATCACGAGTAGCGAAAAATAGTTTTTACAGATTTTGTATAAAAACATAATAGAGATTTTTTTTTTATAAAAAATATAATAGAGAGTATATCTTATATAAATTTTTCAGAATATCTTCTAAAATGTCAATCAACTTGTATTATTTTTCTATCAGAATTATCTTGATACCAACATTAAAAGTTATATTGATTAATCAATCAATTTTCAATTTGAATCGCTTTTAGAAGTTTCTTTTTTAACATTATCCTATTATTATCACATGTTAATATTATAGCTATAATTACAGACCTTTTTGGTGCGAAACAGTGCGATCACCGTGATGAGATTTCCCGGGATGCCGATTATCATGAAGAGAATACAACAGGTGGCAGCGAAGTACAACAGCCATCGTGGATAGCCGACGAAGAGAATCACCGATCCTGGATCCTGCAGTACTTCTTCGATCGCCACATCGTCGCTGCCATTGCGTCCAGTTTCGTTGTTCGCCATCCACAAGTACTCCAGCATCTGAAAGAAAGCGAACTCTCGCCAAGCACGTCTGGATATCAGGGCCGTAAATAGAATCATGACCATTTCTATTTCACAATTTATGAAAAAATGATCTCGATAATATAATATCGAGATGTTTCATATAGATTTCTATTCCATCTATTTTACAAATCTAAAAGATGACATTTCTTCATTATATGATCGAAAATTGTTGTAGTATGATTAAACCATTTTTGTAAAAATCAAGTCATGCAAATTATTCGCTTAATTACAACATATACGTATTTTTGAAAAGATTTGACATTTGATTGTTGATTAAAGATATATGCGCATGATTTATTTTGTTTCATACATATATATTTAGGCTTTCTCTCTTAATTTCTCTTCGCGTTCAGAACCCGTTTAACGCTGATACGTGCATTTTGCCATCTTGGAGGCGCGAATTTTACGTACAAACGATCTACGTCACTTGTGCACGTGTTGGAGCCGTCTCCTTTTTCTTTCGACGGCGAATGGAGCATCAAAGAGAGAAACTGAGAGATCTATTTTCGCTACCCGAGACGATAAACTCTCTCTTCTGTGCGTAACTTTCAGGCATTTTTCGAATTCATAAATTCGAATTCATAAATTCGCGGATCATCAACAGTCATCTGATATATCAGTCTTCAGCGAAAATTGTCAACGCGCAATAGATTAGCATTTGCATGCAAATTAGGTTTGTACTAAAACATCTGCGAATATATATAAAAATATCATAAAATACATAACAAAATATAAAAAATGGCAATTTTATTTACATTTCTGATTCATCAGTGATAATCAATGAAGGGCTTCAAAATTTTTCCTTGTTGTCTTCGACATCGATATAATATTATTCATATATTTCTAGTAGTCTTTCATATAGTCATTTCATATAGTCTTCTTCTTTTCGTCGATTCTCATCTTGGCCTTGGCATTGTAGAGTTACCATCTTCTTTTTCTGGAACAACTTTTTCTATAAACTTCGCCTGCATCACTTTATTGCAATGTTTCGAAATGCAATAGATTCGGAATAGCGAAAATTTAACGAGGAGAAATTATTATGATAATAATTATTCAAATTTATTTTTTAAAATCTATGAAAACACAAAATAAAATTGTATGTCGGAGTGAAACAAAAATGAAGCGCGTATGGCAAAATTCGCGAATATACTGACAGAATTATTAACAAGATTCGTGTACAAGAGTATGCACTTTTCACTGAAGCCGCGTCTGCGCCAAATTCGAGACTCCTCGCAATATCGGGGAAGTTTCTTCTTGCAGGTCGATTCAGTTGTTATCTAAATTTGGGAGAAGATTAGTTTAAAGTGACACCGGGATTTCTAATCTCGTTATCTATTTCCATTATTATATTAATCATGAAACATACATCACTTCAATAAATTGATTTAATACAAATACCTTCAAACAAACTGGGATTTTTATTTTCTTTCCTGCATTATATTTCCAATCGTTTCAATTAAGAATAAATATTTATCTAAGTAAAAGATATGTTATCATAGTAGAGATAAAAAAATCTCATTTCTAAAACATGATAAAAAAATCTCTTTTTTTCTTATCACGTTTCACAAAACCAAAGGGATACCAAATGAGGGCATCGATCATGAGTTCTATTATAAACAATTTATAGCTCGTCGCTCCCAACAATATGATAGCGAAAATATTAAATGGGGCCAACCAGCCCCATGTCGTCCCCATCGTCGATATATATATTCGCACTTATGGTCTACTAGATAGAGCACCTACGTGTCTGATCGGAGCGTACCGTCCCCTGGAAACTGCGACGCACGCGTGTGTCCCTACATCCTTTTTAAAAATAATTGCATTTTGTTAGTAGTAGTCACTCGACGCGAGGGGAAAGAATCTCCAGCTGTGTATGAGCGGAAGCGGACGAGTCGGAAGTGCGTTTCTCCAGTTCGCTGTCTGTCCGAATTTAGGAAATGTCGATGTCTCTTACAATTGCTTGCATCTAGAGAAGACTAGAAAAATATTATAACAAAAATAAATATTGCAAGAGTAATTAATTATTTTCTTAATCTATTCAAATTTAAATTAAATGCAATTCGTAAAAAGTATTTGTTACCTTAAGAATCTCATAATTAGTATTAAAAAACCATACGCGATTTATAAATATTTTACATGATGTGAAAAATTAATTAATTAAATAATATTTGCAAAGAATGCCTCGTTATTTTTTATCTTATATTATTATTATTTATTATTATTTTTTACCATTATTTTTTACCAATAGATTCTCTAAATAATTTTTAAAATTAATGTTTTCTGCGAAATACTTCTCTTTGGCTACTAATTAATTGAAAATTAAGGCTTTTTATTTTTTATTTTTATAAATTGACAATTTTTTAATCTGAATACCTAGTTATCATATGACTATTGATCTTTTCTATTTTACACCTAGCATATCTGTGGCATGCCGGAAGAGCATCCGGCAAATCTAGGACAAAGTGCATATATAATCATATATTACTAATATTATATACAAGTTAACTAATATTAATTTGACCGGAATAGATCCATTGTGCTCGTAATGTCGATATTCCAGATACAATGTAGCGTGTTTAAAAAATAAATTGAAAGGGCAAGAGATTCGAAAAGACCGTGTTAATTTCAAACAATCGTAGGCGACTGAATGCGGGTCATCTCTGTGTGAATCCAGCGAGACGTTCGATTTAGTCATTCCAATTAATGCGGCCGGTCGGTTTCACTTTGTTAAGTCTAATTCACTCTTGCCATGTCTTCAGTTGCTTAAGTAATAAATATCATGTACGTCCGCGGTATTAAGAGCGACAATCTTATCGGCTTGCGGTCGCTGTGAATTTGCCAAATACAAGAATTCGTCTGCATTCGTGATTTCCCTCTGTTTATTAATCGTGATAAGTTAATTTTTAACAATATATGTCAAATATAAAATACTTTGTCTTCTGTCTAATTACCTGTAATTAATAATATTTCTTTTACAAGGACGCTTTTAATTAAAATTCCAAAATAGAAGCCATTTATAGATTAAAAAGAATTATTTTATCTTGAAATATTTTGAACTATCTATTTGAAAAACAAATAAAACTAAGACCTATAATAAATTTGTTTATCTTTTAGAATTTGGATATGTTCTATATATTCGACAAATATTTTAAATACAAATGAACGATGGCGATCAAGATTGCTTGCAATATACAAATACATCGCTCTTGTCCCAATTACGCAACACGAACAAAAAGAACGTGACATATGGCAATTGCAGCACATTCCGCGCAATTGAAAAAGGTACAGTACGGTGTGTCACAGCGAAAGGGTCAACTGGGTCCCCGGATCCTGGGTACAGATGTGCTCTCGCCCGCATCTCTCTTTCTTTTTCCAGCTCTTTCACCTCCTTCTCCTGTGGCCGCCTACCCGTGGGGCCCGTATCTAGCGTGTGTACAATCTGACGGAATGCTGGGTAAGCAACAGTCTACCCACGGTGACGTTGACGCAAACGCGGTGCCCGCCACACGGTCTGCGTCAGTGGTCCCCGAGTCATATTCTCCGGTCCCCGGAGAATCGATCGCGCGCAGTCGAGATCGCGAGTCGCCGCGAAAAAATGCGAAACGATAAGTGTCATTAAATAGAAAAATTTTAATATAGAAAAAATTAAAATAAGATCCCCAAAGAAACAGTATGATTGCAAATCGAAGAAGCAAACGGTCGAAGTCGCGAACAGTTACAAGGAAATCGTAATCGTTCGGTAAATGTTACGGAATTTACAATAAAAATAAGATTTTAAAAGTTTCAAGTAATATTTAATTAAAATAAGTGAATTTTTGTGCGAATGATAACAAGTGTGAATAAATCATTTCGTGATCGGCGAAAATCGACGGCTTTTTCAAAGACGTTAAATCATCTTTTTGCAAAAGAAAGATATGATAGATGAATTCTATAGAATTCAATCATACTTGGTGAAGTTAAATTATAATAAAATTGGAATAAAATATATATAGTTAAAAAGAAGAAAGAAAATCATTTAATGACAAGAGATATTAAAGAGATATTTAATAAATGTTCTAGTCATTAGATTATCAATACACAAAATTTTATACGCAGCAAGTGAAATGCATGTTTAATAATTAGACGATCGATAAGAATTATCGAACTTTCTTCTTCCAAAGAAACACCGCTTAAATAATTGTCATACTGACACATCGTAAAGCGATTTCGATCATTTATGGTGAAGACATACGCAAGGACGGATCGAAGCAGAAGGACACATTGAGAATTCTTACATTCTTCGGTCATATTCTTTAGTGAACAAAGGTCTTTCCGCCTCTTCGTTATCTATCTTGTTGATGGACTTATGACTGGTTTAAAGTAACAATCGACGAGCGGTAAGTGACAATTATTATTCTTTTATTCTCCTTCTTTTAATATTTTTCTTCTTTAGCTCTTAATGAATTAATTTAATTTTATGAAACAAGAGCAATTTCTATAGAATTTAATTGGCTAAAGTCTTCTTTCCTTTAAAAAAGAAATAAAAGCCATGTAAGAAATAATTCAGATATTTGAAACCGTGTGAAAAAATATTTAAATATTTGAAAAATTGATTCTCTTAAAAATTGTCATTGTATCTTTCGCTCGTGTGAATTCAGTCGATGTCAAGTTAGTCTGCTAGATTGCGAGGGACCAACACCGAGAATAGAGCAAAAAACTGTAGCGAGGTCTCGAGACAATTTAGAAACATGACGTGGAGATAATTATGATGGGTGGAGTACTATTCAATTAACTGGGTTGTACCAAGAATTAAAATATATATAAAAGCAGCTCTTCAAATGCATATTTTACTTAAAAACAATCTTAAATTTTATATAAAACTTACATATGTATAATAAAAAAATATTATACATATACATATGTACATGTTTACAGATGTACACACACATATACATAAATAAAGAAACAATTATTTGAACATTTCTCAAAGTTGATTAATTTTTTCAAATGTAAATGTCTTAAAATTCCAAAATTTTTAATTATTAGTTAAGTTTTAGTTCGTGATATTTGTTTTTAAAAAAATTTTAATATCAATAATAATTTTCTGTAAATTTTTTCACATAAAAATTCATGAGGAAAACATCAAATAAGCCGATGAAACGCATGTATTAATATCAATATACAATGTTTAGTGCTAAATGCATGGTATTGAATAGCACATGTTTTGTGCCGTAAGTATAGACGTTTGACATCCACACCACGTGGTGTTCTCGTGAGTAGGATACGAAAGTAGTTGCATCGACTTTCAACGATCTTGTTTGTGTGTACTCAAATCATATATATGTATTATATTTTTGCATTCATTATTTTGTATATTGTGATGTTTACGTTGTAAAGAGAGTATGAAAAATTTTCAAGAAAACACATAACATATTTAAACAAGAGAGATTTATATTACTGTTTATATATATTATATAATATTATTATATATTATAATAATATTATATTTTATTTTATACGTTGATATTAAAATTGCGCTTTGCAACATTTAATTTTAATTCATACTTATTTAATTAAATATTTGTTCAATTTTTTAAATTTATTTAATTAAACATTCTTTTTCAATGGGGAAAAGAGATAAAGAGTAAATATTATGATACGTCGCCATTATTGATGTTAATTTATATCGAAATTAATTGTACAAAATCTAACTCGATAAATTTCTAAAAAAAATAAAATCATTCAAAGAATTAAAGAGCACTTTTGATTGAAAAGATACAGTCGATGACATATCGACGACTCGTGCCGATTCAATCTAGGTACTTTCACTGTAGTGACTCAACTTGACTCATTCATTGCCGTTCGCTGCGTGATTAACACGGAAATCATTCGATGACGTCAGTTCATCACCGAGGACTTCCACGGAATAAAAAATAATGTTCGCGGTTTCACACCGCGTTTTCTTCCGTTGACGTGTTCGATTAATTTCGCTTATCAAGCTGATATAAAAGTCAAATATATCAACTTTCCGAATCAGCCATTCATATTATTTGAAATAATCGATTACATTTGATTAAACTCGATTATATTATATTCGGAGTCAACTTTTTATATAATAATAATAAAAATAAATAATTTAAAATTCTAATAATTTTGCTAAGAAAAAAAAAATAGAAAAATACTTGAACCATACATATAAATCCTTTGCTACTCGTTATATTTTAAGGAAATAATTTTAAGTATATTTTAAATACATTTAAAATTTAATTTATTTTTAAACTTGATCGAAGCTTTTCTTTTTAATTTGTCCTCTGGTCTCTTTCTTTAATACAATCTCGTAAGAATTTACTTAATAACATAATCAATTATTTATTGTACAATAATATTAAATTATTTAATCAATATTTAGTGACAGAGAGATATGTAAAGCGAAACAACGACGCAACCGACATGACGCGTTAATGTGTTCCCATGTCTTCCGTAGCTTTCATTGCTTTTTTTTTGTCACAAGGGACGCCTAGTACCGGGTGTCCGTTAATTTCCCTTAATTAAACTCAATCGGGGTTAATGCACTGCAGTTTGACCTCAGTTTACCAAATCCAACGCACCCTTTGCAATGTGTTTACATATAGATCATGATCATTGATCAATAAATATATTTACGCAATTCTGAATCTACAGAAATTTTTTTATGAGAGAGACTTCACAGAAAAATTTAATTTCTATACGCAATTAAATAAAATTAATTTAAATATATAGAGAATTAGTTAAAAATATAATACGCGTGATAATAATATCGGTATGCAAGAATTGTCACATTACAGTAAATTGATACGCACTCCTGAGTTTGTAATACCGCATGTTACATATGTTTCGATAACGATAAGTGACTCATGTATTAATGATCTACAATCATTGTTTAGCAATAGCCAGCTTTTTGGTGTCACGTGGCTATAATTCGATCAAAGAATGAGATAGAGAGAATAAAGAGCGAAAAAAATAATTATGAAATTAAAATCTTTATAAATTATAAATTTCTAAATATTGATATATATATATATATATTCGGATATTTCTCAAAGTTAGTAAATATACATAAATCACAAATATTTCGATTTCGAAGTATCAGTTAGTTTCGAATTTATATTTTTCAAACAAAATAAACATAAAGTATTTAAATATATTCAAACAACGTTAAAGGAATGTCGCAGAATCAGAGAGATATCGGTCATCAAAAGCGTCTAGAGTATTATCTTCTATAAATCCTTCAGACGACCTGTTTCCGTCAATGGCGCCCATAAATAATAATTAATTCTCCTTTCCTTAACGTAAGTTGGTCTCCGGCTATTGTGCACGTCGGCGAATTATTTTAATGCGCCTTGCGCGTGCGATATTTGCATAACGCAAATGTCAAACGTCCCACGCGTCAACAGACAATCGACTATTGAGAATTTTAGAGTTTTTCTTTAAAATCTTCGACAACTTTAAATATATATTAATAAGATACATACACACACAAATATATATTGCAATCTAATATAATCTTCATATAAGATTTGTTTATAATTAACTTTAAATTTTTTAATAAATTATAAATTATATTTTTCTATTATTATTTGTTATTTTTTTGTTATTGGAACTATCTAACAAAATATCAAAAACAAATTATAATATAACAAATAATAGATCGATTCTGCGACGCGCGTTTCTCTGTCGTAATCCTGAAAATAATTGTAAAATAAATGTGTCATCGCATCCGTTTTACATCAGACCGACTTTACCGTGCGTACTGGAATTTTAAATCGTGCTTTCCTCTTCGGAAATTCCACATTTATCTATTTTATGTCTCGCAATAATAATTAATCCTGGACATATGTCTACTAATAATTATTGCGAAAGAAAGGGAGTGAAATGTTTATAATTCCATTCTCGCTGAACGTTGTCTTTTTAATTCCCAAAGCAAATCGCTTAAGCGAATTTAAGTAATTGTAATAATCTAAAAAATCGTTGTTTCGGTTATTTTTGTATTTATCAAAAATTATTCTTTATCAAAAATATTCCAAAATTATCTATAGTATGCGTGACTTGTTAGTCATCTGCCTTAGTCATCTATAGAGAACATAGGTTGAATATTTAATTTTTCTTTCTTCAATAAATGTCGCAGGTTTTCGAGGTAGGTCAATGCCAAATGGAATCGTTGAATCAGAATATCTTTAGTATGGCTGGTATAATGGATGGTACAGCTACGTTGCCTCATGTCATGGACAACGGCACACAAGACACTATCGACGTGGAATTGTCAAGGTACGTTGATCTTTTTAAAAGCATACTTTTGGAATGTTTAAATCGAAACATTAATAAAATTGCCGTCGTCCGATATCTTCCTTAGGCCTTTCTCTTCCTTTTCCTCTTCCTCTTCATCTTCTCAAATTGTAAGAATCGTTAAGGTAATCAAGATTCATTAACATTATTCATACATTGTATTCGCAAGAAGTTTATACAAAATTCATATAATTCACTCTCGACAAATTCATATTTTATTATGTGCAACATTTTGTACTGTACATTCCCGCATTTGAAACTGTAATATTTTGTACGACAATTTATAATTTGAATTAACGAAATAGTTTTGAGCAAGAATTAAGCCCAAAGTGAAAAAAAATGAAATCGATAGATAGAATTAATACGAATACTATTTGCTCCGACTTTTGTCTCACAACACATTCCATTTTCAAAACGACTCGTATTCATTTAGATACAATTATAATATAGTAGTTTAAGCATTATTATGATATCCTAAAAATCTGTTAATTGAGTTGTTTTAGCCAACTCGTCAAAGCTACATATCTTTTCAAAATATAAGAAGAAAGGAGGCTGTGATATTTGACTATCTATATCTATGAAAACATCATATGGCGGCATCATATGGTGCATGAGACAAGAGACGCGGCGAAAGTAAACAAAGATGATCCCATGCTGTCCTTATTGGGCACTCGATCAAATTTTCATCGATTTAAATTTAATCGCTTGTTGAAACTAAATGAAAGTACAATATCATCCGAAAATACAATCATATGATATATTGAAAAATGATTAATTCATTAATATACGCTCATTACATATGAATTTTTTGCGATTTGTGATAATATTTTTAAAGCATTATCACGAATCGTTTGGATACTTAGCTTCCCTTTCAGGATAAACCTTCTAGCCCTACTAAGCCCTTCCACCAACGTCAAGGTGTATCCATTGGAAGGGTTACATATTGCATAATTTTATAACATAATTGTTTTATATACATATACTATATATATATATATATATATAATTATTTATTAAATGAATGAAATGATTTATTGTTACATAAGTGAATAAATATACAAGTTAAAATTAGAGATAAATTCGCGGATATTCGAAAAGATAATTAGCTTTGCCGATTATTCATATAATAGATTGCAATCGAATGAATCTTGTTTCTTCTTGCATTTCAAATTAATATCGATGATTGGATATTGATAATTTCGATGATTGATCTATCAATATCATATATAAAAAGTTTAACTTTTATTTAAAAAATATTAATAATAATTTATTTTAGTTTGATTAAGAAATTACTTGTATAAATTAATTTAATATTATCATTTTATACCAAATTTTTATATTTTGAAAAAATATCTCTTCAATTTTGGAAATTTTTAATTGTAGTTTAATAAAGAATATATAGTGAAAGGAAATAAATGGCACTCGTAATATTTTAATAAATTTTAAAAAATATTGATATCTAAATCAAAATTATTCAATTTCTATCAATAAAACAAACTATAATAAATAAATAAGGATCGTTTTTATCATTAATATATCTGTTACAGATTTCCGAAACCCTTGAGAACTTTTGCGGCGGTAGTAGCAATCATTATCATGATTATTGGTCTAGCTGGTAATCTGTTAACGATCGTTGCTCTATGCAAATATCCTAAAGTTCGCAATGTTGCAGCAGCTTTTATAATAAGGTATATATATAACAATTTAAATCTCTCTTTAATTTTATTTTATTAATTTTATCAATAAAGATTTCTTTATTTAAATATGTGATATAAATAGCTATGATTTGCACACGCGTTTAAAAAACTACTATAACAGTATGAATCATAGTTGCATGTTAGTGATTACCTCACACAAACGGATCATCGTTCTTATTTAAAAAAAACTGATTTCTAAACGTACTAAGATTTCTTAATACGATTCTTTCGTTAACGTTTATATGAATTAAAAGTGATTCAACTTATGTCGATATAGCTTGTGCATCGCCGACTTTATGTTCTGTCTATTGGTGCTGCCGTTTGATTCCATCAGATTTATCAACGCTAGCTGGACGGATATACGATTTTTCTGCATCTCCGTGCCTTTCTTCAGATACGGAAATGTCGGTGTCAGCCTTTTATCCGTAGCAGCTATTACTATCAATAGGTGCGTGTCTCTATCTTCTATTCAACTCTGTTCTCTAGCTTAAGTATTTAATCTACTTGAAATGTTTACATTGATTTATTTTGAAATTTGAATTATTTTAAATTAATGTAATCAAATCAAAGCAAAATATGAAATTAAAAAAGAAATTTCTTGATTTTGCGTAGATATATTATGATAGCGCATCACGCTGTTTATACCAAAGTTTACAAAAAATATTGGATTGCCGCGATGATAATTTTCTGCTGGCTGTTTTCTTACGGGATGCAGATACCTACGCTGTTTGAAGTATGGGGTGAGTCATTTTTATTACAGACATTTTTAGTATTATATGTCATTTTGTAATTAATCAATTTTGTATCTCTCATTCAATTATTTGAGAAAAATATTATTATTCTGCGAATTTTATCATCTTTTATAAAAGAAAATGAATAAAATTCGTTTTAATATCTTTTATCATACAATATTTATCGATTATTCGCTTATAATTTTTTTTTCATCAGGTAAATTCGACTATGATCGCAATCTGGAAACTTGCTCCATCATCAAGGATCGTTACGGTCATACTTCCAAGACATTTCTCTTCATCATGGGGTTCCTAATACCCTGTGTAGTGATTGTCTGCTGCTATGCCAAGATATTCTGGGTGGTGCACAAGTAATTCATCATTTCTGAAGCTTCGCACATAAATCTTTTTTTTATTTTTATTGTTATTATATGACAGTGAACTGATCGGAATCTGACGTTGTAGATCAGAATCGAGAATGCGAAAGCACACCGCACCAACGATAAAATCGCCTCATACGCCTGGGAGAGATATAAGGGAGATCAAGCAGAAGCGTAGCGAATGGAGGATCACGAAGATGGTGCTGGTGATCTTCATCAGCTTCCTTGCGTGCTATCTGCCGATCACCATTGTTAAGGTGGCCGACGCGGAGGTCAAATGTCCCGGTGCGAATGCATTTACATATCAGTAACTATGTATTGGCGTCCAATTCTTTCTCTTTTCTTAATCTTCTTTCAATGATATGTTCCTTATAATTTGTTCTCCTACCGATTATTGTGTGCACTAAACATCGAACTATTTCAGAATGCCATGTTCTGGGATATCTGCTGCTGTACTTCGCGTCATGTGTGAATCCGATCATCTACGTCATCATGAATAAGCAATACAGACAGGCATATGCCGGTGCGATCGGTTGCTCGTGGATAAGGATGAGCTTGACGCCGTATGGCAGCAGCGCACCGGGTGGTGGTCTTCAGGCTCATCAGCAGGACTACGTCCAAGGTAACTTCGAGCAACGTCACGCGGTAACACTCACCAAGCTCTGATCGAGCGCGCGACCACTCGCTCACTTCGTAAGTCAAGGGCACCACAAGTTTGCGTCTTACTTTGTTTGATTGCCATTTTGATATTGCTGTCTGTGATCAAACTACGTATGCGTGTGCGCGCTAATCAATTCCTTAATCGCATCCTTTAACCTTTTGCATTCGGATGTCCCCTCTGAGGGAACATCGTAAGTCTAGCAGAAATGGCTCCGAATGCAAAGGGTTAATCATTAATCTCTTCTTACGCCTAGCAGCTTCTTAATTCCTTCTTGAGGCTAACGACGAGCGAGCGACGTCGAATAATTTTGCTCTCTCAATAGTAAATTAACAATGTATTAATAAGATTTTTCGCATTTTTTTACCATAAATCGCTTAATTATTGTTTACTTAGTTTGCTTAAATATTATTTTTCTTCACTTATTTTTAATTATTGGCTTAAGACATAATCAAGATTTATGTTTGAATTGTTTTTTTAATTTTAGTAAATTGTGAGTTACGAATACAATAGCTTTTTTTTAAATTATTTCATGACTATCTTTTCAAGCTTTTGTACATATTTTTCTTTTGTGTAACATTACATATCTGTCTCTGTAATATCTCACAAAGATATTTCAATAAAAATATTTTTATATTTGCTATTTTTTATCATTTGTTTTCTACTTACATTTAACGTGAAAATATGAGTTCTGTTACTATCAAGATGCATTCGTATTTTGTTTTCAACTGTAGATTATTCAAAGGACTTCAGTAAAACAATGGTATCAACGGTCTCTATCGCTATGAATCCTGTAAGAAGTTCACAATTCCAGGAGGAGTGAGACAAGATTAAAAAATTGAGGAGAGATCAAATATTCTTTCCTTGAAAGAAGAGAAAGAAGAGAGGAAACAGAATCTTTACTGTGTTATCGAACCAATTAATTTTTGTACCTCGTTCACAATATTATAGAACGTTTTATAGATTATTTTTTCGCCAAGAAGAGCGAAATAATACAAGTAGTAAATATGTCGCGCACACATATTTAATTTCCGTGGCATTTAAAATAGCCATATCGTTACCTTCAGATGGGTATTGATTCTTACCAAAGGTTGTCATACATTGTTGTATCTTGTAAATAAAATATAAATTTTATATTGCCTTATATTTAAAATACATTTACAATATGCTCATTATAGAATAGAAATAAGAAAAATAGACTGCAAATAAGAATTTTATTTAATAAAAAAACAAATACATTTAAAAAACTTTTATATTTTGTATAAAGTATATGAGATACGCCCTGCTGCAATCTATTTTGCAAATTGATTACAGATTAAGTCGGTTAAGCCATCTATAAGGATTTTCATTTCTTATTAAATAGATGTCATCCAGCGTGAAATCTCTTTTTAACATGAGTGGTGTAACATTGTGTGAAATGTGTACATATCCAAGCCCACCAAAAGTTACCTGAAAAATCAATAATAAGAATAATTTAACGCTTATATCAGTTCTGCCTCAATATCAGGATAATTCTAATATTTTAATATAAATAATTTATTATTTAATCATATAAATTAAAAATGAAATAATAAGAAGTATATTAAGTAAGATTATAAAATTCAAGATGATGCGTTGAAATGAAAATAAAATTATGTAAATGATCAAATTTATTACGCAAAATTGATTGTTGAAAAATATATACCATTCTATGCTTAGTGTGAATATCGTGACTCATGAGAACTCGATGTAGTTTTCCTTCTGCTTTCATCATTGCGATAAGTTGGATTTTCTGCGTATCTGACATTATATCAGTACGTGGATTCAATTGATAAAAAGGAGTATCGACACCAAACTGATCAAACTGGATGTAACATTGGTTCTTCTCGATGAACTCCATGATATTTTCTGTCCCTATTGAACCTGTTAATTAATTAAATTAATATACTAGCGATGTTTTCTATATAGGCAAGTAACTTGAAAATTAATTAAAAAGTTTCGTGGATCTTACGATCAATGTGGGCTATAACAAGTTCTGTGGCCCTTCCCCCTGCTTCTTGATAAATCCGCATTATTTCGGTAAGTGGAATTACGTATTTTCCGGGATGAAAACTCACGGGGCAACGAAATTGCCCTTGATATAGTGCCATTGCACGAAGAGCACGTATTTCAAAGTCTAAGTTAAATAAGTCTAAGTTAATACAAACATAATATAGTTAATATAGCTTATGAATCTTATATTTGAAATGAAATTTTATCAATTTATATTTTATTTGTAAATTCGATAAAATATATTTTTGTAAGCCACTGTATATACTAAATAAATATATATATATATGTATATATAATTTTAATTAGATTTGTTATTATTTAATTACATATATCTTATTAATGAAAGAGATTACTAGAGAGAGATATTTCGTATTACAACTTTACAATTATAATGTTATAATTGTATATTTTCTATATATATTTCTATATAATATTTTATATATATATCTTTTACATGTAAATGTGTACCTAGAATAATATCGCCGCCTTCTGCGATAAATGCTGGCTTCACACTCCGTTCCGTTTTGCAACCATTTTCCATTTCATCTTGTATATCATTGTACATTTCCTCTGTAGTCTTCGTAGACAGTAAATTTGGTGCATCAGGAATATTATAACCTGTCAAATTGCAAAAATATAAGATAACTAATGATGTAATTAATGATAATATATGAAACTGAAATTAGCCAAATATTTATTATTCATAAAGAATGAAAATATCATTTTTTGATTAATTGAGATAATTAATTTAATTTGTGAATAAGAATTTTTGATTCTGAAGATATGAAATAGATTATCATATAGAATGGTATATAATTATTGTTTTAATAACACATTTTGAAGATTAATTTTGAATTTTCGTAATGTGTTTCAAAGTTACAATTTTTTACTTATAAATTATTGATAATGCATAGAAGTTGCGCATTCAATCATTTAGCAAAATTATCGAGAATAATATTTTTTCCATCTTTACTGTAATATCTTTATATAATTATTCATTAAGTTAAAATTTTATTAAGATTTACTATACTTAAAAAAGAAACTTAAAAATACATAATTATTTATTTATATTTTATAGTTATATTATTTATGTTTTATATTTATATTATTTTTTAGTACACAAAATAACTTCTTACTCTTAATCGTCACGCAAAAAATTAACTTAACTTTTCACCGAGAAAAAAATACATCTCGAAGAATTTAAAAAGATATTATATACATAGTATCTATGCAATCATACCTGTTCCAATAATTATATTAACATCGGTTGTATCACTAAGTGATTTCAATACAGAAATATTGCGATTTAAACAACTAGATTTGTCCACGATAGTTCCACCATAAGATCGTTTAAACAAATCCACTTCTTTAAAAACAGCAGTTATTCCTTCTACATCATTAAGCCGCAGATTTTCCAAATAGCTGTATCTGATTTATAATGTTTTTCGTTAAATACATATTTATTCCTTTTAACAATATTTATTAATAGTTTATTTATTAATGTATTGATGTTTATTTATCGATTGTGTAATTATAAGAAAACATATAAAAGTAAAGATTATATGGAGCTGTTATACGACAGAGTGAAATATTTCGTGAAACATGTATTAAAACCCATTTTATTTTTTTAAATTACACATTCTAATAAATGTAAATTAGTATATAAACATATTTAAACATATATAAACATACATAAACAATTACATATATAAACATGGAATAAATTTATAAAACATTGATTTAACTGCAAAGCTACATTTAAAATGTTGTCATTGAACAATGTCATTTAACAAAACTATTTTTGTATTGAATATAAATTACTCTTATTTTGACAATCGAGATATTTTTTCATATCATCATTATTTCAATACATATACACATATACAGAAAAATTTGTCGTTTAAACAGATATTTTAATTTCACTTACGGATATTGTCTAACATATCCGAGATTCTTTAAAGAAGAAGCTGTAAAATCATATGAGTTTACGTAGAAAGGAGGTACGTAAAGATTGGAAAAATCACATATTAAGTATTCGTGCGTTAATGTTGTACCGAGTTTAGACATTCTCATGGGTCCCCGTACTAGATATATAGCATAAAATAATAAATAATAAATGCTCAGTAAGATGGATATTTGGATGATTTGTACATTTAGAAGATCGCGATAAGCAACATTATTACGCAAAAATTCGTGAAAAATTATAAAAATCTTTTTGAATCATGAAAACATAATATTTGACTGATTTATATCATTCTTGAATTCGTCAATATAAATATTATAATATAAATATTATAATATATAAATATCCGTATAAAAATGTGTAAACGCAATTTATTACATTATATAATTATTTTATAATTTTTCTTTACTCATTCTTACCAGTTTCCACGTAGTTGCCGTCGTTTCTTTTATCAGACTGCATATTACTCAGCATTATTTTATTTTTGTTATCAGATATACTCTGCTTCATTCTATTTTTGTTAAAAACAAAGAATTTATAGTTTATTTAATTTTATATTTAATGGCAGTACACTTTTTATAATTATCTAAGCGTAATGTGTCCTTATTTTATAAATAGCGCGACGATATAGATGTAATATTTGATACTTAGAACTACTGTGACATACTCAGAACTGTGTCACATTTAACTCAAATATTATAATGTTTGAATTATAACCGATAGCTATATCTTAAACTTGTTATGTATATCCAATTGACATTGCTAACACGAATACATATTTATTTTGATAATAAATATAAACACAGTGCCCCCTGATAAGGGTACAGACTCAAATAAATCTTTAAATCAAATAATATTTGTAATAGTAATAAATTCTTGTCGATTTATAGAACAATAAATCTTATATTATAATATTTTAATATTAAATTATTTGTTAACTAATGAACGAGGTTAACTAATTCATTAATTGTTAACTAATGAAACATTTCGAGGATTAAATATGTAGGCATTTATGATTTTTAAAGTTAAGGAAATGAAAAATTACTCTTCATAGATATCATTTTTTTATAACCTGTAAATATACATACACAATACAACTCATATTGTCTTGAATTAAAAATGCAGTTTCAATGCAGAATGATAATAAAAATAAATTGTTATAATTATCTACAAACATCATTAAAAAATGTTACGTTATAAAGAAAAAAATTGTAACTTTCGTTCTCCAGGTAGATTATATTATCGAGATAACCATCTTTTTGGATTTTCAACTGTTATTAGTTCGATTTCTTCCATCGTAAAGCCTTTATTTATCATATTTGGCAGAATATTATTCGCGATATGGGAATATCCATGGCCGCCGAAAGGTATCTTAAAAATTAATAAAATAATTCTAAATGTTTAATCTTCTATTTAACTCTAATCTTTTAAATCGATTTAAATAAGTTATTATTTAATTCTATGAATTAAAATTAAAATTAATTTACATAAGCAAAATGAATGAATAATCAATTATGAATAATCAAAATTATTACATAAAATTGAATAAAGATATTAAAAAATACGTACTAATCTATGCTTCGTGTGAATGTCATGACTCATGAGAACACGATGTAGTTTCCCTTCCTTCTTCAGATGTGCAATTCGTTTGATACGCTGTGCATCTGATATCATATCTACTGATGGATGTAGCTGATAAAAAGAACACTCGATACCAAATAGATCAAATTGGATGTAGCACTTGTTATCATCAGCGAATTCCATAATTTGCTCCTTTTTGACTAATGTACCTATTAAATTTATTTAATTAATGTATTTGCAGAGAAATAGTTTCGATGTACAGCCTAATTAGAAAAACTAATGAATAAAAGTCAATAAATCTCACGATCAATATGAGACATGATAGCTTTAGTAGAATCTCCACCAGCCTCTTGATAGATACGCATTATCTCCGCAGGCGCAGACGCATTTCTTCCAGGATGAAAGCTCACAGAACAGTGCAATTGCGCTTGAACTTCGCCAGTCGCACAAATGGCACGTTTCTCAAAATCTAATCACAGATATAGAATTATTTTAAGACATAATTTTATCATTAATTATTTTTATTATTAATTAAGCTTGATTATATTTATTTTATTAGTAAGCGTGGTTTACTTTCTGCTTACAAAAGTATTGTAATTTAATAAGTTACACATGAAATCTGTTCGTTTCAATTACACTTTTCGCTCTTTTCTCGTTTTTTATCTGTTCAACGTCTTTCTAAATAAACATATTTCGCTCTAATAAATAAACACAATAAACGGAAAAATATTTAGCAAGCTAATATGTAGCTATATACCCTCGATCGGCCAAGTACTGCCGACTTCTCCGATAAATCCAGCCTTTACTTTCAGTTCATTGGGAAGCCCAACACAATTTTCTTCTAATTCTTTATACATGAGATTGTACATTTCTTCTTTTGTCATGTCGAGAGTCGATGCAGTTTGCGTGTTAGCGACATAATATCCTGTCGAAATGCAAAAGTATTATATATGTAACATTAACAATTATATAACATTGGATATAATATTTAGAAGTAATAATAACATAATAAAAAACACACCAGTTCCAGCGATTACATTAATTCCCATCGACTGACTAATATTTCTCATTAAAATAATGTCGCGTTGCAAACCGTGGTTGCTATTTTCCACGATAGTTCCACCACCAGCTTCCTTGAATAATTTTACATCCATATTAACAGCTTTGTGCGCGTATTCGTCATCAAATTTCAAATTACTCAAGCTACTATATCTAAACCAATATATTTAGTGTCATTATAATTATGTATCATTTTTAACAACATTTATTCAATCGTTTCATTATTGATATATAATTATAAAACTCTATAGAAATTGCGAGGATTGTTTCACACGTCAACATCTTTATATGTCATAATTTTAGGTGAGAAATACTATCTTTGCTATATTTTAAGAAAACATTTAATTAAGAAATTCACCGAACAAATTATTAGAATAAATTATTTATACTCCAAATTTTTTCCAGAATGTTTAACGAAAACAAATTATATAATTATAAAAAGTGGCTTTATTATCTCGTTAAAAAATGTTATTAATACACAATATCATTCTTTTGTATTGATATTAATATTTAACATTGTTCATTACATGTCATTCACATCTTTTTATTTAAGATTATTTGTAATATTATAATTTCGAATGTATTGTAAAAAAGATATATTTTTTTGTTCGACTTACGGATACTGCTTGACATATCCGATATCCTCGAGATGTAAACTTTCTTTGGGAAAATGTTTATTAATATGCTTTGGTGGTGGTACGTAAAACTTACGAAAATCGAGAGCAAAATGTTCGTGCGTTAATGTTTGACCGAGTTCAGATAATCGTATACTTCCTAGAACTGCATCATAAAATATAATAATAAATATTAAACTTATAGTATTGTAGAATCTGCTTTTGCATTAAAAAAGAGATTATTAAGATTGAAAAATTTTTATTATTATTTGAATAATATTATTTTATGTATAAAGATTTTTGAGCAAAGTTTTATATTTTTATATTCCTACTATTAATTATAACAATGTTTCTCAGGATTTAAAGAATTTTATATAGTAATTACTGATGATTAAAATATACTTATAATCTAGGATTTGGAATATTTTCTTTCTATATCATGAAATTTTCAGAAATTTTTTCTGATACATAATATACGAATTTTTATACATGACAGAATTTATAAATACAATTAAATTGTTTTAGTATTTTATTAAGTTTTTCGTCGCACTTACCAGTTTCTACAGTATCTGGAAAATTACCAGCCATATTCGCTCTATTTGTTTTCAAAATACAAAGAATCTCCAAATAATATAACTTATATCCTGTATTGTACGCTAAATTATAATGATGTATATCAAATTCGTTTTAAAATGGCACATATATTAAGAAATTATTTGAATAGTAAGCAACACAGAAATGTAAACTGCATTCTACGAGCTATTATTCGCTACTGCTGTGACACACTTTATTCGCAACCTAACTCAACCCAACATTCGTCTTGTTATCATTTTGCTTGACTGGCACTACAATCTTAAATGCCACTTAAATTCTTGATAATATATGATCTGTTACATACAGTAGATAAGAAGAACTTGTATGTATGCAATTAACGTTGGTAACAAAGATATTTATAAGATGTTATGAATATATGAAATGTTTCGGAAAATTCAGAAAATTATGTTTATCAAAAGTTATCACTTCAGATACGATTAATTAGCTTAGTTAAAAGATTAATTATAAAATATATTTATAGTTTCTTTTCATATTTTTTTTCATAGTTATTTCTTATATAATTCATAACGAGACGCATAAAAATTTAAGGAAAAAAATTATTACTGATGTAGTTCACATAGTAAATGCAAAAGTGGCAAAGATTTTTGTATAAAACAAATATTGTATAATACAATATCTAAATTTTTACATACAAATTGTTTAACGAGATAATTGTAGTTTTACTTTTTTATTACATAAAACTTTTTTATAATTATATTGGAACATTACAAAACGCGCTATGTGCACACTATTTAATTCCTTCTATTATGTATTATAAAAAAATATGAGTACATTTAGTTCCTTATATTTAGATCTTATATTTAGTTTCTTCTAAAAGAAAAAAATATTTGTATATATTCATATATATATATTTTTTTAATAAAAAATATATAAATAGAATGTCAAGTAACAAAAATAAAATAATATGTAGCTATAAATGATATTAAAATAAATCTTAAAATAGTCCATCTCGCTTTATATACAGCAACCAAGATTTTGGTGTTTCAATAAGTTCCCACGCTGCAATTTAATCGAGTCGTGTACACCATTGTCGATTTTTGCGTTCAACACTTTCTCCACTAAATAGCGCATCGCTGTATCTGAAAATTTTATAATAATGCAATTATAGTCTTTGACTTATCTCGACTGTTAGTGATATATGATATAAGATTTCATTCTTAATCGTGTAGCGTGTTTTCGAATGGATTTAAATACATAGAAAGTGTTCGAAATTTAAAGCATTCTTAATATATGTAACATATCGATGATTATATAAAAAAAACTTGTGTTAACAATAAAATAATTAAAACTGCACAAAATCAATGCAACAAAATAGAAAAGTTTATTTTCAAGCTCAAGAATTCTCTTTCTTTTAAATAAATTGTAATATCAAAGTGTTAAAATATATTAAATATTAAAATATATTAAAGGAAAATTGTTTTGAAAAATATAAATTGAAACAAGAGAGATGATTTCTTTTACGAACAAAAAATTTTCAATCACCTACCGACATTGGTATTGTTCTTTGCAGAAGTCGCATACCAGGCATTTATTTTGTTCTCCTTGCAGAATTTGGAGATCTGCTCGTCGGTAACGGCGACTGATATATCGCATTTATTCGCTAAAAGAATGATCGGTATATCCGAGCCATTGGGCAACGTGATCTTTTCCCTAAGATCGCACAGCCACTTTTTCATCGATTGAAAGGTCGCCGCGCGTGAAATGTCAAATACGAGAGCTGCGGCCACTCTGTATTAATAAGTAAGTTAAATCAATGATTAAGAAAATTGATTTAAAATTTTTAATCAAGAAATGTAGCATCATAAACTTATCTCAATAAAGCATATTATTAGAGATCAAAGTACACACAAACTATTCATTTATAGTAATATTTAATATAAAGAAATACGCAAAAAAATGCCGATTAATCAAATTAAATAAAAAGTATATTAAAGTCATATTTACGCGTATTTATAATAGACCCTCGTCATGTATCCAAATCTCTCGTGACCAGCAATGTCCCTGAAATATTCGAAATTTATCATTTTTTTTTTCTTATATATAGTGATATCTTGCGAGATTAAGAAAAATTTTAAGAAATCGCAAAAAATAAAAAAGATAATAAAATAGTAACATAGATAAATATAAATAATATTAGTAAATTATACGTCGACAGATTACCATACCATAGTTGCAAGTTTATTTTAGTGTGCGGATCCCAATCGAGCGTTTTTATCGCAAAATCGGCGCCTATGGTAATCTTGTAATTCGAGGAAAATTTTCCTGGAAAAGACAGTTTCGACACTCTGTGCAATGACACCGATGACATACAGGTTTTAATAATGATCGTAGTATCGTAAGTCGCACTGCACGTTGACAATTTGACGCACGTGTCTTTAAAGATAAACCGGCTTGCGCACATTTCTCATTTCTTTCTCTTTCTCTCTCTTTCCGATCTGCTCTCTCGCGATCTTCTTATTTGCGGATCCCAATCATACGCTTACATTTAATGCTTCAATAGCAAGTACTTTTTGCGCGCGTGAATTTTGATCGATAAGAAAACGGAAAATAAACAATTGCAAATTTTTACCTTCCGTGTATCTTCTGACTAGCGCAGTTTTGCCTGAAATAAAAAGTCTTTGTACAAATTCAAACAAAATTATAAATTTTGCGAAAGTCTATAATGCATTTGCATATATAAAAGCGATCTTACAAAATTCTGTGAACATTTTTAAAGTATTGTACACTTTTAGAATATGTACGAAAAATTGTGTATAAAGATTTTTGTAAAGTTTTACACATAAAAATTTTCGAGATTTAAAAAATTACAATTTTCAAAATCTTAAAAATTAAAAAAATTATACGCGCTTTCCAGATTAATAAAGAAATAGCTTAAAGTTTGCAAATTACTAAATAAATGCACTTAAAAATCAATTTTTGATAATAATCGATAAAATCAATGAGATAATAGAGAGATCATCGAATATATTCTTGTATATAATACTTATTTTCTCTTTCTTATTACTAGGAAGAAAAATTTTTTCCACACTTCATACGTGCCAATGATATATAAATGTAAATCGCGAATTTGAATGCGAGCAATCGTTTATTGATTATTGCGACAACTCACCGACACCATAATCGCCAATGACGAGAAACTTGAAAAGGTGTTCCTTGAGGTGACCGAAATGCGACAGCACGAGGTCCGAGTCTCTCCTGGACTTTTGTTGGCTCATGCTCACCGTTCGATCCGTTCGTCGCATCATATACCACACGACAAAGTTGAAACTATTCTGACTCTTGACTTAAGTAAGCAACGATAAACCAAAGACGAAATAAACAACCGATCTCGTGGGTCGGCCATCATCTTGCTCCCCAACGACTCGATTTTCGTATCACTGATTACTTTTCAGTGTTATCTCACATCGTTGTAAACATGTTATCGCTTTTCACATAGAGAATGTGTATATTTTTTTTAATATAAATCCTTATGATTAAATTTTGAATTTTAAATCATTTCACTCTGTGTAAGAAAGCACTGTAGTTGGTTGAAAATTATCGATGTGACCCATCATTAGGTCGATTAATCTGGGAAACAAACAGAACTCTGTTAGATAGATTTCTTTCGACATGTATATTATTATTGTCGACATAGGACACAGGTGTAATGTGTTCGCCAAAACAGCAAATAGCGTTTCATAAAAAGTGCAGGCCTTTATTTCGCACATACACCTCTTTTTTTTGTAAACGAGTAACGCGGCAGCGATTGTTGAATTCGATCGAAATCCATCGCGGTTTCGATATCGCGGAAGCTGGATAAAGACGAACAGACATCGCACACATATGTGTAGTTGTTTCCTAAACCTCTTTGGAAGATAAACTCGACTTCACTTTCCGTTCAGTAAGAAAAATAAACATGTATAAAGATAAAATAATAAATAACTCGATTCTCGCCGCTTTGCTATGTACGCGTTAGACTTTAAATGCAAAAAGGACTTTATACTTTTATATTTTTCTTTGTTCTCTCCCAAAGATACGAGATGCATGCGGAAGAACGTGCGAGAAGAGAGGAGAATGCAAAGTAAATAAATAAATTAAAAAAAAAAAGAAACAAAAAAAGGAGAGCGGGAGAGAAAAATAAGAGGAAGATACGCGCGTCTTGTATCACACAGACGTATTTCTCAGTCAGTACAATTAGCTTTTCTCTGTTCCTTCTTTTTTCGTGACGAGTTTTTCGTTTAATTACGTGTACAATATAAAGCGTTACAGTTACGCGTGATAACATGCGTTACGATCGTAACTCAATCCGCTTGAAATTAGAGAGACGAACGTACTTATATACGCTATGTTCTTCCAGGAATAACACGTAACGATCTTTATTCCGGGAAATTCGGAATTGACAGTTTGCATTGTACACCTAATATCGATAACGAAGAACGATGCCAATAAACGTCATAAATTCTGTCCAGCACTATTAAGAATATAATTCGACGAGCGTTTCTCTATATATATATAGACATTTGCGCGGGTTATGCTAATTTCGGCATCGAAGTCGAAATCGAATAATTTAATCGCACGATTATCGATTCGCCGAAATTGCAGTCGCGAATTCATGTTCGATCGATTAATGGATCTTATTTCACGATGAGAATTGCACGATCGTCCAGTGGCCGCTCCGACGCCGAGCAACCGACGATATATCTCCACAATCACTATATAAATCAACAATGATAATCATACGAATAATAATAGTAATAATAGCACTAATTGTAGTAGTAATAATAGCGGTAAATACACAGTAATAATAATTTACATTTACACAAGACTCTCTTCCCTCTCTTACTCGAAAACGATTAATTAATTACATCACCTAACTACGTACAAGACATGCTTACGGTTACATTCGTTCATTTCTTTTTACGACGTGATAGTTTCTACTCAACCGTGAATCTCTAATACCTCGTCTCCGTAAGATGAAAAAAAATCTGGATATTATGTGTATACTTAGCTCTTATTTCGATCCAATCTTGTTCAAATCAAAATTTCGTGGACTTTCGTCATCAGACTTAAAATGAATTGAATTTGATGCGCAACGAAACGAGGCACAAGAGGGAACAACGATTGAAGTAAGAAGAAATATAAAAGGCGATCGAGCAACCGTAAAAAAAATATACAGAGGCAAACGCGTAATGTACAAGTTGATGAAGGATACGATACACAAGTTTTCTATTGTCGCAAGAGCCGCATTCATATACATATATATAAGAACTTACACGAATTTCGTGCAAGATACCAAAAAGAAATTTGATGACGCAAGGAGGATAATATAATTTCTTTTAACCTAATCACATCGCGCACAGACAATTTGCAGCTTTCGAAAAAAATCGAAAACTACTCGATTTAAACCAATGATAGCGCATCAATAATTTTATCGATTTTGCAAGCAAAGGCCGATGAACAAGTAATTCGACCCATAACGAAGATAATAATGCTTCGTTTTTTTTCACGGAAGTCTCATATATTGTTTTCATAAACTATCGTCGCTGTCATCACCGTGAGGCTCGACGGAGACATTTCCAGCAAGAGGCGCAGTGCTTCCTTCCCTATTCGTTTCGATGTCCTGTTCCATTGAATTATTTTGTGCTTGCTGCTCATCTGCTATAATAACTTTGAATAAGTATTAATTTAAATTTTTGTTGTACAATTCCTTGTAACAAAATATAATTAAAAAATTGTATATATTTCTCAGTTATATAAATTTAAAATATCCATATTTTTGGCGTGAATTATCTTAAAGTTTTGAAAGACTAAAGTTCTAGTTTATATAGTATTATATAGTATTATATATATCTGATAATATATACTTGATTGTGTTGGTGGAGAATCGTCATCTCCTTGACCGGGACTTAGTATAGCCTCCTTAATTTGACTATTAACACCTTTTGGATCTAAATCTGTCGCCCAACTAAAGTACATTAACGCGAGATGGGTATTGCCTAATTTTTTATGTACCTGTTTAAGAAAAAGAACATCTTAATATGTTTAAGAAAAAGAACATCTTAATATGCCTTAAAAATTATCGTTTGAGAATCTCTTACCTTTCCTATCGAATAATAGACTAGAGATTCTTTGGGTATAATATTCTTTAGTTCTTCAAACTCTCTAAGAGCTTCCATGTGCCGACCAATAGAAAAATTGATGCTCGCGCGATGAAATTTGCACAAAGTATTATCTGGATCGTTAATTAGCGCGGTATTCAAAGTCTTTAATGCCTGGTCGGTTTTCTTTAGAGCATGTTGCACAACACCTATGTGGCACATTAGTGCAGAATTCTGCGGATTTATTTGTAAGGCCCGTTTAAAGTGTAACTCTGCTAAACTGTATTGTTCCTGTTTTGAAAATATCGTTCCTAATCCGAACCTTCAATGTGAGAGAAGAGAATAATTTAAACTCGGAAACTAATTAAGTAGTAGACAATTAATAAAATTGTAACATCTTTTTAATAGAAACTTACCACGCATTGTAATGTCTGGGATCAAGTCTGATGGCGTTACGGAAAGCAGTAATTGCCTTATCTAGTTCCTCAGTCAAAACATATTCATGTCCTAATAATGTATAGGCATATGGAAAATTAGGATCCACCTAAAAAAATGTTACAAAGAATTGCAAATTATTTTTATACAAATGAAATAGCCATACATTGAAATTAAGCCTGTAAATACCTGAATGGCTCTTTGAAAAAATTTGATCGCCGTTTCATGTTCTGTTTGTGCTGAGAAGAGATTACCCGTGGCGCACCATGCTGCTGCCGAATTACGATCCTGAGAAACTAGATCTTGAGCAAGTGTAGATAATTGCACTTCCGCATGCAGATGCCAAAGGACAGTACTATAAATCTCCATCAATTCTGTCCTCTGTGGTTCTAACTGTCGCACTTCCGCAAAATAACTGCACAAAAAAAAAAATAAAAACAAATTGAATGAATAAAAAATAAAAATTAATAAAAAACGAAATGTTAATGTATTAGAGACAAAGGTCGTTTTTAGATACGTTACACCTTCTACCATGTATTTTTTATCTCTTTTTCATTCAAATAAATGTATACTATTATTAATGTATACTTTTATTATGAATGCAAAAAAATGTTGAAATAGATCCAACGTTTAAGAAATGTCTAATTATTAAGACATTACCTAGCAGCCTTTTTATAATTCATCATTTCAAAATGTGCACGAGCCAACATAGAAAGTACCCAACCAGTATTATAATGCTGTGTCGGCAGTATACTTAAAATCTCAATAGCTTGCATACATTTAAACTGACTCAAGTGCTGATATGCTGTCCCTAATTCTCGTAACAGAGACATCAATCCTTCTAAAAAGTTATAGATATAAAATAATTCAAACTTTTTTAATAATAATAAAATATTGAAGAAATTAATTAATATTAATTCAATAATTAACATACCCGCTGATTGCTTTTGTAATGTTATTCCAGAATGAATATTATTACTTTGGGCGTTAAGCGCGTTTGCATTAGCCACTGCTTTTTCCGACGTGATCGTTTCGTTTTTCTCTTTTTCGTTCCTATTTCTTTCGTTTAACTCATTGAAGTTGGTCTTGTTCAAATTCGTTTTAGCAAGTCTCGCTTTCGTCTTCCGAGATGGAGATTTTGGAGTTGCAAATTTATTCCTATTAGGTGACTTATTGTTCTCCTGAAATATATACAAATCATATCAAAATTACAAGTAAACGAAAATAACTAGAAGAATCAAAGTGAAGTGAAAGAAGTCATACTTTTACTGAATTATGACTGAAGAGTCGCGACGAACGTCTAACATTGGTACTCTGAAACGTTGGTGACGGAGGTGAAGTCGGATTAGCGGCTGTCACTGTCACAATATTGGCAGTATTGCTTGCATTACCCGATTGGGAAAATACTGACTTGCCTTGTTGTAGTGGTGTCTCTTTCCTCGACATTAATTGCTAAAAAAAATAATGCGAAAATACATATCAAGTTACCATGACTCAGATTATATGAAAGCAAAAATGCTATTATAAATATAAACAATGATTTATTATAAAACTAAAAAATGATACTCACTCCCACATGAGCTCTCAGACTACTGACGCGTTTTGCCAGACTCTTTTGATCGTTAGCCTCCATGAGCGTCGTGTGTGATGGTGGAACAGTCGGCTCAGGTGTATTACTTTCCAGTGGCAAAATACCAAAACTAGGCGTGAGGGGACTCATAGAATTGCTGAACATGCTTCGATAACGCGATAGTTTGATTCTCGGCGATATCGAAGTACAATTATAATGAACTGGTCCATTTTGCGGAGTGTCCTCTGCAGAGGAACACAAGCGTACCTGACCGCCATTTATCAGCGTCGGTGCCATTACTGGTGTCCTGTAATGTGCGAATAAAATATTAATACTGTTATTTTATAATATATTTTATAATATATACATACAAGTTAGTGCCATTTGATATAGGTGTACTGTTGCCATTATTTCCAGGTACAATAAGATCCGGTTCAGTGACATAGCTGAGCGTAGATGCAGTACCATGGCACATGGCAAAGGAATCTAGTTTGTCTACTTGAAAAATCTTGGCAGGGTCCACCTTCTCACCGACATTACAGAGTTCTTCGAACGAATGCCAGAGGAAAGGATTCATCTTTAAAGCTAACTTATGCGCTTCGTTGCCTCTCGCAGTACGCATCATCTTGTAATAAATCTTTGCTATTATCTGTAGAGAAAAACATGCCTGTTCCCCAAATTGACTTATTATCTCTTCCAAACTCTTCAACTGCTTGTAATATCCGCCGATTATCGCAGCTTCTGCTTCGGCATATCTAAAAGTTTTTAATAAAATTTTTACATATTTGCATATACATATATACACATACATGTAATATATATATATATATATATATATATATATATATATATATGTTACATGCAGAGCAATGTATAAATTGTACTTACTTTTCCAGATCGTAACAACATTTTGCTAGTAAAAACCTACATTGTGCCGAACTAGGTGCTTTCTGAGATAATAAGGCGTAAGCTTGTCTAATCCGACCAGAACGATAGTAACATGTTGCCAAAAGAAATAAACTTTCCTCCGTGTCCACTATAACAATATGTAATATGTATTAATATATATATATATATATAGTTATAAATTTTGTCTTATTTTAAAAGTTAATAAGAAAATATAAGAATAATATTATAAATTAAACAAAGTAAAATATCCTACCTTCTGCACACAGCCTTTCTGCCAAGAATATAGCATCTGGATAGGCATAATGATTCAAACAATGCCATATGGCCGCCTAAAATTAAAAATTTCAATATTTATCTTGATAATTAATCATGCAATAGCAATATGTGAGCGATTAAATTAACAAGAAAAGAGTATATGACGTAAGGGAACTCGGCTGCAGAAAAATATTTATTGTCAGTAATATGTGCAAAATATTCATTAATATCTAATATTAAATTGCAGTGCAATATCTGAGAAAAATATACTTTTTAATAATACATTATTATATATTACACAAATGATTCATTTTAATAAATTACAATATTGTTTATTTTAGTCTTTCTTAAAATATGCTTGAAAAAAAAAAAAGAGTTGTTTCAATGTCACAGTGTTATATAAATGCTATATAAAGTTTAATAGTATATAATTTATGCCTTGCATTTTCAATTGATAAGACGTAATCAATATGCACATTTTATTACATATAATTAAGAATAACGATCTGGATATCTCATTGTCTAACTTATACATTCATAAATCTCTTGTTTACTAACAATAATTACAAATATGTATAAATAAATAATAGTATATATGAATATGTATAAATATGTATATAAAACGACATATTAATTTTTTATTATTTAGCAGCTAGACACCAAGCAATCTCTGAAAACAACATCTCTCACCTCTATGCATCTCAATTGACTATAAAAATACGCGTTATTCATTATTCGAAATCCGCAGATACGATCAAGTTTCGCGCTTATTTATAGATGGAATCCTTGCTCGTCCTGCTCTTTTCTTCTCGCAGCGGAGCAAGGGATCCGCGTATACTTGGATAAAAACAAGAAGGGAAAATATCGAATCGTCGTTCCAAGAAACGATTTCTAAAGGACGATCCCGAGGACGAAATCGCCGAAATCATCGTACGACGTAACCGAAGCCACGCAGGAGATGCGTGCGCGTGTGCTCTCGATATCAGCGGGACGTCAATAGTGGCAAACGTGGATGCGCCCCAATATACAAATTCGCAATGTTACAGCAACGTGATAAAGGAGCCTGGAACGAGCTCAGCTTCTTACCTGCACTGGTTCCTGCACGATCATCGTTCACACCGGGAGCGTGGTCATAAAAGAACGTCGGCCCCCCCGGGCGTCCACCGGATAGAGATTTAACGACCGAGTACAGCGTAGTATTCCAAAGTCGAACGAGGACTGCTGTATATAAAAATTTCTCAGGAGTCCATCTTTGCTTCGATTCTTTTGAAGCGAGCGACTGCTTTCAGGTCGCAGGATCGCCAATCTTGGCCACGAACGTCAGGACTGTGCGTACGAATGATTACTAGACTTTACGACGCTTGCGCGGAGAAAGTGGCCAATGGTATCCTCCGAATTATTTCGAAGAGGCGAAAGATCGATCTGTCATCGCGCGTCTCCGACTTCGAATTTTCGGTTTTGTCGCAAAAATTCATCATTAAATCCGATAGTTGTATAATTATAAAATCCAGTAAGGATTCAAATTCATTATTTTTATGTTTTTAGAGAAAGAAGAAGGAGCTAGTGTGTCGAGAGTACAACTAAAAACGAACAAACGCATTGTTGGGCCCAATCGTATTCATCGCAAGGTGCGCTTGCGCAATTCGGTAAAATTTAAATTATTTGAAAGTCGACGGTTACATACCTCGTTTGGTCGGTTCGTCCACTTTTTACTTTTTCTTATTTCTCCATTTTGTTTACATGGCTGAATTCAGTACACCAACGAAAGTAAAATGCAAAACGGATAATTCCGAATTAAATACTCCTATAAAAATACCAGCGTCGCCTTTCTTGCAACAAATAGGCTATGGCACTGGTATGTATGGGTCTTCCAATACTTTTTATGACTACAATTCACAAATTATAAATAAAAAATGATTAATTAATGTTAACGTTTAAATTAGTATAATTTATTTGCATGGTTTTTTTAAGGAGTCGCTGTATATATGTTGGAAAGATCGCCAAAAGTAGGGCTAGCACGTTCCCCTTGGGCAGTAAAGAAATGGCTAAAGGGAAAGAACAATGACGAAAACAATGGACGTCTCCGATTAGAAGCAGATGTTCTACGACGATTGAATCATCCCAACATCGTCGGTTTCAGAGCTTTTACCACAGGAGTAGATGGAAAAGTTTGCTTGGCTATGGAAGCATTGGATATGTCACTTGGTATTTATGAAATTGAAAAATTTAGATATTTTAATGATCTATATGTTTACATTACTATTGTGATTGCTTCATAAATTAGGTGACAAGATAGAGGAAAGACATGATCTTTTAGAAAATGAACCATTCCCAGCAAAGGATATTTGGAAAGTTGGTTTTGAAGTTGCAAAAGGATTGAAATATCTACATCACACAGCATATATATTACATGGAGATATAAAAAGTTGGAATGTTTTGGTGTCCCATGATTTCAATGTAGTCAAATTGTGCGACTTTGGAAATGCTTTACCATTGACAGAATCTCTAGAAATAGATATGTCAAAAGGCAACTTTTCTTATGTTGGAACAGAATGCTGGAATCCTCCTGAAATTATACTTGGCATGTTTATTTGTTTAGCTATATGTTTCAATTTTTCAAAACTTCAAAATTATATACGTAAAGTTTTAATTCATAGTCTTTGAAATCACAATTAATTTAAAAATTTAATTTCAACATTCATTTGCAATTGTAATATCTAATTTGCAATTGTATAATTTCTTTAAAAATTTTATCTTGCAGAAGATGGACCAGTAACAAATGCTGCTGACATTTGGACATATGGCCTTACTCTTTGGGAAATGATATCTTTGTCAGCACCTCACGTTGAAGACCTTGATGAAAGTGAATCTTTTAATGATTCAGTTACAGACACAGACTTGACAAATAATCAACTTGATGATTCTAAACTTAATATGGATGAAAGTGTTATTTTCCTCAAAGAAATTATGCCACGTGCATGTAATAAATATGGTAAATAGTGTACATGATTGTAAATATTTATTAATTGTTTATAATAATGAATTATTTATTGTGGTTTAACTAGGTTAAATTAGATTGAATTAAAAATAAAAATTTTTTTTAGGTACACGTCCAGCTTTACCTGCAATTCATTTGGACAAAGAATATGAAAAGATACTTGAAATATTTTTCATATGTACTACAGCCAATTATAAATTAAGACCGAGCGCGAAAGCACTTGTAAATTATTTCGAAAAATGCGTGAGTACCAACAAAAAATAATTGTAAGTTGTTATATAAAAGTATATTATACACACAAAGGTTTTATTCATATAATTTAAACTAAAATTAAAAATATTGATATAAAACGTTTGTGACATATTTTACATATTTTACAATGATATAATAATGAATAAAAAAAGAATTAATATTATTAGACTCACAATAATGGCAAACTTGATCTTCCGCTGTAAAAATAATTGCAATCATAATATCGCCTTCACAAAATAAGATCAAATAAAACTTAAATTGTTAAATATCTAATACCTTTCTATATCTATGGCTTCTCTCTTCCGTTTTTTTCAAATGAATGCGCCCGCCATCGATATTATCCGTCGTTTTATTGGCAAAATATTCTATATTAGTGATTTGCTCTCCCTATAAAAAAATTCTATATATTTTCTGTATTGTTAGTGTTACTATATATATGATTTTATCAAACAGGAAAATAGTTATACTCACTTGTTTCTCTACTAAAAATGCAATTTCTACAAATATATCTCGAATTTCTGTGACAGATTTTTCCAATTTTAAAACATCATTATGTCTACTCTTTATATCTGATAATTGTTGTCTTGCAATTTTGCTGTCTTCTAAAATCTAAATATAATTAATCACATATTTGATATATATGTAAAAAATATTATAAATATCATAATAGCAAATTTAAATATTTACATTGTCAACAAATAAGCTAGTTTCTTGGGTGTCCAGCATATGGTCCAATTCCTCACTTGTAACTTGCCGTCTTACTAGATTAACAAATAATCTACTTGACAAGTTGATAATAAACATATATATTTGTATTTTAATCAATAAAATGTTGTATTACACACTTAATGAACGCTGCTGTTGCAAAAGCAAGAGACACTTATCATGATATCGTAACAGTGATACATTATAATCTTCCATAATCTCAGTAAACAACTGCATCATAGTTGTATATTGCAATATTTTGATTCTTGTATATATAGATCCATTTTGTCCCATGATTACAGTCAAGTCATCGACAGCTGTAACATCTTTTCCCAAATCTGAAAATAATAATTAGTAGAATTAATTATGAGAAGAAAGTACATATATACAGTATACAAATTTAAATGAAACTATTGTATGAGTAAAAACACAAACCTAAATAAGTTATATTGTTATTCAAATTTTAAATATTTAATGTTTCATTAAACCATTATATACTAATTCATTCATAAATTATATACACACGTGTGTGTGTGTGTAAAATATTACATATTTATTTTATATATTTATATTAACATATAAATATTATATAAATATTACAAAATTTGATTTTTTATTATTTAATTGTAATACATGTAATTAATATATAAATTATTAATATATTAATATATTAAATTATTAATATATAAATTTACACACACACATATATATATATATATATATATATATATTTATTATATTTTAAATTGAATTATATAGATGTTTGATGAGATACTAAATATTTATGTATAAAATTTGAAAAATAATTTATTTAGATTTGTGTTTTTATTTGTGTTTTATAACATTTATGTATATACATACATATATGTATGTATGATAATTTAAGTATATATATATATATATATATATATATATATATATATATATGTACATACATGTATATATATAATTGGTAACCAGTTATTGGTTATTCAGTTTTGCTTCTACATGGACGCTATTATTTGTCTCATGCATTTTATTATAGTAAACGAAATGTTTTGCGATAAATTTTTCGCAACATTGGCTGGTCCATATATACCGAAGAGACAGAACCGTAAAATAATTATCGATGCGCATGAGAAAACGATAACCTGAAACCTCTCCAAATCTCTATGCGTTATCGCAACGATAAGTTAAGGTTATGTTTACGTCTGCGAGAGCCGCACGCGGGAGAAGATGATAACGATTTGATGTTTTGGGCGCAATTTTAAACAGATACATTTCTCTCGCATTATGGAATCGTTGCGTATATTTCACGATTTCAAGCTAGACAATCTCGACCAAGATTGGATCAAGTCAGTTTGGGATGCGGAGTTTGTGACTTACGACGAACCACCTGATGATTATCTCGAGTACCTGGAGAGCGGCAACGCGAGACAGTTGTTGTACAAGTGTCGTCTTAGTCTGAAAGCATGGATCGTCGCCAAGGAATGTGAGCGTGAAACCTCCGAATATTCGTGGCAAGCTCTGATGATCTTGAATATCAACATACGTGGTCTGCTTGCCATGCTTGGTTACATAATCAAGACTGGACAATGTGCTGAGATCGAGGAAGACCTCAGACAGGCTTGTCTGGAAGCTACAAGTTTGTATCTTATGTTTCTCACAATACCTGGTAGCAATGCATTTGGAATTTATCATCCCAACTTGTACCAGAGAGCACTCAAAACCTTGAAGATGTCAGAAAGCTTAGTTTCGCCCGTTAGAAAAAATAATAAAGAAACAAATGTGATAAATTCTAGTATTGATGATGAATCAACAGATTGTTATGTTATGATAGATTCAAAAAAGTTAAAGCTCATAAAAGAATTGAATAGGATTATTTGTGATCTTGTTGCAATGTTAAAGTCATTTCGATTCAAGGAACATAAGGAATCCTTGGATATTACAATACGCACGTTATTAGATATTACAAGACTGGAGATGTACATTAAGCCTCACAACAATAATGGACTAACATCGTTGTCTCAAAATGCATTTATGACTTTGCAAGAACTATGCGGTAGCAATCATGGCACTATCGCCATAACTATAATGTTAATAGCACAATACATGCTGCCTGATTTGTTATTTCATCATACAAATGTGCAACCAAAGTCTATTATTATCGTACATGAAGCAATTATATATTTTTTTAAAAATTTGTTAAAAATTCATGAGATAGAAACAATGCAGGCAGTTGTAACTTTAATACATCAGTTGATGGTAAAATGTCCAGAAAGGTCGGAAGGTCGCCAAAGACAAGCAGCTGTTATAATAAAACTGTTAAATATATGTAACAAAGATATTATAATTACGATTTTCAAAGATATAATATTATTTTCACACAATGGTAAGATATCTTACAGACTATTCGCACAAGAAATCATAGGAAAGCTCTTGACGGAATTTTCTTTATCAAACGACGAAGATTTAAACAAAGATATGAAAATGAAAATGAGAGTAATTTTAGTAGCCGTTGTATCGTCCCGTTGTGTGGATCAATCAATCTTGGTAAGAGGAAAAGCCATGGCAACATTTGCCTCGTTTTCCGATTGCAATGATGATGCCGATAAAATGATTCTTGAAAAGATATTTAACACTTTAACTTCGGATAAACAATTTCCTGTCCTCGACGAATTGGAAAGAGCGTTGTCGCAGGACATTGATCCATTACCAGGATCAAATACTATTGTTGCAATGTTACTAGACAGAGTTAACGACGAGCGTGCGTTGGTTCAACGAAGCGCTTTGAAAATTCTAAGAAATTTATCCATTATGTTCCCAGCACTTATAGACAGGATGATGCGTGTGATAAGCGATCGTTGCAGGGATCCCACCTTGACTGTGCGTCAATTTGCAGTGCACGTTCTTTCAGAGATTTTACAACAATTTCCTCATAATTCGAGCCTCCTCGACGAATGGACACAAGCTGTTATACCGCAGATATACGATATCGAAGTTAAAGTACAAGAAAAGGTATTGGAATGTTTGGAAAATGTATTGCTAAATAGGATAATGAAAGCCTCTACATACATTCCGGATGCGGCTAATAATCTCCCGTGGAAAGTGCTGGAGAAATTGAGTAATATGAAAATGAGAAAACATTTGTCGAAAGCTTGCGGTTTGTGGATTAAGAACGGCGTTATTACCAATACTGTGATATCGAATTTGCAGTCGCATATCGGAACAGATAATAATATAGGCGCGTGGATACTGTTAGCTGCCTTAGTTGAGAATATGAAGATTCCGACTATGGATAAATATATCGCGAATTATAAGGAAATTATCCAGAAGAATGATTATCATGCAAGTTTGGTTCTGCATGTTTTGAGGCATGCATGGTGCGTTTTAGATCGCAATTGCCTCGAGGACCTCCATCAGTATCTCTACAACTGTATTTGCCTCTTTGAGATCACATTCAATTTAATCAGCATTTGCCTGGATATCCTGAACGCCGTACTACGATATTTGCACGCTGAAAACGGTAGTCAGGTAATGGAAGCGAATATGCTGAAACTAATGGAATTGTCAGAGGCGGAGATTCAAAGTTTAAGTCTGGAAGAAAGTGTAAGTCTTACGCAAGAGACACTTAAGGTAAGAGCTATATGTACATTGGGACATGCATCGCTTTTGTGCACCAACAAGATTTCGTCGTCAACTCTACAGGCTCTAGAACGATTGTTGCTACAATGGGAATCATTGCCGGAAGTTACGAAAGAGACCAAGAATCTGCAGGCATCCGCGGTAGTCATTCTTTGCCAGCAAGCACTGAGAGATCGTGAAATCGCGAAAAAAGTCACACCGATATTCGGTAAACTGATGCTCCAAGAAACATATTCGGAGCCGTCGATAAAGACCGCAGTCAAGATAAACGCCGCGAAAGCATTGGCTGATATTTGTGTGAGATTTACTGATCTAGTAGAGCCGTATTTGCCTGACATGTGCATCAGTATGAAGGATTCGAATCCGGGAGTGAGAGAAGCTATAATTGTAATATTTACTCAACTGCTGCTGGAAGATTTTATAAAGATGAAGGGACCATTCTTTTTTCATATATTGACGATGCTATCAGATGCGGATAGTATGATACGCGAGCTGACAATCTTCCTAGTGGAAGAGAAACTCCTAGCGAAGAATAAGACTTTAATTTTTAAGCAGTTTGTTGAAAGTATATATCATTACAACAATTATCGGTCCCATAGTGCGTTCTGTGGCCACAGACTGAGCGATCGAGAGAGGAAACTGTTGACGCTACCTGGAAGGGTGAATCAAGATAAACGTAACATCATTTACGAATATATGTTGCAACATTTGGACGCGTCGGCGAAGCTTAAATTAGTTATGAAACTAACTAAGAATATACTTGGTGAAATATGTGATCATAATTCCATCGATGTTACGACGGAGGAAGGGGCGTGTGTCTTGAAGGATGTGATGTTCATAATCGGCAATAATCGTCTACAACTCTCGTCGTCCGGTGAAAAGCAAAAAGATGATACACCGGAGCTCGATGAAACTTCTAACACGCCAATTAATAATAACGCAGTGAATGTTATCATAGCGGCGATGAAGAAACATAATTTAGACAATTTATTACCCACATTAATTGCGCTGAAGAAAAAACTTGCTGCTTTGAAGTCTCATTTAGAAGATGATGCAGAGAGTTTATTATTCAAGATCTACTCGGAATACGACGAAGAGCAGTTACTCGATGTATTAAATGAATATCCTGAATTGGAAAAAGAAATGAATCATTATCAACGGTATATATGTTAGTCTATATAATAAATGTTTAAGTGAATATGTTAGTCTATATAATAAATATTTAAATGAATTTATAGATCTTATTTTATCAAACATATACTAAAAATTCTTTAAAAATATACATGATAATATAATGTTTCAGGAAACTGAAAGACAAACCCACTTCGGAGAACGATGGTAGGGGCGCTAATTCATCATTTATAAATCACAGGAATCATTCGGAATTATTGGATCTATGCAGGCAATCGACGCCAAAAATTTTACTTCATCGTCTTTCACCTTCGATGATAATGCGTTACAGAAACAAATCGATAGATTCTGGTATTTGCTCGCAGCAACTCGCAACACCTTGCGACGATACGTTAGATCCAAATTCGACACACTTGGAAAGATTGTTGTCGATACAAACGCCACCTCCAGAGCCGAATCTTGTTTCCAGTACTTCTACATCAACTCAAAATTCATGTCCTAGCGATTCTTTTACGCCAAAGGAATTGCTGATACGACATAGATCCTTAAGCAAGCGGGAATATGCTCCTCGATATAAGTTCCATAAGAAATAATATGAAACCCGAATGATGATTTCGAACACGCATCATGAGAATTGTCTAGGAATTACTTCACGTACAAATTTACCTACCTCGTAACATTCGCTGCACGCGAACAGCTGTTTGTGAGATCGTACATGTACGCGTCTCCAATTCTTTTTTTATATCTGCAAATATATAACAAATATTTTATATAAATTATAGATTTAAACTATATTATTTTGTAATTATTACCATTGTTCGTGTGTGATAGAATATTGTTGTGCAAGTCCTTCACAATGGAAATATTTTTGTCTATAAGATGGATTAGGGCGCGTATTTCTTCGGCCTATATCAATACAATGCATATTCATTATGAAACGAGTGATTTTGATAGTATTTATACGTACTTGATCGAGCAATTCCTTGAGTTTTTTATTTTGAGCTATTTGAAGGTGTACTTCCTGCAAGAATCCTCTGCCAAAAGTACTGCTGTTACTTCGGCTCTGGAGAAATTGATATTATTCGATAATTTCGTTGCCCATTAAGAGATACGTCAATTAAATTAAATAAATCGATGCGATTACTTTAACTAGCAAAATTGCCTAAATTTCTAAATATGAAATTCGTAATCTAATCTTTTTTTTATGCTGCAAGTAACAAGAAATTAACATTTTCACCCACGTGTTTGTGTACTTTTGTGTATACATCAACAAAATAAAGTAGATATTATTTGATAAAATTAATCGTCGATTGCAAATTAATCGGAATTTACATAAATCTACTTTAAATTGTAAATTGCGAAAAAGAATAGTAATGAATTCTAAATATCGATTTTAAAGTCATACTTCTTTCTTCGTCACAATTTTATTTACATATGATTCATACATGACCGCATTGCATGAAACAAGATAGACATATGATAATTTCAAGCTCTTTTACATTTCTAATAATTATAGAAAAAAAGAATACTAACTGCACGCAAATCAGGCATACGATCACGAATCATGATGAGTATTCCTTCAGAATCGGTATATAACTGATAATTTTTTGTGAGTGAACATGCGATGTACGTTTCGTTATCTCTCTTATCAGTGCACTATGGATATCGCATAAAATCCATTCTACTTAGTTGATTTCGTAACTCATAGTCGAACGTATCGGCGATGAATTCAGTCACAAGTGCGACGTCTTTTGACTAATGCGTGTCATGCTTCTGGAGTAAAGTGCATTGTCATAAGTGCAAGATACTTTGCATCTTAAATGAAATAGGAAATAAGCACTTAGCAGCAACAAGGTCGAAGATTAAAGCAATTACAATATTTGCGCATGTTTCTAATTTATTAATACACTAAACAAAAATAACGTATATTTTTATTGTAAAATCTTTTTTTGTTATTTATTTTAGTAAAATTAAAAGAGAGAAAAACAAAATCTTACAAAGTTTCAAAGCAATTTTTGTTAAATCAAGATAATTGTGTTTACTGTATTCACACAAAAATTTTGTTTTCTTTTCAAAAAGATAGCAATAATATTTATATTTAAAATAAAATTTAATAAAGAACGATAAATCCGTGGCATGATTTAAGATTTGCCAACAAAGAATTTCTGCAAAGTTTCCTTTATAAAAGTAATCTATAAAATTACTTATACTTACATAATACATGTATTTAAAAATGCTATGAAAATAAAATGCGAATTTAAGATATAATATTTAATATTTATTTAGGATTTTTATATTTTTTGTGTTCTATTTTTTGTTTAATAGATAAGAAAAGAATATGAAAAAAATATATATCTTGATACATAATGTATAATATGTAATATATTCATAGAGAAAAGGAGAGAAAACAAGATAGAGAAATCATAACATGTATATAATTATCTTTAAACAACAATAAGTTATTTTTATTAATTTAATGAAAATGATTTTAATTGTAAAATAAAAAGTTTCTTTTCTTATTAAAATAGATTGTTTTTTTTTGAAAAGTTAAATAGATTTTGTTCTTAATTAAAAATATGAACATAATTTGCTACATTACATTAATTCTAGTTTTCTAGTTGTAGTATGATTTCATTATAGAATTGATAAAAATTGTTCATTTTATTCAAGTATGTTAGGCTGAAATGTAATTTCAATTTATGGCGTTTCATATGTTATGTGAATTATTTTGTAATAAATATAAATATAATTACAAAATATAAATAATATTAATACAGCAGTAATTATATATACATAAATTTATGTAATAAATATACATATATTCGTATAAAGGAACAATAATATCAATGCTGCTGTATAATGAAATATATTTGTAATGTACATAACTTTATATATTAATAGCAACAACTACTTTATAAAGTTATTTATTAATTTTTCGCACTTTTTCATTAACAATAACAATAATTATAACTAATGAACTGAGTGCTATGTGTTAGGAAGATGGGAAGAATACTTATTACTTCCCCACAAAGCTAAAATTATTACAAAATATTTAAAAATATGTTAAAGTGTTCAAATATCACACTTATAATTTATTTATTGCAGTAAGAACTGTAAGATCATTAATTGTGTATATATATATATATATATATATATATATATATATATATATATATATATAGTTAAACTACAGCAGTTTTTCGCAGAACATTATCTGGTGCATCGATATTATGCATATTCATATTTTAATAAAATGTATTACAAACAGATGTCAAAACTACCTTATCATCATGCACCTCTTATGTAATAGATAGAAGATCTTATTTGCATAATAGAATAATAGGAAATATGTATGTCAAGGCAAATCAGTCAGTCTTAGAAACTCATTAGTTTGAGTAACTCTCGATATCTTTACTGGTAGTTATGCTCCAGATAGACTGCTGACAGACGTTGAATTTTCATAATATTAGATTATAGTTAATAAGTGAAATTCGGACATAATTCATGGTATATATTTTAACGTGGATGTGTTATATTACTGTGAAATATAAATAAAAAAAAAACAGATCTATCTTTCGGTCTTTTATAACATTTTGGCCATACTATAGTTACAGTAGAAAAATGTATTAAAATATTTTTACCGGGATATTTACCACAGAATGGAACGGTATCGTGATTATATACACTACGTAAAAATAGATCTGATCGTTTCAATTGCACTTTTTACTTTATTTTCTGTACTTAAAATCAAATTGGCGTAAATTCAGGCTTCAGAAAAAGAGAGCAATTAAAATAAACAGATCTAATCACTCTCTTATAAAGAGAGGATTTTTGCTCACACTTTCTATTGATATAACCGACTTGTGCTTGTCAGTGTGTTAACTTACATTACTATGTAAAATTATTAAACTTCCTTTCATTGTCGCATTCTTTACGTACTTAGCGATCGTTAATATCACTTATACAATACAGAGCATTGTCATAAAAAAGTAGCTTAGTTTTATTTTTAGTATCAATAAGAGTTTTATTAGCAATATGTAAGAGAATAACAAATATAACGCTCGCATTAAATATGCTAAGAATATTTTTTATATATAATAACAGATATATTCTTTAATAAAATATATACATATAACAAAATAAAATAATTTTTCAAATATAACATTATAATATAAGATTCTCTTGTCAGTAATAAAACTCTTATGGAAATAAATTAAAATCAAGCTTTTTTCTTATATTTCTAATGTGCCTACATCCTGCTTATAAATATTTGAGCCGAACGATATCCTGAATCTTGATATAAGGAATATTAGGATAGAGCAGGAAGTATTATTAACAGGATGCAGTTCGCACTCTCACTTTATCCCTTAAGTAATTAGCGACCTGCGTCTGTGAATGCCTGACAGCCAGCTGAAGCGGCGTGATGCCCTCCTGATTTACGAGCAAAGGATCTGCCCCCGCTCCCACGAGCTGCCTCGCGACTGTCATGTGTCCCGTCAAGGCTGCAGCGTGCAATGCACTTTCACCGTTCTTAAAACGATAAAGAATCTTAATCGTTCCTTGCATATGATATGTTTTCTTACGTTACGTAGAATTTTACATAAATAAATCTTATATATATAAATCTCGCCTTCTACCTTGTTCATTTAAAATTGTTTTTAATTGCAAAATTTAAATTATTGAAAGTAAATTGTCGTCGGTAGATAAGATTACTTCGCAAAATTGCTTAATTTTCTTTTTTTAATACTTGCGCTGAGACCTACCGGAAGGACTCCGAGCGAGGGACGATACTTGAGTAGCTCACCGATGACAGCGGTGTGACCTTTGTGGGCGGCTTTGAAAAGCGGAGTCGCCCCGTCCTGCAAGAGCAGATCGTTCGCGGTGACGCAACACAGTTTGCTTTCCGTAAATTATGGAAAACGCGAAGGAGGTTCTCGACACACAAGACTTACGTGTCTAGTGGCGTCAACCTTGGCGCCGGCTTTTAACAGCCTCCTGACAATATGATCGTGTCCCATTTGTGACGCGATCCAGAGAGGCGTGGCGCCGTCCGTTCTCGCCGCATCCGTTTTCGCCCCGCGCTCCAGGAGGACCTCCAGAATACGAAGATGACCGTTCTGGGCGGCGATAAACAGTGCTGTGGCGCCGTCCTAACAAGCCGTAATTAATTCTTAACTTTCGCATATTAATGCCACATAGTTATCTCAAATACACATGATACATAGTAATGTTTCCGACCGAATGGGATCGCTCCGAGAGCGATAAATTTCAATTTATACCCTTATTGAACATGTATATGAAGAGCAATTTAACTCGCCGGAGAAATTTACATCTCAACTTGAGAGAAATTTATATTCGATAAAATAATTATTTAGAAATGGAGCTACTCGTAAAGATAAATATCTAAAGTATTGAAATTATTCATTGCTATGAGAAACATATGCAATTGACGAATTTAACAGAGCTTGACAGAAATAAATTCAAGTATAATGCTGATAAATCATCAATCTGCTATGTCTTATTTTCTTATCCTCGATATATAAAATTCCATCGTAGAGAGAAAAATTCCCTTCTCTTACTTTCATGTGAGCGTTCGGACTGGCACCTCTCTCTATTAAGCCTTCCACAACATCTAGATGGCCGTATTGACATGCGACGAAGAGTGGCGTGCCCCCGTCCTGAAATCCACGTGGAATAAATTAGTGTTTAAAGAGCAGCGAGATCTCGTTTATATGTTGTCGCCTCTCACTTACTACACTGCACGAATCCACGATCGCCCCGTGCTCCAAAAGTAGACTCGCGATATCCATGTAACCACCCTGGGCAGCGAAAAACAAAGCTGTTGTCCCGGTCTGGAAAAAAAATTATTATATAATATGACATATATATGGTTACACTGTTATAGATATAACTGCATAATGATATATAAAACGATTTGAGTATCTCAAATATGTTTTAGGGCAATTATTTATTAAATAAATATATTATTTAAATAAAATAAAATTATATGAACTTAGACGAGTGTATCTTGTAATTTTATGAGGAGAAAAATTGTTGATGATTTCGATTTTTTTATTCAAGAATAATTTATTATATATTTATTTCTTTTTTAAATAAATTTCTTTTTTAAATGTCATGCAAAGTATTTTTCTTTCTCCCTCTCAAGAATCGAGATAATTAAATTAAGTGGACTATTCGATTTAAGTCCAAAGTGGAGTTCGCGAGACTCTTCGCGATATGTGACAAATTCTTTAGAATATGTAGATAAGTACAATAATAGATGAGACGAAACGAGACGAGAGAAGAAAGGATCGATAACATCTTCTCTACGAAAGATTCCTTATAATAGAACATCATTTGCAATTATTAGTAAATTCGTCGATTGTACATAATATGATTGTATTGGGACTTTGCAACCTTTAACTATCGATTTCTACGAAGCACCGTAGCGCCGTTTTACAATGCATACGCGGACCTGTCCTTCACCTAATTTAAGATAATGACTCGCGTTATAAAGCGTGACTACATGAAGCACATATCGTGTTCGCGCGCGAAGCAATAAATTTTCGAAACTTTCATCGATATCGAAATACAATTGAGTTTCTGGTTTATTTCGAGCTTCGAGATTATGACGAAGCAATTAGAATCCACCGTTACGCTTTCACGAAGGAAGATAAATTCCTTGGGAGGGAGGGAGAAGAAGGAAAGAATACGATTTCGATCGTATCTTATAAGCACGCGGAAAGAAATATGTAAGAAATAAATCTGGAAAAAATCAGGAATCACAAAAGCGGCACGAGATGTTAATAAATTGTCAAATTTTCACGATGCTCTTCTATACATGCATCGAAACTCGACACGCTTCTTGGAAGCAATCTGAGAAAGAAAATTAATTTATTTCTTACAACACACGCAAAGAGATTCTTAAGATTTTACTTCTGAAAATTATTCGGCGATAATACCATTCGAATTAATTATGCTCCAAATTTCTTGTCATGATATGTAACACATCTATCACTTTCGCAAAAAAATATTCTGATAGAATTTACGAATCTTTTTAATGGCACATTGTAAGATATTTTATTTTATACATATGTGACGAGATTTATTTATATAAATATTTATATAAAATTATTAATTTATTCATATAAATATTTATATAAATAAATCTCGTCACATATGTATAAAATAAAATATCTTAAAATGTGCCATTAAAAAGATTCGTAAATTCTATCATCAATATTATCTAAATCTGACTCGATGAAAGTAATACAACCTACAACAGAGTTCATGTTCCCATTCTAACATTTTTATTTTACTATACGGATTTAATTTCCAAGGATATTAACTTCTTAATCTAGATTCATTTTCACGTTTCCTTTGCACAGACTTTATAGGCCCACGCTTAAATAAATATAGCCGTCACGTACTTTCACTGCCATAAAAGCTTCTCTCGGAGGAGCAACGAGTTCTCACAGCTTGCCCTGTTTTTCAACTTTTCTCCTTCTGAGAAGCAAGATCGAACATTCTTTTTCAAAGCTTTGCGAGGTGTGGCGCAATTTTTCGCCATTAATATTATTTTTAATGAGTAAGGAAGAGATTGAGGCTTCTCTCGGTGCTTCCTTCTACATTCCTCATCGTGCTTATCTCTCAGAGTTATGCTCTCCTGCGCGCTCCGTTTGCAAGGCGCGGTGAACTTTATTTTCTTTTTTTGTAACTTGCAGAGCGGATTCCCCTGTCTGGAAATGGGCCGCGCGGGTGCATGCAACGAGCGTGGAGTTACATGTGCCGCGGTGCGTGGCGAACGAAGCGGGGGACATTATACCTATCCATTACTAAACCGCAGAAATTCTATAACGCTATAACGATCGCAGCCTGTCATGTTTGGCGGTAAAAGTCGAAGCGACACGGTTCTTTCGCTTCGGCTGTCGGTGCAATCATGCGCGAGGAGACATTCGCAAAACCCGGTCAACCCGACAAATAAAATGCACGATATACATATATACACATTTGAACAAATTGTTAAATTAAAGCGATTGAATTATTTTTATTTAAAATGCTTGAGCGACATTTCAAAATTAAATCGGTATCTTTGAAAGCTTAAAAAGTCTTTTTTTCTATTTATATTATCTGCAAAAAAAGTTATGACATAAATATGTTAAAAGAGGTAATACATAAAAAAATATAATATATAAAAATATTTTTGATAAGAGTGAGCTTTGTATCCTAGTAATCTAAATTTCTTTTTACGTATATAAATTTTGGAGCATTTTAAAAAAAATAATATAAATATTTTTTTGCAAAAAAATGTGATATTAATGTATCGAAAATGAGAATTGATTGTTGGAGAAAAATTCAATGTGAGGTAGGAATTGAAGATCTGATTTTATTTCAGAGATGTGTCTGCTGAATCAGCCACGGCATGCGTGCATAGCGGTACCGCGCTTTATAGCTTACGAATGCAAATTCCATCAATTGTGCATCGATCCCAAGTGGGACAACAAAAGGTCAGTTATTTTCGTTTTGCAAAAGTGCGGGATATCGAGTTCAATTAATTCACCGGAAAATGGTCGAAAAATAATCAGTAGTAAATGGCGCGTGATACTCTCACCGGATGATATTTAAACTTGATCGATTATTAAGTACAGCAAATTTGATCGATGCTTTACATTACAAAATCGCTTCAATTAATGTTTGTTTATAACGTTTGTTGATAACATGATTTTTCCAGCGCGCGATCATCTAAGATATATAATTTATCAGAGACTGTCGACGACCTAGCGGTGTCATTCACCCTCGGCAGTATTGTTCATTTTTAGACGATCAATAATCGCGGGTAGAAAATTTGTAGATGTTACCATCTATAGAAGTTTCTTTTAATTTTTCTACAACATTTGCGCGTTAAAGATTAAAGTCAGAATAATTCAGTTAAATTAATATGAATGAGAATGATTAAATGTCACGCTTATTCAAAAGTTAAATATATATGTATATAATAAATAATAAATATAATAAATAAAAAATCAATATTAACATATAATGTAAATAGATGTATATCAAATATATTTTTCACAGAATGTATTATTATATATGTATACATATATATCAGTTTTTTTAATTTTTTTGGAAATCTGAAATCGACGATGTAATACTAATAGTAGTATTCTTTTAAATACTCTAAAATAAAGAGCAAAATAGTAAAGGTGCATTTCGCTTCAACAGAAATTAAATTTGAAGAAATGCATGATCTATTATTATTTATTTCCTTTTTATTGAAGTTCCTTTTTAATGTTTCACGAGTAATGTATGAACACTTTATGAAATATATAATACATATGTAGAATTATCTCTAATTCTAAATATTTATGATATATAGCTATGTATCTGATAAAGAAAAAAGAGAGACTTAATATGTTTAAATAGACAATAGATGCATATAGTGTCAGCAATAATTCCTGAACTGCCACGTTTCCGTTGTTGCATGTTTTACATAGACGCTCGCTACCATTAGACTCACGCGAACTTACACATACGTTATAACACAATATTATAGCACAAGCTCACGTGTGCTTTATTTAAGCAACTTTGAAATATTTTCTTTCTTTTTTTCTTTCACTTGATTCTAACAGTTCATCGATTTGCGAATATTTATATTACAAAAGAAAATATTCTTTTAGATTAATGTTCCAAAACCATCACGGAACAGCTGTTAAAATATCACATTCTCTCTCTCTCTGTGGATTTTTTAAAATTTCGAAAGAAAAAAGAATTTTGTTGAGCATGATGAGATGATTTTCTTCATAGACTATAATTTATTTTACGTTTAATTACTATTGCTTCTAACGATTTATTAGCAGATTACTACGCGTACTGAGAAATTAATATGAAAATCAAAATGAGATAGAATTATGCCTGTAAGTAACGGTCTTGGGATACCAGAGTATTAATTTAAAGAGAATCATGTTTTCCAGATCTGAAAACGATCTTGGATCTCAATCCGCTGATTGCATAAGACGACGAATACGTTTAACGGGTTTTTAACTAACGTTTGCGTAATTCTGCGTCGAGTGCGACACCGCATCATTATTTACGCTCAATCTCAGGAAAGAAGTACAAATAGTATCATTAACTCCATATTGAATGTTATACACTTCTATTTCCATGAGCGTGTTTACTCGTGCAATATTTCTTTCTCGTTTCGAACAGTAATCGTATCAAACGTAAAATTGAAGATCTGAAATTTATTTTACACAAATTGCGAAGCATTTCCGTTTTTATTTTTAATATAAAAAATATTTTTATAATATAAAAATATTATATTTTTATAATATAAAAAATATTTTTATAATATAAAAAATAAAAATAAGTTTTGAAATATTCTAGATCAGATTTTCTACAAAAAATAATTAGATAAATAAATCTTTTCTGTAATTTAATTCATAAAGATTATTGAAAGAAAGATCATGAGAGTTCTTATAATGCACTTTCTAAATTTTTTTATTTCTCTACTTGTTAAGATGCAGCACAACGTTGTTTGGTTGAATGCAGTTTTGTCATCAATTTACATACAATGCCGTAATTTTAGACACCAAGGTAGAAAGAGAGAAGCGTGGGTTTAACAATAAATCTTTACGGGGCACTTAAAAAAGGAATGCCCGACAACTTCCTGGTACTTCGCGTGACATGCTACGAGCTTTTTATGTCGCGCTTGAGACTCTTTGCATGCGTTTAAAAAAAGATACAACGCGTCGTAAGGGGAATAGTGCTCCAGGAAGCTTTCACGAATTCTATTTCGAGAAGCAACGAAAAAATAAGGAAAATGATATTCGTAATAAGATCGAATTTTTTCATGCACTTTACAAATGAATAGCTCCCTACAGATTAGGTTTCTAGAATATAAATAGAAATCTTTTCCACCTGTGCTATTTAATGTAAAAAAAATCTACATTAACATGTTTTAATTTAAAAGATTTGATTAAATATTCTTGAAAATTAAGAAATTGTCAAAAAAGTTGTCACATTGTGATTAAATTTTCGATATAGCAAAAAAAAAAAAAATTAATTGATCGAAAAATTTGCTCCACAGTGTTTATCACAGTGCTTATCATGTTATATGTTACATCTTGTTATACATTTCCTTTAATTGCAATTAGCATACGAACTCAAGATTACTTAGTACCGGTTTTGATAAAAAATATGATATCTATATAAGAGAAATAGAATAACGTATAAACCTGAAGACATAATAAAATATTCTTCTGCTAAAATATTTTTCAGTATTATAGATCAATGATAAGTGTGATAAGTGTAATAAAATAATGACTCATAAAATAACTCATCATCATCATATTATCATGTCATTACAACTGTTTTATGGATGTAATTATAGTTATAATTATTAACAGTTATAATTTTACATATTTTGCAACAATTATAAATAAGTATTCCGAATTGCACGCGACGTTTAACGATCATATATGATTTCATAAATAGAGTTTTTGTCGTACAAAGTATGACAGAATCTTCAGAATATTACTTATCTCATCAATGACTATCTCCTATGATCTTAAGTAAGAGATAACTAATGTTTTACATTTGATAACAATAACTCTCGTGTTATAATCAATAATTTAATAATAAAAAAATTATTAAATAAATTAATCAAATTATATCAATTTACTATTATGTATTTACTATAAGTAGTTACTACTTATAGTTTTACCATAATATTTAATAATAATTAATAAATAATCAAATTAAATAATTTTTTAAATTATTTATTTCGATTAATATTATGGAATATATTATATATATAAAGAATTAATTATATTTTTTCTTTCATGTTAAATATAAATTTTTAATCATACAAAATGAAACGAAAGACGCGCTCGTGCAATTATACACTCGCGAGGAGAATTTCATTTATTCTTTCTTCGATCGTTTGTCGTAAGATTAGGACTTACCAGTCTTTTAGCATTGGAATCCGCTCCTTGATGCAACAGTTCGGTCACAGCATCGATATGGCCACCGGCGGCAGCTAAAATCAAAGGTGTCGTGCCATCCTGAAAGAAAATGACCTCATTTACAAAACTTAACGCTTGCTATGAAGATTCAATTGGCCACGAAAACTTTCCTCTACCGGTGAACGTTACCGGCGAATGTATGCCGCTATGTATTTTCTAATCAATCCTCGCGAGCTATCAAGATGTAAGCTAAGTGTTCTGAGTCCATTAACGCAATTAGCGCGTACTATGTATAATATAATACATATTATATTGTGTACAGAATACAGTACGTACACACAATATGTGTATGCATAACAAGAATAAATCAAAGTAACAAAATTATTTTCTTTGTAAAAAAGTGAAAAGAAATCGATATTATTTAAAAAAATCGATTTTATTTTAAATAAATTAAATTTTAATTAAATTAAAGGCCTCATTATTTTGGTAAATTAAAAAGAACTTCATAACAAATATTACAAATTATAAATCACAAATCGAATCTCAAATTAAAACTCAAAATCAAATCTCAAAATAATTTCAAAACAATCTCTGAACAATCTCAAACCTCAAAACAAATCTTATAAATTATAAATGTGTACTTTACACTTATAATATTTTATTTTTACATCGAACTCATCGGATATCTCGTTAAGCTAATAATACGAAGCTTCGCGAGATGGTATTCGATTGGAGATTCGAGTGGACAGAAAATCACGAGCAGCAGAAAGTATATTATTATTACTTGCCGACTAAACAAAATCACGACTTGATTCGATCCTGACGGTGACACGATTTCATTCGAATGAGCTCGCTGGTAAAACGCGTTTGGCTTCCAGGTCGAAAAGTGGCACGATTAGTGTCCGTGCGTGATCTAATAAACCACTTTCCAGAAGAGTATAACGTTACTCGCGCGTTGCTCGCTTTTCATCGTCGTTTGCATAATGAGCTGACAACGAAGAGAGAAAATCGTCGCTTCTGCCATGAAATCGTCGGTTTATTGTAACACTATTCGCTATTTCAATCAGCTGCGAGCTTCTCTCGACTTGACTTGATCAACAACAACATCATACACATTCTTAAGCGATCTCATATGACTTTGAATTAATCAAACCAATTTCAAGCTAATTAAATCGGTTGGGTTTAAACAAAGAGTGCGCTTAAGAAAAGCCCAAGTTAGTTACTTTGATATCAGAAAGAGAGAGAATTCATTTTAAAGAAAAAATTATGTGTGCGTGTCCCGAATGTTTTATTTCGATTGCAAAACTTTTCTGATCGTTTAGCGAACTCTCTGAAAAATATATTACCTTGTCCTTGCAATCAACGTGGACACGTCCGGAGTCCAATAAAATACGGAGACGCTTGGCATCCCCACGTGCTGCCGCCAGATGCAGCTCCACATCCCAAGGCGATTCCTTCTAAAAAGAAAAAAAGAAAACAAGTTAATAAACATGCTAATGAAATTCTCATCTCCTTGAACTTATGTAAAGTGGTTACAATTGAAGAGAATCACTATACAAACTAGAACTATATAAACGCGCAGGAAGTATTTAAAACTTCATCAATACGTTCCCTGAATATATGTATTGTAATCATTAAAAAATCATGTGGCAAATATAAAATTCGACAGCCTAATATGATAATGCTGTGACGTTTTCTTGGGAACATTAAGATTAATTAACCAATAAAGAATAAATTTGGGAAGATATAATATTATAATAAATACAATTTTTAAAAATTGTAAAAAAGTGTAATATAATTTTTTAAATTCCTTAGATTCTCTTATAGAAATTATTCAATTGATTTTTTGGTGTTCACTTTGATCATTTTGACATGTTTCCAATACATATTTTCATCAAAAGATATTTTCGTATATATCCGAGTCAATTCCGTTAGTGAAATATTGAGAGGAGAGACATATATTCTCATACCAAATTCAGTCCGGACTGTAATATAAACTAATGGACGACACATGTACAGTGGAATATTAATGTAGCTGCGTGAATATGGATATGATTCGTCGGGACCGTCAAAGCTCTCAAGTCACAAATATATTTTTAGCTCCTCCATAATCTCAAAAATATGCTCACGATCCTCTTCGATGGGATTAATATTTCTTGGCACCGGTCTTTCTTCTCCATGTTCGTGTAATTTTTACGTAAATATCTTCTAAATCCTTCGACGATGATTAAAATTCGACGCCCGCTTTCGATTGTTTACGAAATTGTAAATTATCTCATAAATAACTTTTAGGGAGAGAAAGGAAATATCCTGCGGAATGTTGAAAATATATTTGTGTCACTCTCGAGGTTTGTTGATGTCGGTCCGATTTTGCGGATTTATGTTTTAATAAAACTTTCGCTCTGAAATATTTCGAAAAATTCTACAAACAGGAAAATAATAAATTTGTAAAAACTCAACATATATATATTTGGAACTTTTTCGTTGATTTATACAGTTTACCAATTCTACGCATCATAGACAAACGTAAAATTGCAAAATACGTTGGACTATATTTGATGAACCGGAAAAGTCTTATTATAGATTTTACAGCGATACCGTACACAATAACACAAATATTTTCTTTGTATGTAAAATGCGAGAGACGAATAATCCTGACATTAACATGCCTTCGTTTCAAAAATTCCCATGATGTTGCATGATACAGCGATTAATCTTTGTAGATATAATCTTCTTGATAGAGAAATAAATATAAAAATAAAAAATTAATGTAACTTTATTCAATAATTTATAAATATCAAAAAATATTTTGAAGAAAAATATATAGGTATTTTCGTTTTACAATTTTTGTGATTGCCAACTGCGAATTTATCGACAAATACGTTGGAAAAATCTGATGTAAATCTTACGTAATATCATGTAGATAAAGAATGCAAATTTAATGAACTAGATTAAGTGCTCGCACACGCATTGACATCGACGTGCGACCAGCTTTAAACCCTACATTTAGTATTATGCAATATGTGTCACGAATAATATAACATTCTAAGTTAATAATATAACATATTATTATAAATTAATAATATTATATTATTAATTTATATATAATACGTTATATTATTAATTTATTAATATGTTATATTATTTATATATTTATATTAATAATATTTATTTAATAAAGTCTAGTCATTAATTATACATTGCTAGTAAATAAATTATCTGATTACATTGAATTACGCGATACTTCAATTAAAAATAATACGTAATAGGTTCATGCATTCTACTATTTAATCTCATTTTTTCTAAATTAGTAAAAGTATCAAATCCTGATATATATTCTACGACCAGTTTTCAGCGAAAATACCCGGACGAGGAAATGGTTAAACGGCGCCTTGTGGCGCGATAACTTCGCCTTTCGTTTTTAATCGCATTCGCGATCGCAGGTGCGCTCAAAGAACCAGGAATAACGCGCTAATAAAAGATAAGACGTATATTCGTGTCGTATACGTTTAACATACAATGTTACTCGCGTTTTACTCTATTACGTTTTACGCGAATTGTGTTCGATGTCGCGCAGAACGAAAGATAACAATCAAAATACATATTCGAATCAACAGTTAATCGAGAAGAATGACGTCCTCTCCTGGGTTCAAAACAGTTGATTAATCAAAAGAAAAGATTAAAGCACAATAACGATAAGCGATAAAATGACGACAATTATGAAGATGTGATATAATGGAAAGCTCAACGTAGAGTAAAACTTGTTTATTTTTTTTGAAGAAATTATATACATATATATATATGTATATAAATGCCAGAGTGTTCTGTTAAATTTAATTTACAATAATACACGAAGGAGGGGGGAATGTAAAAGAGCGTGCATCTTAATTCTTCCTTCGTACATGCATCTAACGCGTAAACGCTGAGGCATAAAGCGCACTTTGCAACTTCCTCGAGGCAAACACGCGGCATCGAGGTGGCTGAAGGGGGGAAAAAATCCTTCCGCGGAAATCGCGATGACATAAACCGCGAACCATGACGCTGCTCCTCGCGACTCGTCGACACTCACCTTCATGGACATGTTGAAGCCGTGCGGCTGTCGCGTGCCGATCAATCGCTCTTCCTGGTTACTCCTCCGCGGAGAAACGCGCAGCATGCGTCGCTTGTACGATCGTCATACATAACAAGCGTACGTCCCGCATCCGCGCGCGCACTCGAGCGTCCGTCCGGCGCGCGGCGCGCTCCGCTACTGAACGCGATCCTCTACCGCGGCCCGTTTTGTAGCCGCGCGATTGTACCGCGCTCCGCTCGCCGAGGAGGTACTCTTCGCTGGCTCGTGACACGCGTCGCCGAACATCGTTCCACGGACATCGAATCGTCCCCACGAATTGCTCCGATTCAACTCCGCGTTCTTCACGTGGCTTCATGTTGCCACGAATTTCCGCGAGGCGGCAGCACCTTCCGATATTTTGACATGAAACAAGCAAAATACATAGAGAGCGAAGTCTCATTTTCTTTTAGGAATCTATCTTCGATAATGATAAAAGAGAAGATATAATATAGACCATTATTATATTAATCTTAAAAATTCGAAATGATGCATCTCTATTTTTTTTTTAATATTGATCTCTATTTTTTTAAATATTTATCTCTCCGCTGATGAAGCACCATTGATCATCAAATGTACCCGGTGGTCTTTTCGTTTGGTAGCCATATTGAGAAAAAGTCACGCCGATAGTAAGCGAGAAATATTTGCTAAATAATTGACGAAGCTGTATTTTTTCACATAGAGAAAGAATATATTAATTGTTCGTATTACGATATTATTACAGATATTAAAAAATGGAGAACGATTTGGGAACTCTGGTCGACTTGTACATCCCACGAAAATGGTAAGACACGTGTGTATTTCAATTACAAGTTATTTTTTGTAAATTTTATAGAACATGAATATGAAATTTTCTATTGAAATATTTAACTAATAATAAAAATATTTAGTCGACGCAATTTTCTTTTTCTATTTAAAATCAATTTTAAGATGTGCAGTAAATAATTTGCGATCTATAAAGTGAGGTTAAATGTATACTAAACTACAGTGTCAAATTTTCCAGGAATTTAGTTTCTTTAGCAGATTATGCTTGTACTTAATATTTTATATATAGCAAATAAAATGTGTTTATAGAAAAATAAAAAAATGATATAAAAGTGCATAAAATTACCTAGAAAATACATTGAAGGTATTTCTGCGTTACAGCTCTGCGAGCAATCGCATCATTCATGCCAAGGATCATGCGTCGATACAGTTGACGTTGGCTGATGTAGATCCAGAAACTGGACGCATGACTGACACACATAAGATGTATGCAATCTGTGGAGCAATCCGTCGTATGGTATATATTTATTTGTATATATCTGTATACACAAACAATTATTAATAGTACATAAATAATTACTTAATTAATAGTATTATTTTGGTAAAACATTATCAACCAAAAAACATATTATTTATAAATTATGATATTTAAATTATAAATTATAATATTTAAATATAAATTATAATATTTAAATTATAATATTATTCAATTATATAAATCAAATATTTTATTACAATATTGATGCAAATTTACAATAACTTCTTTATAATAATGAAATCAAATAATACATTAAACTTATATTTACAGGGTGAATCAGATGATTGTTTAGTGCGATTGACAAAGAAAGATGGACTTTTACCAAAAAATTTCTAATATAATTATATGACCAATTATAATTTTCAATAAACTTAAAGAAAAAAATCTTTTTTGTTATATTCTTCTTGAATTTGAAATTCCATCTATATGAATCACATTATAACATTTAATACTTATATTTAATACTTATATTAAACATTTAATACTTATATTTGCAAAAATAATATAAAAGATATTTCAAAAATGAAGTTTTATAAAAAGAATTTATATATATATGTAATCTCTTTTTGTTTTAATAAGTGCCCTTATTTATTGAAAATGATAAAATTTCAAGTATATTCGCTATACATCTCATTTTATTGAAAATAACAAATATATATTATGGAAAAAATTGAAAAATTAGCTATTAAAGTTTTAAACATTATATAAAGAGATTTCCCTAAAAATTGGAATATAAATTTTTAAGATATATATAGGCAACTTTTAAATTTTTTTCATTTGACTCATTTAAATGAGACAAATCGTCTCCATAGATGTATATTGTATATATAATTATATGACATTTATTGAATATTTTTATACATACAATTATAAGTATGAAATATCTATATGTACATATAATACATCCATATAACAAGACTTGTATATGTCAGATGCCATATTATCGCTCGCGAGTCACATTAAAAATTATGCTCGTGTGAATATATATTCTCCAGTTATATAAAAATAAAAATTATCACTAAAGTGTATATTATAATGTTGTGCCATATACAAGTGGAACTGACTATTCTTAATAAATTGTAATCGATCAAACTCTCTATAGCTACACAAAAATCCCTTTTTATCTGGTATAGACCAAAATTATCAAATTTTATTGCCCTAAATTACTGTAAATATTTTAAAAATTCCTTAAAGAACAAACAGTTCAATATTTTTAGGCAACGAATTTTTACAATGCAATTTGCTGTAATTATTATCATCTAAAACTTTTCGTATTAACTTCATTATTAACTTAGATATACATTTCTTTAAAGTTAGAGAAAGATTAAAGAAGAATAGACTAAAAAACTTTTGATCATAGTTTAAATTCAGAAAAATCTTTTCTGATTAATTCTTTTTCTCATTAGTTATCTTAAATTTATACTTCATATAACTAAAAATTCACAAATCTTGATATTTTGAAATTTTTTATAAATAAATCAGAAATTTGTAATGGAAGGCAACATTTAGAGAGTTTTCAAATAATACTGCATATCAAAATTGCTTATCTCATTTTGTTATCTCATTTTATGCAATTAAATTTTTATTATTTATATATATTGTTCATAGAATAATTTTTGAAATATATAATTTTAATTGCATATACTTTTAAAAAATTCTGAGTTATGATTAAATGAGTCATAAAAGGTATTTTGCTTTATTTTATTCACTTGACATAAAATATAGCATATTCTTCCATGTTTGATGTATTTGCATATTATCTTTTTCCTTGTTTTGTTAGAATTTTTATCATGATATAGGAAATTTATAACATTAAAATGTTACAAGATAATTCTTGCAATGCTCGTAATTTTGTTATAAATATGTAAGTATATATATAAAACTTTTTAATCTTTAATTCTATATTTAATATTTTTTCACTTATTTTCATATAATAGCTAAGCAAATAATACTTGAATAATATGTCATATGTAATATTTGTACATAAAGTTTAATGTTTAACATTCTAAAGCAAAATTTGGAATAATAAACGTATATAAGTAAATAGCTAATAATATATATCCAATATTTTTTATCATATATGTTACATTCTTTTTAATTATTATCTTTGTAATTATTTGATATATTTAAACAATAATATAATATGTTTGGAAAAGCGCATTTAATACATATATGTCACTTTAATATTAAATATTTGAAAATTTTCATTACTTATACATAATCTTAAAATAATGGAACTGGTTTCAAACTTTTACCCTGAGTATTCACTATTAACGCATCTCGTTACATATTTCTATCAGATATATAATTAATGAAATAGGCCAATATATATATATATATATATATATATATATATATATATATATATATATATACATATACTAAATGTATATCTTCTTGAAAAATTTTTCAAAATTAATAAAATTATCATTGTTGATACTATAATAGATAGATCATATTTTAAGGATTATATTTTATGTGTATTTTGGAATATGGCTAAATCTGTCTTATAAAAGAAAATATTAGAAATTACTAAAAAAAACAAACTTAATGCTATATATAATTTTATTTTTTTTTTAAAAAAAGATGTTTATCAAAAATATTCATCAATAAAAATTAAAAAATAATTGCACAAATCTTGATGTATATCTTTTTTTGATCATAAATATCACTTAAATATTGTCACTCGTGCATATAAGTTTCATTTCAAATTAAAATTCATTTTCCAAATAATAATATAGGAGTATGTTTTTCTTAAACAATTTCTATTTTCTCTTTTGTCAATTTGTTTAAGAGCCAATCATATGTGAAAAATATATAGATATTATGTTCTCTTACACATTGATTACCATATGTCATCCATTTAGGGTTGGAGTGTCTGATAAAGAATGAACTCGATTGAATCTACGATTTTTCAGTGTCGCCATAGCTTCCATAAGATTAGTTCGTTTACTAAAGAAATCCACTATTGCCTGACCTGTTAAAGCGGATGCCAAAAATTGTTCAACAGTTATCGACCAATCGGGGTCAGCAGACGACGCTATACTCGATGGATTTCCATTACGGTCAGGTGACTAAAAAACAAGCACCGAATAAGTAAATTTACTATTGTAATAAAAAATATTAATTGCCAATACAATTAAAAATATATATACCCTTTCGATATCTGAAGAAGTTTGAGCTGCGGAAGCAGCTAAAAGCAAGCTATCGTCAGATTCTTCTCTTTCCACATAAAATTTCTTACCAACATCTCCTAATTGAAGCAGAAGGGTACCTGTGATTTTTAAATTATTTGATTATAATTAATGTATAGTGTTTAATTAATTAATAATATTTAACGAAACAAGAACTTTATATATATATATATATATATATATATATATATATATATATATATATATATAGATAGATAGATAGATGATTTACCTATGGAAGCGATACAATGATACGTCTCTTGTTCTTCGGGCTGCGCGGGAAACATATCATAAAGAGTTTTCCATAAGGCTATAAAATGTCTTTGAGACATTTTTGGCACAGTTTTGAGATCCAATGGACTGTCCTTCGACGCTATCATCGAGCGCAAGCTACCCATGCTTTGAACTTCCCATGATTGATCTCCCTGCTGGCTGGTTAAGCTCGTAGATCGTGATAAAGTGCCCATAGTCGGCTCTTCCGCCACACTAATTGGCATTTCCAATGAAGCTACACTCTGCTCCATGCTGTCGAAGAAGTCTGTAGCTTCCGCTGCTACTTCGGCTCCATCTAATCAATTAGTAGCAATATATGTATAACATATATATAAATAAGAAGTGCCACACCGTTAGAAAAATATTGAATATTCACCTGCCGAATGTGTCGGTGACTCGAAATCGGCAGGCGTAAGAAGCGGTGGCAAATGCAATGTATACAACAGCTTTAATCTTTGTGTCAGATCAGCTGTCGCTGTCATTCCTATAGCCTGCACTAGTTCCCGGAAATTTAACAAACCGTCGCGATTACGGTCCAGCAACTAAAAGAGTATTTTTAGATGACTATCGATTATACTGGATTATATTATTAATTTTATATTGCTTGTAATTACACTTAGTACGAAAGGCGCGCAAAAATCTAAGTTATAAAAGCAATCTCTTACATATAAACATGTATATATCCTCTCGAAAATTGATTGCAAAAATATATGTATGCGATTATCGTCGTATAATGAATGGCGATTTCAGATAAAACGCGTTGCAGTTGAAGAGTTAATTCTTATAAAATATAAAATTTTTGAACAAACAGCTTGAATTATGCAAAAGTTTACATTGATATTAATTAAATCAAAATTGATTTATTTGGAAAGCTGAACTTACACGGAATAATCGAGCGGAGAGAGATTCAGCCTGAGTGCACTTTCCCCATGGAGACAGGCCACCGAATAATATTCTGAATAAATCAAAATCTACTTTATACGCTTCGTATGGCGGTTGAGTTGGATCGTAACGATCAGGTTCAGATTTTCGTTGACTCATTAGCTCTTCTCTTACTAAGCTTAATAATTCCTGTAAGTACATCTCATATAATAATTCAAGTATTTGTGATTACGTTCTAAAATTAGTTTATATAAAATATAATTTACCTGTAACTCTTCTTGTTTCATATATTTATCAACAATAACACTTCTAATTACATTCTTTTCAATTCCATCTTCAAGACTTTGAACTACCCTAAGTCTATGCTTCAGGCGCAATCTTTCTATCCAACCGATTGTCAAGGTTCCATATCTCGAATATGCTTCATAAATTAATGTTTGGATGGATATACTCTGCAATAATAAATATATTTTAGTTATATTATATTTTTATACAATTATGTTAGACACAAAATAAAATATGTATTATATATTTTCTTGCCTTATTGGGTAATGTGCTATCAACTGGTCGAGGAAATATTGGGCCTTCATCATTATAAACACCACCAAGATAATCTGTCAACAATTGCATAGCCTCTCCATCATCGCGACAACTAAGTAATTTGTCTTGATTCCATTCCAATACTGTCAATGCTATCTGATAAAAAAATATATATTTATTTTAAATGTTACAATAATTTAATAAATGAAAAAGAAAGAAAAGAGACCTTATTTTTTAAAGATATATTATGTTACAAGTTGTATTCACCTTGTTAAATTTCTTACCTGAAAAATAACTTTTGCTCCATCATAAAAGAAACAATCCATAATATTCACGGCGCTACTTGTTGGCATGACGCTCAAAAATATAGTTAAAAACCAAGATAACGAGATAACTTTAATTAGGCCGAGCTCTTGTAACTTGGCATGTAAAATTGGCAAATGCTCAGCAGCCAATTCTTCTAAAAGACCTTGGTCAACGAGAGCACCGACTACTCTCCGATCGTAGTAATCAGGTAGTAATGACTCACAGACGTTGCATAACTGCCAGAATGCTGATTCCTCAGAACAATAGATTAGCAAGACTGAGGCCACTATATTCATTGCTTGACAATAACCTGCAAGAGGATTTATGAAAAATTCTTAACACATATGAATTTGCTATTCGCAAGTGGCATTAAATTATATAAAATTATTTCTGAACATCAAATGTGTTAAAAAATATTTTTTACTTTAAAAATATTAATTCTCGATAGATTAATATTTTATATATATATATATAATTTTATAATTAAAATTGAAATAGTTTAGTTATGTGTTAAGTTTTATATTAATACATCATGAAGAGACAAAAAATATTTTACCAATCTGAGGATTTCGCCATGCATAAGCGGAAAGCACTCTTCGCAGCGCGCTGATTCCAGTATCGGACTGAAAAGCAGGATGTTCTGGTAACGATCTATGCAAATCCCTTTCAATTTCTTCGTTTGCTTGACATGATTTTCCGAGAGCTTGTTCGACAAGTGATTTATATAAATCTGGATTCATTGCCTTTTCATTTAAAGCACCTGTAACAAAATATATTTTATGTATTGGAGAAAATTTACAATATTATCTGATATAACGAATCACTTATATTTTACCAGAAAAGGTGAGCCAAACTTCTCCTCTAAGAGATGGTGGTATTCCTTGAATAATAAGTTTCGATGTTTCCCTAGTTCTATACATTGTTATTCCCCTTCCATATTCTGCAAAATGAAGCTCCCATTGTTTTTCTTTAGCTTCTTGTTTTAACGCAGCTTCAGGGGACAATGGAGCTTTGAAAAGCGTCATTAATGGCGGTTGAGGTTTCCAGTGTTCTACAGGTTTCACTTCTTCGCAGTTGCTAATGTTACTATTCGAGGAATTCGATGTACATATGTTATCTTTAGCTCTATAATAAAGCATGTAACAAGATTACAATTCTTATATTTATATTTCATATTGGCTAAAAAATAACAAACTAATGTAATGTAAACATACATATAATTGAGTTTGGATTTTGCTAGGAGCTCGGAGATTTTTTGTACAACGAAATCTCTATCATGTATTTGAGCGAATAGAAATGATGAACGCGCTGTCGTAACCAGTATTGACTTATCCGCTCCTGTACTAGACTGATTTTCCGCTGGTTCCACAAGTGTTACTTCTCTCAGAGGTATAACTAAACTGACTATACTGAATCTGCTTATCTACATAAATGTAAATATATAAAAAATAAATATTATAATTAATTTAATCCTTATATTACATTTTATCAAGATATTTACCCTACTATCAAAGCACAGATAATTTTGGGATAAGTATATTTTTCCCCTGACATATCTCTTATTGTATGGAGTCCAAAGGCTTGCGTCGATGCTACCATCTAACTTTTCAATCCCTGGCAACCTAAATTGAAGTCTATATGCTTCCGAATGTGCTCGTGCATCAAGATCCCTCTTCAAGAAAGATGGTTTCTTAGGTACATTTTTGCTAAATTAAAAATTAATTCAATGTTTATTTTAATTCAATTTGTTAAAAAGAAATCTAATCATGTACAAAATATACCTTAATTTATTCAATAAATCTCTATCTTCATTGAATCCACTTTTTTCATCAATGAGTCTGAAAAAAATACGAATAAAAATCGATATTAGAATAGAATACAAAGATAAATATTTGTTTAAATATTTTACATTATATATTAGAAATAATAAAATACCTTTTCATAGCAATATTGGTTAGTTGTTCCATTAATGAATATGTTTCAGATTTATGTAAAAACATGGAAAAATAATGCTACAACACAGAAGAAAGAATATTGAAGCTGATTGACTGCCAAGTTATATATATCATATACATATAATAATAACATATAGAAATATAAAGAAATGCATTATATTAATATCTACCTCTTTATTGTCACGCGTTACAACACGTATACTGTCTGGAACTAGAAGGGAGTAAGTTTTGCTCAATTCAGTAATGTCTGTCCATCTTACAATCAATTTTGTTTCTCTTGCAAATATATAAGCATAAAAGCACATGTGATTTACAGACAAATAGAGCCATCCCTGTCTGGGAAATCGAGATTTCCAGTAACTAAAAGAAAAATATATCGTTTAATAATTTAACTCAAAATTATATACATATATTTTTTCAATACTATATTTTTATATAATTTTTGTTTAATTTCAAGTTTAAATACCTGCATGAATAATAATTGACCAATTTGTCTTCTTTGGGTACATTGAACAATTGATGGAATTTAAAAGATACAGTTTTAAAAGATTCTGGATCTTCTTCTGCAAACAATATTAATATTCGATTTATGTACATGTACAATCACATTCTTACATGAATTCATATAACAATTAATGATTTTACCATCTGCAAATTGAGAATCTGGAGTGCTATTTGCTATTATGGATTGGATTTTGCAACAAACGAATTCTGTTATCTCTTCCTCAGTATCAAACGATGTGAGCGTAGTCATTAAATTTGTATGAAGCCATTCCCAATCTTGCAAAATCTCTTCACGAGTTAGAGAACATGCCACCTCTATAAAATTTCAATATAAAAAAAGAGACATTAATTATTAAAATATTCAAACTACTTAAAAAGATTTATCTAATTTCTTATTGTCATCAGTATATAAATATAAAACTAAGCATAAATAATAGAAAATATTGAAATTATAGTCTTCCAACATCTACTTTTTACAGCTGACATTTGTTTATGCTAATGCAAACTGTTATCAATTACTGCGCTATCATTACTCCTAAAACAATATTTGCATATTTGTTGCATATTGCTTTTGGTTTTATATTTTTTAAATCTTGTGTATAATATATATATAGAAATACTATAATAACAATTATACACAATTATGTATTTTGATTAAAATTATATATGTAATAAATTATTTCTTTTTTCTCTTAATTTTTTTTTTATTATCCTTTTCTAAAATATTTTATATATTTTATCTATGAACTATAATTTTGAAAATATATTATAAAATATATAATTTCAATTATAATACATTACCCCAATAAACTTCTGATGATGGTGTTTGATGAAGAATCCTAAAAGGTGGTGGTTTAGTGTCGAAGACACTGTCCAATGTACCAACCAATATAGAAGTAAGACCTTTGGTTTTCCCATGTCCTTTGCGACGTTGTAAAACAAAATATACAGTTGCTTGCTCAGTAATCCTATATTGCAAAATAATAAGTAACTCTATTTTATTTATATTTTAATTATATACATTAATTAAATATATCTCACAACATTCCAAAAAAATAAACAGTCCTCAAAATAATTAATATTGTGCATAATAATAGTGTATGTATCATATTTTAAATTAATTAAAATAAAGAAATTTATTTCCAATAAATATCTAATAGCTACAAAAATAACTAATATCATAGATAAAATTAACTAAAGTTAGAGAAGATAAAAATTGACTCATCTATAAAAAGTGATTCTTCTATAAAAATTGACTGATCTATAAAAAATAATAGTATGATAGTATATACGATTTAATTTAAATAAACAATCCTACAACACTTCTCCTTTTTAGCATATATTGCAATTAATTATTATTAATCATAATTAATAAGATTTATTAACAATTATTGTTATTAATCATAGTTATTTTATTAATATCTATTATGAGTATATTAATTGTTATTGAGACACTTGAAGATACGTATTGATTCCAGTATCGCCGCTTATCAAGCATGAGCAGATACTTGCGTGACCAGAAATGGTATTAAATTTAAAATATATACATATATTTAATATGTTTTTCGTTATTAATGTTAACAATATAATTTCGTTACGATGTTATGTTAATGAGTGATAATATTTCCCCCTTATCTTAAAGAAACAAAGAATAAATTTGCGCCAATAAATAACGATTAATTAACAATGTCGAATCGCGACGCGATAAAAAGTCACGCAATGTTTGATCTCTCGAAAGCTGTCTTTTGACACAATGTAAACATTCGGAGGAGTTGCGCCACTGACAAGCTCGTCGATCGTTGTTTAATGATCTGTCCAGGTTTTCAAAATCGCTACAATAATCGACAATTTGATACAATAATCGACGATGTTGCCAGTCGCAATATAATCAGGAACACGCGTAAAGCCTATGTGACTTTACCAGAATGCGTTGGCGAGCAACACCTCTTGTGGCTTCACCCACATATCGACCAATGTCGTCGACGAAGTACATATGGCACTGACGAGACAACGCGACACGCGCGCACTTTATTCGCGATCTTGTCCGTAAAAATCGTCGTTCGTCTCGTGACGAAAGGAAATATTCGCGACGGAGCGAAAAAAAAATATCCTCGCCACCAAGATAAACACCAACTGCGTGACGACAGACAGATTATCCCTGTTCGCGACCGTCATCAGCTGCTCTGCGAGGGATACACGCTTGCCACGCGACGACGGCCAAATGTCACTACACGGAGATATATCGTTATCAGTGTCACTGATATCGCTCGAAATTTTCATTTAAATTCCGATATTCAAAATCCTATGATGTAAAGCGTATTGTCAAATAAACACCAAGACACTTCAATTTCGTGAAGTATATTGCATGCTATATAGATGCGTGAATATTTTTAAAAAACAGGATAGGATAAATGTAAATTTTATAAAATTAACACGTTATGAATAAACAAAAAATTTGTATATTAATAGTTTAAGAAAAATTTCATAAATTTTGCACCTCTCTCTGGGCAAAATTTTATAGTTGGAGTAGCGCTGCATTAGCAGCCAATCGGCACGCCCGATGAATTCGTGCTCAAATGTAATACCCTTATTCGTACCTTATAACAACAAAATACTGAAAAAATTGGAGAGAGCAAACGACTATTTAACAATAAAACAACAAGTGTGTTTTATTCCAATAATATTGTTAAGATTCCGTGTTTCGAATTGTCTATTATTAATAAGACAGGAATATAAATTAATATTGGTAAGGTTATGCATAATAATTATCAATTATCTCTCAATAGTTTCCACAAAATAATATTTAAATGTTCAAAATATTTGATATTTATGAATGTATAAAATTTATTTTTGTTATTAGGTACTACAATAGCCATATGATTATAACTGATATATGCCATCTTGAATATTTCTAAGATAAATTTAAAATAAAATCTGGATATAAAATCTTTACTTTTATTGACCATTCTAAGAAAAAAAATTCAAAGGATATAAAATATTAAAAGCTATATTTTTTTGGTCATATTATGTCTGATAAGAAAATGGATAATAGTGAAGTAACTGACAAGAAAATGGATAAAAGTGAAGTAACTGATTTTCGACAATTGTGGGTAAAAGAGAAATATCAAGAAGTTCAAGCATTAATAAACAAACACGAAGTAAAGTGTGATTCGAATCAACTTTATGAAAAAAAATGTAAAGCCATAGAAATTTTATTGGAGATACTAGATGTGCTTACTAAAGAGACTTTTTGTACTGTAACGATTGCAATAACTCACTTAAACATAGGCATCTTACAAGCTGATGTACAAGATATAGAAATTGCCAAAGAATATTTCATGAGGTGTATCGATTTGTTAGAAGAGTGCAAATTGACACCCGAGGGCATTTTACCAGTTATAATTGCCAACAATCAAATGGGTATAGTTTATGCGCAACAGCGCTCCTATCAGAAGGCTAGAGATTATCTAGAGCAGGCAGAGAGTATATACATTAAGTTTACAGAATATGTTCGACTTGATCCTGTTCATATGGTAACCATCATGGGTATTGAAGAAATAGAGGGTGACTTAAGCGCTAAGAATGTTCTCGAGAAACTCCACACATTAACATTGTATTATTTAGCACAGGTGTGCCGTGAGCTAGATGACAAGTGTAATTTTGCATTATATTGTCACAGAACACTGAGCAAACAATTAAGCCAAAATAAAATAACACAAGATTTGGATTATATCGACTGGGCTTTAAATGCTGCGACAATATCTCAATATTTTATAGAAAATGACAAATTTCCACAAGCAAGGCATCATCTAGCTGCAGCATCCTGTGTATTAGAAAAATATTCAGAGACTTTTAAAGCAAAAGACACTGAAGAAATAAGTGAGGACATGCAGAAGTCTGCAGAATATGAAAATTACTGTCATAGATCAGCAGACATTGCTAGATGCTGGGCAAAATACGGTATTGCTCTTTTGAGTACATCTAAGGAAAGATTAATGAAAAAAGCTGAGCAAGAAGATGAAATAAACAATTCAAAACATGAAGTTTCCAATGAGGATTGCAAATATTCTCATGCAAGCGAAGCCACAGAAAATCCAAAATTTGTAGATTTAGAACCAGAATTGGAAGTAATTACTAGTGAAATCACAGATAAGTATCTATTGGATTTTGATGATGCTAAACCAGTGTTCTTAAATGTTCGGAAGTGGTTAAACAAGGCAAAGCAATATTATAGTTTTGAGAATCATGCATCAGATTATGCGTGTATTGCGCAAGATATATCTCAAGCATACAAGTATTTGGCATTTTACGAAGAGAACGAAGACAGACAAGCAAAGATGCACAAAAGACGTATAGACACTCTGGAGGAAGTCAGTCAGGGATTAAGTCCACGATTTTATAGAAATATTTGTCGAGAAATTTGGCTTGAATTGGCGGAAACATATTCGAAGATCTTGGAGATAAAAATTGATCGTTTGCAAGCGCTCAATGATAAGCCGACGAATCAGATGATAGCAAAGATCGAACGCTTGGCAAGAAATAGCATAAAGCACTATCAGTTGTACGTGAATTCTTTGGAGATGAAAGAATCCAATGACGGCATTGCATCCTTCTCGCACAGCGATCTATATCAGGCGTTGTATTCTTATTTCCACATTGGAAGACTGTATAATAAGATTATAACTTCTGTCCCAGAACAAAAGATAGAAAACATAGAGAAAAGTTTAGAGGCATATTCGTTTGTTGCTAATTATTACGACAAGCATCCAGATATTCAAGAGGAATTTAAAAAATACGAATTTATAAAATTATCCAAGGAATTTGCCGATGTACTGCCGCTTACATTAGATAAATTGAGATAAATTTAATCAATTTTTTATTCTCCTTTTTTCTGTAATATATTCGTTTTAAAATGTAAAAAGATATTTTGTTATCGTTTTTCTTACATATGAAATACACGTGATGATTTTTTTAACAAGATTAAAAATGCATAAGACAATATGTATTCATGAAAGTATATGTTGAATTTTTTAAAGCTCACTTGTTATATATACATGCAACATAAGCGTAAAAATAATATCATTATGTTGTATACATAATTGTATGAATACAATTACAATTGCCATATATTAAATATTTCTAATATACTATGAAAGAAAATTATATTGCTTTTTTAATAGGTAACGAGCATATATTAAACTAGATTTGATTAACAATATAATACTATCAGTATAAAAATATAGAAAGATACTTGTTTTCAATAATTTATTCCTTATCACGTTTAAAATGTAAACTTATATATATAAATTTTTATAATAAATTCTATGTCTTTCTTTTATACAAACATATGTGTTTATTTCATACTATTTCAGATACTAATTACGTGCTTAATGTTGTATAAAAATATTAAATCGACAGTGACATTTGACGTCTATACATAAGAATTTTTAAACTTGCCGCGTTAATTATATTGCGTCATCACTTCTCGGCTGATAAGAATGATAAAGAGAAGTAGATGTCACTACGTGCTGCGAATATTCGCAGAAGATTCGTAACTCGTGGGATATCCGGAGGATCGCGACGATAGCGATATTGTTGCCAGAGCAGATCCGATCATAGAAAAGTTTCGTTGTTGCCACCGTTATTTCTCGTTCGCTCGTCGTGGGATGAAAATGGCATCTTTAACGTGCGCTCGTTTGTTAGCGAGAAACGTCGGCTGTCTCAGAAACTCGATCAACGGTCGATTGCGTTGTGCGAGCAGCACATTTATTCATGTAACGAGCAGAGACGAGCAGAGGTTGTTGCATTGCATCGCTCGAACCACGCTTGTACCCCAGGTAACGTACATCGTCCACGAGACGTGACACCCAAACCACGCGAATCTCTGCGCAGCGCGTTATTTTGTAAAATTATGTAATTCAAGACCTGACGTATTTATCGTGATACAGCGATGTCGAATCGGTTGATCGGAATCGTCGCGTATCTGGTTCATCGATCGGATGCAATTTTGTAAAAATTCGATAGATTCCTGTCGGCTTTAGTTGCGTTTCCTAATTCCTTAGGTTAAAGAAATCGATTTTACTCAGTTGCATTATATTTCCTGCGTTCCTAAGTAGAATAAGTATACACTTGATATTGCTAAAAGAAGATTGAAAACGATGCAAAATGTATCTAAATGTAAACACGTGTACGAATTCGAAATGTACATGTATGTATTGTGGAAAGAAAATATATTTGAGAAAATGCAAATGTAGAAAACGGAAGGATTAGAACTTAAAAATAAAATCTTTCAATTTACTAGTGATATTACTTGTCTAAAAATAATCATTTAAAATTTTGATGAAAAATATTTTTTATTCAATAATTTAATATTTGTTACTATTAAATTTATATACATACTTGATATTTATTATTTTTCTTATTTTCATATTGCAATCTATTTAATAAATTCTCTATCCTATATATCGTTATATATATCGTTATATATATCGTTATATATTTCTTATAAAATTTTATTATGTATGATACAACATGCAATCAGATTTTTATTTACAATGAAATATTTTTAATGCAAAATATGCAGTTTATTTTCTCTCATGAAATAATCTATATAAATAATAAAATGCCAAAGTTATTTAAATTATAATAAATTCAGGTGAAATGCAATCGTGGATATTGTCAAGATGTTAGAGCAAAACCAAAGTCAATTAAGGATATTGAAGAACGTGTATTGAAAGCTGTAGCTGCTTATAATAAAGACATCGAAGAAAAGGTTACATAAATATATATATAATCTTTTTATGGGAAAAATTTTACAGGGATTAAAGGACACACGCATCAAGCAAGTGCGCCACTACAGCCATGCGCCTCCGCTATCTCTTGACCTTATCGGTCAACGGGTGCTCTTGGTTCTGAAACTTTATGACAAAGTTGAAACCGCGAAGGTATCTACCAGAGATCATTTTCAATATATTCAATTGATAGATTGATAGTAAATTCAGTATAGTAGAGAAAGAGAGAGAAAATTGATATAATTTTCTAATGATAAGATATATATATTGCAATTTGCTAAAATATTTTGAAACATAGCTTTTCAAGATAAAGCAAAAAATAGTTGGTTAACACCTTGCTTGATCGTGGCGTCTGCATATATACTGACATGTGGATATAAACTTTATTAATCATTGTTAATTGAATATAATGATTATCACATATTAGAAAAATATAAAAATAAAGATATTTATTTTTCATTGTTTCTCAAAAAAATTATATATTATATATATTTATTTACTTATTTTGTGCATATTTAAAGACTTATTCTCTTTTCTATATTCAATTTAATTAGTCTTATTCTTAAGACACATGTCAGTTGTGCAGGAAGCCCATACATGTAATAAAATCCTAACAATATGTTTTATTTTTCTTAGCTGAGCTTGGAGTCACATTTTATGGATGATCTAGGGCTAGATTCTCTAGATCATGTGGAAATTATAATGGCGATGGAAGATGAATTTGGTTTTGAAATTCCAGACACGGATGCACAAAGGTTATTAAGACCCAAGGATATAGTGCGCTATATAGCGGATAAGAATGACGTGTACGAATAACACGCCTTATATTATTTATACTTGTTTAGTCAACATCTGCTGTTGTTTCGATTGGAAATAACAAATCAACGTCTTATTTTGCTGCTACCATTGTTTTTTCTGTATATAGACAAACCATCATAATGTGAATAAAACTTAAGCGAATTGTTAGATCGAATTTCTATTACATGAATATCCTAAAGAATTGTAAGATATAAGAAATTATATATATATATATATATATATATATATATATATATATATATGTGTTTATATGTGTGTGCATATATGCATATATAATATAATATATACACACATATGTATGCACATGTATATTTATGTAGCAATTTGTGATGGTATAATTAATGTTCCTTGCAATAATATTACATGTATTCCATATATATAGAATTCTGAATTCTTGAAACTGTAGTTAATTATCCATTTGTTATTTTAAAATGAATTTCTTAAGAAATATAATAGATTTTTCCTTATCGTTTATTTTTTTGACCTTTTTCAGAAATATGTATTATTTTTAATTTAATTATTTAATGATTTAAAAAATCAATGGTTTCAAATTATGTACTCTATATCTTAATAATGGTGTGTTGAAATACAATTTGTATTTTATATACTTAAATACATATTTAGACATTTTATCTTTTATACTGTGATGCTTCACAAATTTTTTTTTCATATTTTCTGAAATATTCTCGAAAACGCACACTTGCACACTATCTCTTTAAACGCGACTTGTAGAATGGCGCATGCGTGAGAAATATTGTATGGCGCTGAAGATTGATTTGATGTTCCTCTTCATGAGAAACAAAGTCATTGTATAAATTAATTTCATTTCGAGTCGGTATGATAAAATCATGGCGCTCAGTCCTACAATGACATCAAAATTAAAAAGCAGAGATTACGCAAATAAAATCAGACATGGTTCGCCCAAGTTACAGGAGGTGTTGCGAGAGGTTAGAAATTTAATGTTTATATTTTCAAAATTTTCAAACGGCACTAAGCATTGAAAAACAAGAGTTATGCATTTTTCATAAAATATTTTTTATATCTGTATTTTTATCGCAATATTTGAAGTTATCTTAAATAATATTAGTTTGGTTAAGTCCTTGATCCTAGAGAATCTATATAAATCTGTAAAAGAAAATTAGAATTAAAAGATTTAAGAATTATAAAAGAATAATTTTTGACATTTTTGTAGATATAAGTTTTGTTTTTATATTTTGGTGCAGATACTATTTGTTTTTTGATCTGTTTTTAGAAATGCCGCCAAAGATTACGAGAGAGGCGGAATCAGTTATTCAACAGACGTAGATTTGGTTTGCAACTCGATTCTATACAGATGCAAGATACATTGACGGAAATAATACGTCAAGAATTTAAGAACCTGGCAACATCAAATGATAATGGCATAAGCCTTACATTCAAAGAGATTGACGAACCCTTAAGTCAGGAAGAGGCGATTGAATTAGAAAATGAAATTGTTCGTGAAGAAGGTTTGATCATTATTATATTTCAGGAATTTGTGATAATATAATCAGTAGTAATTTGTTTATAATACTAAAATTGGCAGAAAGTATTTAATATTATTGTAAATTAATATATAGAAGAATGGATACTTCAAGAATATGAGAAATTTTCACATGATGAAATCAAATCTTATGTAATGTACGCTGATAACAAGGAGAAAGAAGTGTTCTGTCCTATATGCCAGAAAACCATATTAAAAGAAGAAAATAATGATGTATATTGTGCAACTTGTGGATTAAAATTAACAGGTCGTACTATACAAGAAGTAAAACAGTTAATTGATGAAAATATAAAAATTCATGCATTCAACTGTATCAGAGTACCAACATTCATGATAATGCCTGATAATAGTAATCTTGATTTATACCTAGTATGTCATGACTGTTCTACTTTAGCATTAATTTGTTAATTATTTAGGATTAATTACCGGTATTAATTTTTCGAAGTAAATTCAGAATTACTGAATAATTAATATTTTTATACAAAAATACTAAGAATTGATACATCAATGTGTTTAAAAAATGATTATAAATTATAATTTGCATTACTTTAAATGCTATTCATAATTTTTTCAATATTGATTTTCTTTGTAAGAAATTCTTAAATGTTAATTAAATTTGTATTTTATACATTTGCTTAAAATAAATATAAAGATCCATTTTTTTGGGTAATAATATAAAGAAAATTTTTCAAATTTGTTATTTAATACAAACTGATTTAGGAATATGTTTCAATGACTATGTATGTATATATAAAATTACTTGTTATTTATAACAGTTAAAAGTGATGAATATGATACAGGCATAGAAAAAATAAAATACAATAGTTCAGATTTCTGCATGTTGTTATAACATTGGAATAATAACACATGTAAATCTTTATGATACATATTGTACAAAAAAACATCCCTTTTCGACGAGTTCATTATTTATCACTTATCATGTACATATACAATGTGTGTTTGTCTGTATGGGAGGGCTTCTATATATTGCATTTTGTAAAAAAAAGAAAAAAATCATGTCACGTAATATTAAAATAAATAGGATTTTACTTTAGATATTATAAAGTACAGCAAATAAAATACACAATGAAATTAAAATATTTAGCTGTTATACTATTAACTATTTTGTTTTTTATCTCGAATGTTATAAATTTGACTATATATATTTTACATTAACGAAAAATATTACAATATGTAGAAGCCTCCTTTGTAACTTAAACTAATATTCGGTTCAAATTTTTTGTAAGTAATTTGTACATCATGAATTTCCATAATAAAAAGATCTCATATTACATAACAGTGCAAACGTAATTTGTGAGCAACCCCCTTTTTATATCGTCCATATAATCATCATTCTATATAAAATATATCATTCCTTTTCGCTTAATTTTAGAATATAATAGTAATATATCTATTAAGTAATTAATAATTCATATTTAAAAAATTACTTATGTATCTCTCCTTTTTAAATTATTTTTCAAAAATTTCTTAACTATTGGATTATCTTGAATTGCAGTCTATCAATGATAGTGACACTAATTTTATGTTTTTAATGTGTTATTTAATTTTCATTGAAAATTTCTCAAAGAAATGGATTGAATCTAAACTATTTGTTCATGGTATAATTTGCAGTGATTAATAATTATTACTATATATATAATTTTTAATCAATTGTTTGATATATATTACATAATTAATATATGTATATTATATAATATATATTCGTATAGCAATTTTAAAAAAGATATATAATTATTAATTTTAAAATCTTCCCCCCCAATTATCTCATCACAGCAAAAATTTTAAATTTTCACTTTAATAATCATATTTTTTAGCTGGATATTTCGTAAAGCAATCGAACGAGTTTCTTCATAATATAAAAATTTATAGTGTAAATATTTATCCTGTATAATTATCACTTATTTACCATTAATTATTGGACAATTGGGGATATAAATGTGTAAGTAGTTTTCTTTCTACTGCAAGTAAATATTTTATAGATGATATTGAAAAATTGTTTATTATTAGAAACACATTTTTTATGCAACTCTAGAAATTATTATCCAAAATAATTATGAGAGAAAATACACAAAATGTTTTTTTTCTTACCAAAAATAGTTATACATAATTGTGCTATATATCAACGTCATCAGTATATATTCCAGTATAATGTACTGTGTAATACATACATATATACATATATATGTATGTATATATATTTTATTCAAATTTATATATAAAACATTTTATATATTCTAAAATAAATTTTATGATTTCAATATGATATCGCAATAAAAAGAGGAATTGCACTTATTCTTATTTCTTTGTTTGCAATTCTGTTATCAAGTAACAAACTTTTGTTATTATTTGTTTTGCATAACTATAATTTAAGTTATACGGTAACTGTCATCCCTTACATTCATATATATATATCTAAACCTTGAACATTTTTATACAAACAGATTGTAACAAGAATTTGCGCACTTGATCACTGCGTGGATCGTCGACGTTCCGTCCGATTAACTGCCGCGAGTGCTTCCTCAGGTAGGCGGGCCGGATCTGATAAAATATCAGTGGCAGTACACAAATTCCTTAGAGAATTCAGAACAGCTGAAAATGATACTTTAATAAAGACAGATGAACAAATTAACTATATATATACGTGTGTATGTTTATTTTATTACTTTCTATTTTAATTTTTTTATTTATAGATTAAAGCATCTGAAAGAATATATATGCTATAGATACCTTTATATGTACTTTTATACATGTATCTTTTTAAGTGTTTCATTGTACATACAAACCTGGTCTGAGATCGACGAGTGAGCAGTGTTGCTCTACCCACATTATTGTACTTCTATATAAATCTTCAATACTCGCAGTCGAAACTGAAGCATTGAAGGACAACATCAATGGTTCCAACAATGCACTGAACTGATTATTTTGTTAAGAAAGATAATCTTGTAGAATGTCATACATATTTTGTAATTTTGCTTTGTTTCTTTCTGATATTTTGAAATATCATGTTAGAGAGAAAAAAAGGATACAATCCAGAATTTCCAATTTTCTCGTGTGCGCGTACGTACGTATTCATCAAACATCTCTTTCATTTTGCTGGTTCTATGTCTAGAAACTGGAGCACCCGTTGCAGGAAGCATAGATTGACAATTACTACAAGAATATTATTTCATGAAGCATTTAATCATTATTCAATTTATGTAGTTATAATCATATATTTAATATATTCGTTTTTGCATGTTATTACACATTATTCCCAGAATACCTATTAGTATTTATATTTTCCTTATTGAAATTAAAATTATCTCATACCTAATAGATGTATTAAGGCACTCAATCTGATGTCTCAGGCTATCCATTTCCTCCTTCAATTGATTTCTCTCCGCTCTAAGTTGTCGGATGTAATCCGCTCCTTTCTGCAGCATTGCGGCTTTACTCAATTTCGCGTTTGAATTTTGACTGAGTTGCGGTATCAAACTGTGCAACATATCAAAACCGTTCTTGATATTATATCTACGTTTCTGTTCCGCATGAATATGGCCAACACGTCTTTGCTCCTTATATTGTCCTCTTTCTGAGTCACCTTTCATATATCCGCGAGTAGGCGATAAGGGACTACCTATACTCATAGGACTATGCAAAGGACTAAGGCTTAAAGCTTGAGGGCTGTGTGCATTAGAACTGCTATCTTTGGGTGAACCAGGACTATTTTGAGACTGGTGTGTTTGGTTATTAGTGTTTAAAAGGATCTGTTGAGTTGTAGATGGTTGCATTGCCTGTAAAAAGATATAGATAATTGATTTTTAATGAAATTAAATGTCTATATAATATAAATCGAGTGATGATTTAATACCTGTTGTTGCGTTTGCGTCGGCTGCTGTATGCTAGATGTCTGCATTGTTTGAACAGTCACCGGGGTCGTGATATGTTGCGCAGTCGTCACTTGCGTTATTTCTACCATAAATATAACATTGGTTAAGAATAAATTAATGCATTTTTTAAATATTTATTTTACTAATGTAATTAATTAAATTTAATTATTATTATGAGAGAAAATATGTCGTATATATTATAAATCGTGTATATATATATATATATACACGATTTATAATATATACGATATATATATATATATACACGTGTATATATATATATATATATATATATATATATATGTGTACAACACACACACAATGATATTCTTGGATGATCTCTAATAAGACATATATATTTTTCTTACATGAATAATGACATTATGATGAAAATATACATACTATTTGTGAGCAAATGTGCAAGTAAGACATTGTTGTTCAGATTCAGAGCAGGATCGCTCACTGCGGATACCAGTGGTGGTGGATGTATCCTGGGTGCTGTTAAAGATGAGCTGCTTCGTGATCTATTTCTTCCTTTCATTTGATACTAAAGAAATGCGATATAATTTTTTTAATTTCAATCGAATATTTTTTGTTGATATAACTAAGCTAATTTATTCAGTAATTATTTGTATAAATAATATAATTGAATTTCGAGAGTTTGTAAATTAGCTAATATTAAATTTAGTTTGAGTTAATTACAATTCTAAATATTTAGAAAACATTAATATTATTTTTAAAAAAATTGAAGATTTAAATTCTCTATATACCACATCAGACTATATACTACATCTGTATACGCATCAGATACGGACCTTGGGTACAGCAAAAATCTCTTCTTTCTCCGCGTTGGACGTTGTCGGTTGAGGTAGCAGTTTAGTTGGATGCAGAGCGGGCGCAGTAAGATCCAAACCGGTAGATCTACACTGTAGCAATATTGGCGACTGTGACGGTTGCTCCGTCGAAGAAACTGATACTACTTGTTGCGTCGGATGTGTCTAAAAAATAAATATAATATATCTCTACAATTCTATCTTGGCCGTAAACTTGGCCAGGAACATACATTATTGCTTGGTTTTACCTTGAAGCTATTAGTGCTAAATTTACACTGTTGAGCATTGAGGTTTTGTACGAGGTTCGGAAACTTGTAACACTGCTGCTGTGGCTGAACGATCTTGTAAGGCTTGCTGGACATCGGAGGCGTAGTCGGTAAAGGCCTTATTGCTGGATGCTGTGTCTGCAACGATGAATTGCCGGGTTGCGTGGCGAAATTATGTTGTACTGTCACTAGATTCTGCACGGTGGCAGCAGCAATTGAGGATATCTGATTGTTAACTGTCACCGATTGATCATTTAGCGCCGTACTGATCTGCACTGATTGTGGTTGATTTGGTACCGGTGTTAATTGCACTGTCTGAATTTCCATCGCATAAGATTGTGGTTGCTGCGACTGCGGTTGGAATCCTGAATTTTGTTGCCGTGCGCTCGTTGCTTGATACGTATTCTGTTGTTGCTGTTGGGATTGCTGTATCATACGATTATTTCTCGACGATGTCGTCCTACTATTTCTATTCTTTTCTCGTGAGGATTGACTCGTCGTAGTAGACTCGAAGTTTGGCTGGATAGTATTGTAACTTTCATTCATAGTTCTAAACAAAACAGTGTGATATATCTGTGATTTATAAACATCAGGTTTTATTATATTTGCATAAAGATGTAATCATTTTGTGCTTACATGCTATTCCTATATACACTTGCTGAATCAGCTTGGGGCTGAGTATATATTTTAGCGGTATATTGGAGATTCTGCATGCTAGCCTCTTGCTCTTCTTGTGATAGTTGCTGTTGCGAAGCCTGTTCGTTCTTTATCGTCGTTGGATCCTCGCCTATTTCGTTCATCTGATTAATTGGTGTCATCAGGTCCAGATCAGAATAATTAGTGCTTAAACTGTTATTCCGAAACATATCATCCTCCTCAGGTACAGGAGGCAATTTCGAGTTTAGGAATTCTTGAATCAAAATAAAAAAAAGTATGCAACATGTTGAAAAAAGACGTTCTTTAAGATGAAATATCAAAATCAATCTTTATTATTTACCTTGCAATGGTTCTAAGGTGTCCATAAAATCATCCAGAGTTGGTTGTAAAGGACATAGACTAGGTTGCATGAAGTCCGCTAAACTGGCACCACGTGCTATCGAATCACATTTTGCATATAATAAATTTAAGTTACTTATATATTACAGAAGTAACATGCAGAATAATACGTAGAATAAAAAAAAAATATAAAAAAAAATATTTTTATTATTATTTTATTATTATTATTATTTTATTTTTATTATTCAATTATTCAACTTTTTATCGATATTAATATTAAGATTATTGATATTAATTCTTATTAAAAAATATTATTTTTTAATAACGAGAAAATACGACTCTCCGAAATTAAAATTTGCATGTAAGCGGAAATCTTGAAAATTCCGAAAAATTAATTAATTAGAAAAATAAAAAATCACCTATTTCTCTAGGATCGGGGAAGTATATTGGTTGATTTGAACTGATGGTCGAGAAGAGAGTGTCAGTCATCAATTCCATATAATCCTCATCAACCATCATACTCTCTCCGCCTGGGGTTCCACTGGTACCACCGAATACATTTCCTATACTCATTCCAAAGTTACCGGTGGTTCCGCCTCCATTGCCCCAATCTAACATGTCCATTGATTCCATCTAAATCAAATTTCATATTATATATTACACACTTTTATGATAAAAAACGAAGAAGCATGGTTCTATTTTTTTCCAAGTATATTATTATTTATTTTAAAAAATATAGTGGAAAATGAAAAACAATTAAAAAAAGAATTTATCTAAATATTTATAAAAAATATTTGGATTGAAGACTCGAAAATAAAAATTTTTAGAGCAACTTTTTCTATTATTATAGTGGTTATCCTTTTAATCTTTAGATATTCCTATTTTAGATATGATTCATTTATATGTTATCATTTTATTATTGTCTGTATCTTTCTTCTACAAAGCCACGAAGATATTTAATATCCCTTTAAATATTTTAGTTTTTTATTATATATTTTTTAAATATAATATATTACATACCATCTCTGTACCATCTTTGCTCGTCCAGCCAAGGATCTTGTTTCGGTAGAACATACGCCATTTCTTGTATTCGGCTGTAACGGCTGCAAGCTTTCGTTTCCAGTATTTTCCCTCTAAGACCACCGCCTGATAAAGAGATATGTCGTTAATTCACTTATACTAAGAGAGCGCACCAGTTCTTATTGTACAAACATAAAAAAACACTTTTACAACTTCATGAGCTTATTCGGATTTTCTAACTTCTTGCGCGATGTTGTGCGAAATGTGGCTTGCTAACAACATTTCGAGGAATTATCATTGCTATAACGCAATTATCTAATCAAACAAGCTGCCGCCAATTGCGATAAAGATACTTTCCAATTGCGTAATTGAGTAAAACTGAATAATATAAATCGTGGCTGTTTAATAATCATTAATATTAATGAGTACGATGCTTGAACTACAATATTATACAAGATCAAATAATTATTATAGAACGTTTACAAATATATAAATTTTCCTGCAATTATTGCAAGTAACAATTTTGTATAATTAATTACATATTTTGTAAAAATGTAATATATCGTTGAAATTTTGAGATTAGATGTAGGGGACAAACCTCGGGTTTATTATGAGTATCAACGTCAAGTGGCGACGCAAATTGGCATACCAGCGTATTTTGCTTCAATATAACTGAAAGAGAAAAATGATTTTATTGAATATATATGGTTTTTTTAATCTTTACAAACATTAAAATATTGTAAAATGTATATATTGAATTTATTAATATACAACTATATTTTTTATATCTGTTTTACCTTGTTAAAATAATAATAAAAAATAAAATAAAATTAAAATAATAAAAATTAAATAAAATTAATTAAAATAATAAAAATTAAAATAATAAAAAAATTATTATTTGTAAGAATTGTAAATTGTATATTTTAATTTAAATAAAAATGTAATAAAAAATCCAATTTCGCCATTTTCAAGTATATTTAAATAAAATAATTTTATCTAAATAGAAAAATTGCAGCTCCATTTTTTTTAAATCGGTAATCGTTGGACGATAAGTTGAATATATATCGGTTTATTTAAATTGCTGTGCTTAACACTACAGGTATACTATGATTAACGTGTCGTACGTCGATGATAAGCGAAGCTTAAAAAAAACAATGTATGAGACACAATTATGGTTTATAATGAATATATATTTACTATCGTCACTTTGTGTAATAAATATAGGTGTATCACACATACAATTCAAGAAATCTCTTAAATAATTAACATAAATACGCAAATATATATCATTAATTAATTAATATAATTAATATAATTAATTTGATAAAATAATTTGATTATATATTTTCTTTTTTATTTTTTCATATAGTTTTAATAGTTTCAGTAGTGGGTTTTTTATACGTAGTTTTTACAAACGCGAAAGCACACGTATTGCTCTTTTCTTTCGATTTTGTAAATGATTTTTATCTTTATTTTAAGCTATCTTTCATGTTCGTTAAACGAAGTGATTAGTTAATTAAGTTTAAGAAACGTGTGTACACACATAAAACGCTCCTCCGGCTCGTAATGATAAGTTGGACGTAAGCCAGGTGAGCACGATGAGTACTATTGAAGCAAATGTAGCACGCGGAGAGTTGGAGCTCTTTAAATAGACGGATAATTATTTATCCGGTCACACATTTGAAGAATACCAAGACAGCTATATCAATTCGAATAAGTAGCACTTTGCGTATCGCCGTAATTAAACTGTCAATAAACCGAAACAGATTGAAATTGAAGTGTTTTAGCTAAAAAGAAAAGGTAGGCTTCACGATCCACAAATCCGAAATTTATATATAAATTATAAAACATTATATATAAGTTTTTTTTTAAATATACAAAAGATATATCCATAACTCATTTTGAGTAAAAATTACATTTAAAATAAATCTCACAAATTAAATTTATTTCATTCTTGCATAAGATGTTTCAAATGGACAGTATAATATTTAAACATAAAAGCACTTTCAGGAATTGATTCGATTTTGATTGATAATATATATTGATTAGTATTTTGATTGATAATATACATTTATATACATGATGAAGATTAAGATTAAACTTGAATATAATAATAGATTGAAAAAGATAAAGAAGTAAACTTATAAAGATTATTACGATATTCTGCTGATAAGAGAAAAATAAATAAACAACTTTTTTTGATAAACAAGACAATTAAATTCGGGGATATTTTAATTTCGTTGATTATTTTGAAAGCATATATCAATGAATAAATGAAAATGCTAAATATTTTTTTCTTACATTGCATGTGCCAGCATCTCCAGATCACGTTATTTAATCTGATCTTGTCCTTCCATCTCAATCTGATACCTTTAAAGCGATTCCACTTGGGCGATGTCAGCTTCTGTCTGGAACAAATCCAAATGCCCATACGTCATACCCACTGTGGGACACCTATAGATCCAAATTCTATATAATTAATTCTATATAATTAATTAAAAATAATTTTCCTTACTCACTATTTTATATGATTATTTTATTTGTATGAGAAAGAATGTCATTTAAAGATTTGAATAAATATCGCAAATGTATTTTTTAATATAAAATTTTGAATTATTGTCATTAAAAATTTAATTGTACTTCAACTTTTTCTGATAATACATTTTAATTTTTAACATTATTCGAATATCATAGTCAACCTTTAAAATAAAATTAAAAATAAAATAAAATAAAATAAAATTGAGTTTATAAAATTCAAAAATTTTAATTTTTAAATGCAATAATTTCTTTTCCTCGAATACATCGCAGTAATTTTATATAAACGTGTAATAATTTTGTCAGTAAACGTGACTATTTATAATTTCGACAAATTTATCAGCAATTGCTCTATCGCAGGGAAAGACCATTTGCTTTGTGCGAGTTTTGCGAGACGCAGTTAGCAAGAACGCCTAGTGAATTTCCACGAGAGTTCAATAAACTACGCATATATGAATATATAGTATTTTTCTCTGATATTTCTGGTATTAACATAATTAAATGTACTTTTTTTAAAAATCTTTTATAAGGTTGATGTAATATTTCAAATATCTTGTCATAAAATATAAGTATTATCATCATTAATATATATAATTCTCACACAATTTATTTATAAGATCATTTAAAATTTATTCGCGTTTGTAATTTGCAATTGTTAATGTTCTATACAGATATAAATAAGAGATAAACTTACAATACAGAAAGTCGATAAGCAATAATTTAATAAAATAATAATACTAATATTTAAATGTTTTACATTGATAAATATATATATATATATATATATAAGATAAGTTTTTTTGCATGATAGATATCAATATATATTAATATATTAACTATTGAATTTAGCAGAGATGCGTTTATTTTTAATTTCTGAATGTATGACTGTAATTCTCTGAGGCGGACTTTACGTTATCGCCTTGTTCGTCGATATATCGCCGACGAAGAGTCAACAATATGAAAATATCTGTAGTCGGAAGATTTCCACATTTACTCGTATCTCATGATGATGGCGAGGGTTCTTCTCCTTGGCATTAGACCCTGCTCGACTGAGTCTTCTTTTCGAGTTATTGCTACTTTCATTTTTCTAATTGTGTGTGAGTGATTAGATAAACTATAGCATAGATTGAGAAACATGGCTGAAGAAAGAAATCGCTTTGAAAAATCGAGTCATATTGTTTTCGCCCACAATTTTTATAAGACAATCTAATTGTTTCATTTCAATAAAATTAAAAAATAAAAAAATTATCGTACGAAATTATTGCATATATATCTGTTCTAATTGTTTCATCAAGAGAATTAAAAAATAAAAAAATTATCGTATATCTGTTATCAGTATATAATTAATTATTCACGTGTGTCTAAAAATATGCTGTATGAAATAAAGTTGCAATATTCATGTGTAATGTTCTCTTTCTTTTTCACATATTTAAAGTAATAAAGAAGCAAAATTGAGTTTTTGTTATTTAAAATTACAGCAGATTGTATAAAATTATTTGTCCATTTCATTTTGTGATAATAATATAATAAAAAACGCATATATTATGTTATACATGAAAAAAATGATTAAAAGTCTTTTTACTACAAAAAAGAATAGTAAAATTATTTAAAGGTCGTATAAATATAAGTTGTAAAAAATCATAATAAACAGATTCTAACTGTTTTTCAAGATTTTAACGCAATTTAATAATTCTTAATTGATTAAGAATGATTGATTTTTAATTCAATAATATAATTTACGTACAAAATCTTTTCTCATAATTGCTTAATAAATTCTGCTTGCCTGAAAGTACGGTAATCGGGTACTCGCCCTTTCTTTATTTTTTCACAATTTTAATGAAACATAATGCTAAGGAATTTCATTATCAGATAACGATTTATGTGTTTGTTGCACGATATACGATTCAGATTGTCATCATGTATGTCACGTAGCACAGTTGCGATTTTATCACATTGTCGAACAATAATGTGAGAATGACAAAACAGGGAGTACGTTTGTAAAATAATATTCAAAGGACAGAATAAGATAATGACACAAATAGCCTATAGAACAAATAAAAGAAATTCCAATCGCTCATTTTGATAAGCAAATCCCTCCATATTGCTTTTATTTTAAGCGCTTTGCAGTTTTAATTATCTGAATTATAAGAAGAGAGCAAAGATCATACCGTGAAAACTAAACTCGTCTTGTTCTCAATGTCGTTTGTATCGGACAAACTCTCGTTACACAGAATGTTTGAAATATAATTTTGGATATAATTTAATATAAATTTAAAGAGTAAATTAATTTCACACACAGATTTATAATTATTAAATTATTAAGTTAAATCTTCTCGAATTAGCCTTATAAAAATCTGTAATATTAAATTTCTATAAATACAAATTCCAGAATAAAAGATATAAATATAAAAAAATATAAATGAAGATTTAATATATGAAATTTCTGTTAAACGAGTTGAAAAATTTGGAGTTAAAAAATCGTTCATTAGGAGGAGTATTCCGATAATATATTGCCTGGAAATTGCGGGCATTTTCCTCGAATATCAAGCGAGTGATAAACGATTTCCGCGTAATGTTATCGAGTAACTGTAAATATACGGAGCCGAATAGCCAGGGAACGGAAATAGATTCCGGCCACCGATTGTGGATCAGTGGACGAGCCTCTCGGCTCGCACGGATTCTCGGCTTCTCGCACGCGTGGCTTGCTGGGTGCTTGTCACGCGTCGTAGGTGTTACGTTGCCGGCGTAACGTACGTACTACGAATGTACGGCTCGTGATGACGTAGCGGCCTTGCGTCGATAAAAGACACATTGAGAAGAGGAGGGCTTTTACGGTAATCCGGCGTGATTCGCATTTTCGTGATTCGTCGCGCGCGAAAACGAAATGCAGCGTGATTCGGACGATGATCTTCTCTCTCTCTTTTTCTCGAAATCGATATTAAAGTCTACAATTTCTAATGTTATATTGTATTAATATTGTTTTATGCGCGAGGGAGCTCTTATGCACTTAATAAAATCGAAATAAAGTTTATTTCTGCCGAAGAAAATATTCATATAATGATTTTATTATTCGTATTATTATTATTATTTGTATTGTTATTATTATTTGTTTTAATTCTTTAAAAAAAATTGTATGCATAATTGGAGATCATTTCTCATCGAGAAATCAACGACTATTAATTTTCAAGCAACTGTCATCATTTTTAATATGAATTTGACTAATCGCAAAGATGGGGTTGACATATATCAATTCGCTGATGTAAGGCGTAAAGTGATAGCACGCGAAGAAAGAGCAAACTTTCTCATGATACGTAGATAGCGCTTACGTAAGGAAAACCTGAAGATACATTCACTATGAAACTTAAGTAAGTGATCATAAAGCATTTATTTAGGAAAAGGAAGAAAATTTACAGGAATATTATAACGTAGAACAAATCAGCGAATAAATTAAGAGTTTCATTTAATGTATTCAGTAATAAAGTTACATATATATGTTATTGGAATTAATAGATTTGGCTTAATTTGATGAGTTTAACGTTTTATTAGTATGCGAACAAATTATTTGCTCGAGTCCTCAAATAAAGAATATTTACGTCCTATGCAACGATCGCGCAAATTGAAGTTTATGATTTACGTCAGCAATCCAAGGCTAATAAAAGCAGCAAGTCTATCTCATTGTCTCTCAGTATTGTCAAAGTAGTAGTCACAATCATAAAAATTCTTCAATAAAATATATCTTTTTCAACTCATAACGCACGTTCAAGCTGCATCGTAAATCATTCTGTCAGGAAATGAACAGGGAAAGAACTGCATCTGAGTTTTTATTTTCCGTAGTGTGGCAACTCGGCAAAGATTTTTATCGAACACATCGATGCTCTTATTCTACATTACTATCGTAGAATGAATCTTATGATTAATTTAATGATATAACGTGCATTTAGCATACATTATGCAGTGTGAAATGTAAAAACAAACAGCCAACGCGTGCAACGATTTCATAAAAATTAAATTAACGACGCAAATTTCGTTCATTTTTTTTCGAATGTAGTACTGATGTAATAATAATGAAGACGATAAAAAATACTTCTTAATTATCTAATTTTGTCATGCGATATTTATCGCGTTGTTTAAGACATCATAATAAATGATAAGATCCGCTTTATCATTCATATATGACTCTTGGTACTATTAGTAGTTTGAAAATAATATATATTTAGAGATTCCAGATTATACAAAAATAAAAAGATAAATTTTTATAAATTATTAATAAATATAATTTTTTTGTAAAAAGCTCAAAAAATGTATAAATACCTTCTGTGAATTGTAGATCTAAATAATAAGTTATATGTATTTTGAGAATTTAATAATTCTTTAATATAATTCTCTAATATACATTTATTTTATATTGATATATATGTACACATATTTTAATATAATTTCAATATTTCAATATTGAAAATTTTGATTGCGAATTTAACAGATACGTTGAAAAGTAATAGTTTTTATGAAATGATGAATTCAGAAATTTAATAGTCTGTGTTTTATAATTTACAAAAATAAATAAATATAACTTTGTAAATAAATAAGATGAAATGTGAGCACGATTAATTATTAAGATGCGTTTTCTATTTTTATTAAATTGCTGGCGTAAAGTATAAATTCAATTCTTGATTGTTGTACCGTGAATATTTTCTTATTTTCCTTATATGATGAATCAGTTACAACATAAACATTAAAAAAATTACATAAAAAATAATATACGAAAACATAATGTATAGTCTGTTCTGCAATATTTCTACAAACATTTATTTTTCAATTATATATTGTAATTCATTTTAATTTATTATATAATTTTTTAATACATGGATGATATGTGAAATGGAAATTTTGATCAATTATCTTCCGAATGATAATTGTAATTAAAAAAGAATAAAATTTACGTACCGAATCAATTTTGTGTGTATGGCAGGCTGTTTGCGAGAATATGGTACTCGAAAACCATTGTATAGAGTACTGTAAGATGATGTCATTATGTGGTATCTTAAATACAATAATCAGCGTACTCGATAATAACTGTGCCGGAATTATTTTTGTAACTTTATCTAACTTCAACGTAAATTCTGTGTAAAATATAGTAATATTCTAATAAGAATTCCAACAGATACGTTTCAATCGATAATTATTACTGTGCAAACTAATCCTTAATCGCTTTATTTATCCTTTTCCCGCGATATAACACCCAACCTAGATCTCGATTAAATTAACATATTGTTGAAATTCATATAAACAAAGTTCAAGATTTTATATTAGAAAACTCACATGTGATGAATAAAGCTATTTTTAATTTTATTCTACTTTAATTATTCTACTTTATTTTTCGTTCGAGAACTTGAAGTATTTTATCTTTAAAAATTATTCGCGACTATAGAAGATTTATTAAATGAATCAAATAATATAAATTGTTTTTTTCTTGCATCTCCTTAATTTACAACACTTTACAAACCACGTCAAATCTTGATATCGTGTAAATTTAAATTTTTTTAATGATAAACTCGCTTCAAAAGTGAGAAGAAATAATTTCATAATGAAATTAATTCGTTACGTAAGCCACACACAGGAAATCTCTTATCTTATATATCGCGCAAGTTTGAATTTTATCATTCGTTATTTTAGAATAACAGAAATAATTTATCCTAACGCACTTGTTGATCCGATTTATATTATTATTGCGGCCATTTACATTCCCCAATATTGCGTCATTATCATAAGAGAAGATAATTTCTTCAAAACGTTATCGCTCCAATAACGCGATGAGTTCCAACGAAATCGATTGACATGATGTGTTTTTCAGGGTCGTCAAAGATATAATTAATTTGGCCTCATGTTTGTTAAGACATCGAAAGAGGAAATCGATATTATGCAACGCGATATTGTTTTAGATTTGCGGAGAAATCGGTTGAAATTATACTGTGTCATATATATATGTGGTATCAATATATCACACCTATTAAATTATATTACTGATATTATCTTCAGATTATGTCTGCTCTCTTAACAATGACTTGCAACTTTTTATCAAATCGCATTAGACATTTTACACGTGGCAAACTAAATAACATATATCGTGTAGAAAAAATTAAATTATTTTTAAATTACATATTATCTTAACAGAGTATATATTAAAGTATTTCTTTATTATTAATTTATTACCAAATCTTTTTACTTTATTTATTTATATATCCAATATCAAATTGTTTTTTTGCTGTTTCTTGAAGAAAACAATCCATATCTTAAATATTAACTAAAAACTTAAAGAAATTGATCTGCTGTGTTTTTATTTGATTACATAATAATTAATTCCATCGATGTTTTTCTAAGATCTTGTTTATTATTAAGAGCATACGATTACAAGGCACTGTTAAATGTATATAAAACTACAGCAATTTTTGCTGCATGCATGCCACAATGAGCTGATTAACTGTAACGTCATTGTACATACATATCTAATACGTCAGCACATAATATATATGTATATGCGTGATTAATGTATATTATTTTTTGCGCGATGCAAACTTTTTTATCTCATTAAACTACAGTTCAATGTGTGCGTTAATTTCCTTCATATGTCTATCATTTTTATAGAACTTTATTTCATAAAATAGATTGGAATTAATCGAGTTTCAATTGAGTCTGTTTCCTTTTAAATTCATTAATTTTAATAAAATGAAACAATGGGATTACGATTAAACCTGAATATATAGAATATACAGTAGGATCGCAGTTAAATCTGTTAACTTTAACTGAACTGTTTACGGCAATGGGAGATATTCGCGGCATCGCGAGGGAAAAACGGAAATTGTCGGCAGAAACCGTACTCTGCGCGCGACTTTAGAGAGACCGCTTAATTGCGATGTTGTCGTTTGGTTCTACGGCCTCTCTTTCATTAATTCAATTGTCTCTTATCAACGAGAATGCTACTAGTCAGCCTAGAACCGACGGAGCATTTGTCTGGTTGCCGAGCGCGAGCAAAACACATCGCGGAATGACTCTTTATTTTCGGAGCAAGAATAATTTTTCTTCGAGAGAATGAAATCACATCTTATGAATATAAGGTCTATTCGTTTCAGATATATCTTTTTGCATTATCTACGTGAAAAAATGGGCAAACAGGTTTACATTCGGAAAAGAGAAAGTTGCGGAAAGTGAAACCACAACGAATAGATCTATTGTCTCATTTACCTTTTATTTCATTTAATCTCGCAATGAAATCAATTATCGGGTGACTCGAACGTGCTCGGTCTCCGTGTCTCTTTGACCTCATATAACATTTGAATGCATTTTTATTAAAAAGAAACTCAAGACTCAAGTTTCTTATTTCAAGAAAAACGAGGAAGATTTTCGATCAATTCTTTTTAATTTTATCTTTCAAAGCTTGTAATTTCGCTGATTAAATAACATTCTAATTTTATATATTAGATGGTAATATTGATATTAATGTAAAAAATTCTCAAAATAAAAATTAATTGAGAAGAAAAGGGAAATTGGCGTAACTTGTCTCATTTATGAATAATATAATTATATATAAATTATATAATCATATAATATATAATTTTTAACATTTTTATATAATTTTAATTTTGCATGAATAATTTATCCATTTTAAAACGAGGAATTTTTATGTTTTTCAAGGAAGCTTTATGTAGTTATTTTTAATTTTGACTTTATATATATATATATATATATATATATATATAAAACTTTATATATATATATATATACTTTATATATATATATATAAAGTTTTTACATAGTATATAATATATATCTCCCGTTTATAAAAAAATAAAGAATTTAAAAAGATTTGAGAAAACAAAAAAATTCTCAATTATATAATATATATAAAAATCATTCGACATAAAGACTACCTTAAACTTACATTATCGCTATTCTATTTAAAAAATTGCCGGAAAAAAAGAGGAACTCACCTGTAGGCAAGAGACATGCACTGGAAAAGCTTGTTCAAGGACGTTTCGATGCTCAACTGCTGGGAAGAGCTCCTCATGTACAGGCCGCTATTCGCGAATCTGTCGTGAAAAAAGCCAAGCGGTCCGGCGATCGGGAACTTCGTGGTCTGCGTCTCCTCTTGATCCGGCACCGGCACGGCAAGATCGTCCTCATCGTCCTGAGCCTCAGCCTCGAAGTCCGATATCATAAAGTGGCCCGAGTGTATCGTCTCGCGCGAGTCCCGTCCGCCGTTTTTTTCCCGTTTATTGTCGTTGCCAGGACGATGAAAACCGCCCTGGCTCGTCATCGGCGGCTTCCGATAAATCAATTCCGCCTGCATCTTCGATCCTCTGCGAATACGATTGATCCCTTCGAATCTCGATACTCTAGTGTGTCCATTTCGCGTGTTTATCGGGCTCTCTCGATCGTTTTTGAAATGAAACGAATTAAAATTGTCGACAGAACGCGGGAGCTCTTGACTGCGCGATTGTGAGGTGAATATTGATATGCAAATTAATAACGCAATCTAAAATATCACATTTTTGGAGAAATATATTTCCATTTAGGCTACATTGTGTATATTTAATTCGTGCACAAATAACACATTTCGGCAATCACAATAAGAATAAGATAAATATTAATTTAAGAAAATTTTTATTATTTAGAAAATTAATTTTAAAGCGAGAGAAAGAGAGAGAGAGGGAGAAATTTTCTCCATTTAATTTTCTTTATTTAATTTTTTAAAAATAATTTTATCTATTTACTCAAGTAAAAAAATTTTATAATTTGTCGATTTTTTTGGACAATTATGATAACAGATTCGTGAATCTTAACTGATTCGACTATATCTGATTTATGTTCTATGATTTAAAATGGGGTTGTTCAAATAAAATAGTAGGATTAGACGACCCCGTTTCTAGAAATTAGCGCACAGCACAATCTATGATAGAAGAAAGGCTTGACAGACATAACAAGTCTCACAATCAGTTATTGATACCCTGCGATAAACTCAGTTCACAAACGCACCCCTTTTTTCTAAGTATATCATATTTAAGTGATATATAAAAGGGAGGAAAGAGAGAGAGAAAGAGAGGAAAAGAGAGAGATATATGTTGTATGTATATGCCTAAGCTATAAAAATTCAATGCGACTTAAACACATTATGTAAATCAATATTGTAGAATTGATATTGTGTGCGTGGTATATATACGAGTTTATACATATATTTTTCAAAGCTGAATTGTATATGACACGTAAATATGTATGTTTCGATACTTCGACGATAACAGACATTACTCAGCGAAGTTTAAACACCAGGTTTAAACATCAGGTCGATTATACGATAGATTATAAATAAGATAAGTAACACACATACACATATTTTGGCATGTGCAATTATACATATATGCGCGTGAAGTAAAAATTACGTAAAAGAATTGCATAAAAGAATTTTTAGTTGGCGATATAATATAATGAAACATCTGTCAATTAACTGTTTTTGTTTTTGTATACTGTTTTTGTCATACTGTGAAGTATTAAAGCCTTGATTGGTGATGGCTTCCTGTCGATACGTAATTAATTTCGCGATAACATGTGTGGGAAATAATCGAATCCCCGCCTCTCGGTTGAATGACCGTATCGTAATGACCGAAAACATACAACTGGTTTTACAGTCGTAACATCGATTTTCAGCTGTACAGTTATAAGTTCGATGGAATTCTCAATGGTCAGTGACTTTTCTTTTAACTATACTATTACATGCTGGCTAAAATTAAACGCAGTCGAGACAATTCAATGCGTGGACGTGTCCGATGTACTGATGAACATGATCAAACAATGATTCGGTCAATCTTGGATAATAAATATTTTTCAGCTATCTTTATTTTTTTCTGAGAAATCTATATATTTCTATAAAAAATAAATATCATTTTAGAGTCTTTTTTTTTCGAGGAGCTCTTAAACATTTTTTTTATAAAAATCCGGCATGAAATATATTTCAAATAAATCGACTTTGATCTTGCATTGCTAAATTATGCGACATAAGAATGCAAATGTAAGATAATGTAAAATTTGTTATAAATTAACATGATAATTAGGCTAGAAAATAAATAAAATTAAAATAAATAAAACTAAATATATTTTAGTTTTATTTATTTTAATTTTATTTATTTTAACATTGTAGCTGTTTAACTAACTTTATTTTAACTTGAAAATCTCTTATATTTCCACATCTGAATACACATTTTAGTTGATTCAATATTTTTTTTAAATAGTATGTAAAAATATTTAAATATTTTCTTCTTATTATAAAGTTATCACAAATCAATTCATTACCCGATTATTATCATTAAATATAAAGGAAGCAATAAATTTTAAAATGTATTGTTATTAATATTATTACATTATTATTATTATTATCATCATCATCATTTATTATTATTATTATTATTTCAGTCTTAATATGCTCAGTGATATTAGCACGATATTGACATGATTATAAAATTAAATTTTAGTTACAGTCTTATTTAATGAATTAATAAGATATCTTCGATATTTCAATTTATGTACTGATATTGATATTATTATATTCATTTTAGAAGTATATTAATTGTACCTGCACTGAGAAAAAATCTGGTTACATTAATTAGAAATCTGATAGATTCAACCAGTATGTCTGTTGGAAAATGGATGAATCAGAATTTTTTTTAGGAATTATCAGATGAGTATTAATTTCTTTCTTTTAAATTTACCACATTTCCTTGGTAATATTACATTTATAAAAAAATGGCATCATTGTGCTAAAGTTTAGTTAATATAACAAGAGAAAGATTCAATTAGATTTTATAGATTCAATTAGAAAATATCAAATAATCAAATCCTTGTAATAACGTCTATAAACGTTCTGATTATAAAAAATCGAGTTTTATATTAATAATAAGAAAATTCTGCTTGGTTTAACCAAAGTGCCTTCTATCAAATACATCTTATTAATACAATCAAACGATTTTTTCACAGTGTGGTTTTATATTTGATATGTATACGGTTTTCGATTGCAAGAATCTGCGTGTAGGGAGCTCCAGATTTCATTTCTAGCTATTTAATTTAACGTAGCGTAGAGATAACGACGCTATAAATAGAAGGAATGACAATTAAGGGAGCAACCACGTAACTTTAAGAGGCTTCATGTACCGAAACATAAATTCCGATGCGGAAGTTCCCAAATTAATGCAATCTATTAACACGAATAGAGAAGTTTACATTGGATTGACCGATATATTCACGAACCGAGATATCACCCGTTAAAACCAGTTATTCTGATGGAGTTTTCCTTATCATTCGGATTAGATCCCAGATGGTTTATTAGTAGCATCTGACGCAACCTATTTTTTCCCTTCGATCACGATTGCATAATTCGTAAATTTTTATATTTCCGTAAACTTTTACTAGATTCTAAGACATACTTTTTTCACTAATTTTATGCAAATTTTTGCGCGTTATTTTTTTAATCAAGGAATTCAGTATTCTGATATTAAACGGCAAAAGAAATATTAAAGTGTCTCGCTATTGTCTCGAATCGTGAACATGAATACATGGAAAATTGCGGACTATTCAATTTTCGTCAGAATTGTTTTTTTCGGAATTATTATTTAGCCAAGCATCACAAAATATTTTCGTGAAAATTTAATTGTCAAAATGAAAAGTAAATTTTATACGTTTTTTTTTAATTTTTTATGACTTTTATGACTAATTCGATGATAATTTTTTCTTAGAAAAAGTGTCAAAGAAAATAATTATTTATCACATAATTTTAACATATCTTTGCAATTAAAATTTCAAATAAAAATTTTAATTGAAAAAGATATAGTAAAAAAAGCACATTTATTGATGTGTATTAAAATATATAATATATATAATAAAAAAAATATAATATATATATGCACACACACACAAAATTTTTGTATTTGTAATATTAATTATGTTAAATAATTTTTTGACATATACATAGATATGTAATTGATTAATTTTCTTATATAAAATTATTTAAATTTTCTTTCCCAAGAAAAACAAAATAGTGAGTTTTTGAATTCTATGCTGTAATATGCTGATAGGTCTCGATATCTATGAAATGTTAATACCCTTTGACCTTCTTGAGCTGATTGTGTCACAGGGCGAAGTCAAATGTCTTATCCGTTTGTTTATTAAAGTCGCACACTCTGCTAGGTTTCGGATTCTAAATAAAAATGAATATCTGTACGGAATACGTGTGATATAACAATAATGCAATCTTTTCAAATATAAAAATAATTCGGTTAAAAATAATCATAAAGAACGATAAGCAATTTCAAAATAATACAAAATAGAACATAAATAATTTACAATAAAATATATAGCAAATAATATCGATGCATGTTAACAAAATTTAAATTTGATAAATTTAATTTTGATTCTAGACGATGCTCCTGACATTTCTCTATTTGATCCATCGGAAAAACTGACATTGCTATTTCTGACTCCAATTGGATAATGGAAAATTTCCTTATTACGTCTTAATTCAGACGTATTTTTCTATATAGTTTCTATATTGTAAAACGTTATAACAATTTGATTTAGGAAATCACTCATGCATATTATCTACATATTTAAATTTCAATATTGATTTATAATACTTAATTAAGTGTGAAATTTGATTGATTGATATCATTTTATTCGTATTCTCGCATATATTGTTAGTATATTTTTGCTGAGATAAAAAAGGTAAAGATAAAAATAATAAATAGATAATCATAATTCCGCGCAATTAGTGCCAACATATTAATCTCGTTTCCGTATGTGAGTAATCGTCACTTTCTTTTATCAACATTTTAAGCGGCTTGGATACGCGAAGATAATCTTAACTCATGTAATATTTTTAGGTGTTCAATTGCTGGTATTAATTTGTTAATCGCAGCATATGAGTACACGTGCGACTTTCTTATAACGAAAACAATAATTTATTTTTGGATTTATTTTGTGTAAATTAAATCTTTAATAAAAAAATAATGAAATTAAGTAAAATCATATTGTCAAGTAATTATATATTACAGTATAATTATAATTAACAATTATATAATTGAAACAAAAATATTATATAGGAAAAAAGTAAATAAATTAAATTAAAAAATTAAATTAAGATATAATATATACTCACACGATTATATTAATACTACAATAGTTTACATTATTATATAACTTTCAATATTTATTATTAATTAAATGCAGTTCTCGGAATTTAATTCTGCTTTTAGCATTATCGCAGCTGTATTTTTTGTGTTTTTTTGGAAAAAGATAGGATATAACATACATAATATATTTGTAATATTTCTTAAGCGACTTAAAATGAATAGTGACAAAAACAATATTTTTGCATTTTGATGCGATAGACTAGTTTTTGTCACTACTCATTTTAATTCGCTTAAAAAATGTTAAAAATATAATACGTCGATCCTTGATTCTTCCTATATATCTTTTTTGTTTCTTGAATGAAGTCATAATGTAGGAAAAAAAATTATATTTCGGAGCAATAGAATTGTTTTCGTCACTATTTTGTTTTGATTCACTCGAAACATTAAACATATACGTCCTCGACATAATATATAATATTTGTACATCGAACAAACAAGGGTTCAAAATATACCTTTAATAGTAAACAGGAGATTAGGAATTTCTATTTTTCATTGAGTTCTAAGGTTTACTGTGATCCCGTACGATACACGAGGTTGACACATATCGAACACGCGTGTTTACAGTGGTTTCTTAGCGTATCAAAAAGAAAATTTGACAATAACATACGTGTGTCACTTGTCAATACGCATCTCTACGTGGATTTATATTTCGATTCAATGATCTACGCGTTATAGACGCTATTTTTTCTCTCTCTCTCTTTCTCTTTGAAAATAAAATATAGCACGAGAAAAGAATAAAAATAATACAGTATAATTAAAACGAGCGGATCACGAAGTGCGAGTATTCTCTCACTTTTTCATGTATCGTCTGCCCCTCTCCTTTCTATCCATCTTCTATTTACGCTTTTTCTCTGTTCAAGGGGCAAATCGCTCAAAGCTCGTTAAGTTAAGCATCGACTCGGACGCATTGCGTCGTGGTTTTCCTTATCGCGTCACTCCGCTCTGCGTCTCGATTTTTATCGCGTCCGTCTCGCGTCTCATGGAAATAGCCCGCATGTTTCCTCTATCGTCACTAGTGCCGTCCGTTTTCTGTTTTATCTCCTCTCGCTTTCTCTCCCCATCTCTCTCTTTCTTTCCCTCCCCTCAGAGAATAAATAACGCAGTTAAGAACTCGCGCTCACTATTAGTCGCTATTCATCTCACGTTTATGGCTATTCATTTCCAGGGAATGATCGAAAAAAAAAAAATAACGCCCGTTCAACGTCGCGCACCAGATGTTGATTCAATGCGCGACATTCGTCGCGCAAACAATCCGCGTACAAATCAACGAACACACACGCGCGCGCGCGCGCGCATTGCAACACGGCATATAACACATACGCGCACACAACGAAACAATACAAGACGATACGATATGATACGAGACGGGACGAAGCTCCGTATCACACTCACCTTCTGGATCTATTTCACAATTCCTGTTAGCACTCTTTCGCGTCGCTCTTATCCGTCGTCGATGTGGCTTCCAGAACAGCGGCTTCGCGGCCGGAAATTATCCTCCTCCCTCGTAACCTCACTCGTCAAGATCGTTTCCGCACGTTCGCCGTCAGGCTGGGCCGCGAGGCACCGCGCCCGGACGCGGCCCGTTCGCGTTACTGCACGACACACTCTCGCTCATGATGGCACTGCGACGCCATTTGCGCGCGAGTCCGCATTGCCCACGTTACACGACTGGCGCTACGAACCGACTGCGTACCAGCTGACGCGCTCGCGAGCGCCGACCAATGGCGGCGCGCGCCTCCCTCTCCACTCCCCACTCTCCGCGCCCGTAGCCCCCGGCGATTTACGGTCGCACAATATTTTGAAAAGCGCGCAAGTTCGAAAGGGTGCGTGGATGAAAAAACACAAACAAGTTTCATAATACGTTTGCGTTGTCGACTTCATACACTGTACTTTCGCGTAAGACAGTTATCCGATCTATTTAGTTCGTCGACGCTCTCGATTATTTGCAGGCGATATGTTCAGGCGATGTTTTCGGTAATTTAAATACGATCGTAAGATAAATGATAAGAGATGATTCTTATGACTGTCGTATAATTTGACTAGAGCGATTGCAATATTAATGGCAACGATCAATTCCGTTTCTTTCACGATGCTTTGTCACGGTTATATTTATACTCCTTCACGACACGGACGAAATTATGATGCGGATATTATTGAAAACGTCTCAAACTTTTCGATTTCTATTAATATTTTAAGAGATACTGCTTAATACGGTTTAAATATAGTTTTTACGATGTTATATTTAGGCTGCAATTTTCGCTTACAATGCTACATGTTAGAATTGACTAATCGGAATAAAGATTCCTTTATTCTCATTGGTCAATAAAAAGTTTCTAGAATTCATAGCGTTAAGACATATTTCACGCGCATTTTTCATCTCTGAATATTCACGCTTCATGACTGTTAATTATCGGAAAAATAGCAATATTATCTTACAATAAAAAGAAATTATTATTTAAAAAATTGTTATATCGATAAAATTGTTATCGTTTTTTGAACAAGAATAATGATGCAGATATTTAAAAATTGAATATACGCATTAAATATGCATATGACATAAACAAATTTATATTAAGACTTTTTGTGACAGATTATAAAATATATTGAATAATGACATTAATAAATATCGAACATAAACGGATGATTAATATATGTGTCTCGAATATAAAATGAATGTATTATATAATATTGATATAAGAATGTAATATATTATAATTTCTACTATTACTAAATTCGTTGTGATATTTATTAAATAATTTCTTACTTTCAATATTATAAATCATGTGAATAGTGTGTCCGTGTAAAAATCGAAAGAATTTCCGTCTAATTCTCGCGATAGTCGAAATGATACTAACAATAAGCGAGAATTATGTTGACAATACGATGAAGAGATGGCATGCGTGAGAGAAGGAAATTCTCGGAAATAAAGCTCGATCGCTTTGTTTACATAATAAAGGTAACACGTGTCATCAATTCACTCAAAGACGTGACAAAATATTATATATAGAACACGCGGCCAAAAAGATAGCTTATCGCGTTTAATAACGTAAATGTTGGTCACGTTAAACAAGAATATCGAAAGTGCCTATCTATAATATTAAATATTCTGTGGTAACGCTATATTTCGCGCCAAAAAACAACCCATAGTAAAAAATTAATTTAATACAAATAATTATATCTTATCGTTTAATTAGAGCGATATGAATGTTATTGAATTCAGTTAGATGTCAGTGAGCGGGGTCAGTAATGCTCATAATATATTTATATATTTATTTTCGAAATTTTTATTAATTTAATATATTTAAAATATGTTGAAAAGTTGATGGTTGTGAGTCAAGTGCGTGAGTCATTTCGTTTCGTTTTGTTTCGGTGTAAAAAGTTCAAAGAAGATATCGCAAGAATTGTAAACCATAAATAATTAATGGCAAATTTTCAAATTTCGTATCGTTCTTGAATAAATTTTGATTATATTGAAAATATCGGGAAGTGCGTTTAGAATATAATTGAATATTGTATGAAACTAGATAAGTCATAATACCATTTCCGAGACGTGTTGTTTCTAATACGAAAAGTTTAAACAAGATATCGCGAAATTAATAACAGGTTACTGTCTTTACTTATCGCTCAGGGATAAATTTTGGTAGCATTATCGAGAAGTGTATCTACAACATTGAGTATATTCTGTGACGATATCAGATCGTGTGTCAAGGAGCAACGTCATAATGACGTAGTCGACGACGTGCAAAATTATGTTACACTTCCCTTCGTTTCGTGTGTTTAAAGAAGTTTAAAGATAGCATCGCAAGGATTCTAAGCCGTAAGATTAACGTCAAATTGCAATTTTATACGCTCTTGAATATCAAGTTTGTGTATATTAAGAAGTATGTTTATAAATCAAATGGGATTAGTTCATGTTGAAAATTAAGGCAAGGAATGCGATGTAATTTTTGGGACGTTTCGTTTCGTTTCTAGTGTGAAAAATTTAAAGAAGGCATCGTGAAAATCATAAAATTAATGGCAGATCGCTTTATTTAATGTTTGAATAAATTTTAATTATATTAAGAATATCGGAAAATACATCTATGACATTAAATATTCTGGGTGACGCGAGAGGGAGGCACCAGATCACGCGCGCCAAAAGTTTAACGTAGTAATGACGCAGTTTCCGGGACGCGATGAGATGTACTACGTCTTGTTTCGTTTAATTTATAAAATAAGTGCGTGCAAAAGTGAATTTTCTTGTGTAAAGTTTAAGAAAAGTGCGTAAAAATGAAGCTCCTGTACTTCGTATCCACGACCGCATGGAATCACATCATTGCAACCATCATCAAGTCACACGGATCGATATTATGAGTATGTATATAACCTTCATTTCAAAAACTTGCGACTTTACCAAATAATAAACTTCTATTAATTGTTTTAAATTTCTGAATTTTTTTCAGGGTAAATTTAGTTCGGATCTTGAGGAATAATGATTTTTTTCATCGACAGCGAGGTAAACAATACATTATTTATTATATAATTATTTTTTATAAATATTTATTATAAAATTATTTATTATATACATTTTATATTGCAATTACTATAGCCGTTAAATGTTCGCGGAAGGGGGAGGGACTGTTTATATTATTGTTTTATTTTTTACTTGGCTTATAAATAATATTGTTTTAAAAACAGTGAGAAGTATTTCCTGATTTATTATATTTTTAGTCATCATTACCATTGATATAAATCATACAGGAACATCATACAGTTATTACTGTAAATTACATGGGAAAGTAAATTACATAAATAACATTTATAAATTCTCTCTTTCTCTCGTTTTAATGTTTAAATATTTATAAACATATACACTAACGTTTCGAGAACATTTTTAATTAATTATCGTTTATGTCAATATTGAAGTAAAGAAAAAGATAATTAATAATCCTACTACTTATATATATATATATATATATATATATATATATATATATACAGAATAATAAAAATATAAAACGATAAAAATTATTTGAGCTTATCTTATTATGCTTTAATATGTACAGATAATATTATAATTATATTGGCATCCTAATCACAGAAATTATTCAATACAAATTCATTCCTCATAATCCTATAGATATTTATCAAAATTTCTTATATATCAGGAGATAATCTTTTATTTAAAAATTAATAAAAATTAAATTTGCAAATATATAAATCTATTTTAAATAAAACATATAATAATATTTAATCAGTAAAAAAATAAAATAAGCAAAAAATGTAAGATAAAAAACATATAACATATAATAACATTATTATTATATATTTATATTGTTATTATATTTATATTGATTAGTGTTTTATAGTAATCATTATGTGCATAAGTTTAATGTTTGATGTATACTGTACAAATGAATAAAACTACATATTAAATTTTATCTATTTTATCAATATTAAAAAATATTTAGGAAATATAAAAAATATTTAGGAAATATAAAAAATATTTAAAAAATTATTAAGGAAAGATATATTCAGAAATTACAATTTAAAAAGAGGAGAAAACATGCATACAGATAATAATTATAAAATTGTTTATTTCAAAATGTAACATTATTATTTTACGATTATGTGCTTCATGTGATCAAACACGTTAATAAAATTCCAATCATGTTTATAACTTAAAATTATTGTTATGATTAGAAAGGATATAATCAGCACATCACACATATACATATGTATATTCACACACACGTAATATCGTATTATTGATTTTTCTGTATAAAACAGAGTATCGCGTTAGAAGAATACGTATATTCATCTTTAATTATGTGCAAGGTACATCGGAATCTCAATAATTATTTACGAAAATATAATTTTTTACGTTATCGTATATGCATAATTTTCTTTTATTCTTTATAAATTAATTGCCTTATATTATACATGTATAAGAACTGAAAAACTTAATAATTGTATAAGTATAAATTAGCAATATTATTTTAATTAGCGCAATATTTTTTGTGTTTTAATTACTTTTAACAAGTTTTAAAAATAATTGTAGAGAGAAGAAATTTTATAGTTTTATAAAAAGTGAATTATATATATATATATATATATATATATATATATATATATATATATATAACCCACAAAATTCAAAGTAAAAATTTTTCGCGGAAAATACTACGTAACTACTACTTATTAACTAATTAATAATTGATATTGCAAATCATTGACAAATTAGAAATGTTAATTCGTTTATGTAACAACTTATTCTTATATTTTGAAATTCTATCGATATTATTACTTTCGTATTTTTATCACATTATTTTTTGATAGTTAATAAAAGACTGATATTTTTTGATTATTAAAATAAATCAAGAAAACTTTTTTTATAACAAAAGATCGTGTTATATTTTTATATCTATTATTTAGTTATTATATCGAGATAACATTTATTCTTAAAATTCGATATCCCAACCGGAAAACTCATCTGGTGGAATGTCACGATCTGGTGGATATCTTTCGAAATTCCGTGTATCGAGTTGATGTCGCACCTGAAAACGTATAAATAAAATAAACTTTTATATTAATGCAAGATTTTTTCTTATAAATAATAAGAATAAATTAAAGCGATGCGTGTTGCTTGAATAATTCCCTAAAAGTTGATGTAAAATCACGATAACATACCGTTGGTACAATGGGAGCTGGTAAAGCTAATCTTTGAAGTGCTTGCCAGTTGAATCCGGAAAACCATCTGTTAAAAGAACAAAAATAGGAATTATATTTATCATTTTGTATTTATCTTTAACCTTTCACTTAATCTTATCTTATCTTAATATAATCTGATTATTATATGTACACGAAATATCTCTCTTTTAAAATTTTATAAAATATTTTTATATATATAAATATTTTTATTTAAATATATATAAAACATCTATTAAAAATACATACTTATTAATTTATAAAATATTTTTTAAATGTTTATATATACATGTTGTTTTTTTCTACCTTATAATCATTTTTTTTTAAGAACTTACTTGTGATCGCGAATATCTTGTATTCCGTTTCGTTGATAACCTAATCGTTCCGAGGGACTTAAACGAAGTAGCTTCTTAATGAGATTATTAGCGTTTTTATTAACAATGCTTGGTATACCGATCACCTCAATTCCTTTCAAGATTTTATTATAAGTAGTCATATGATCGGATCCTCGGAAAGGCGGTTTACCGATGAGAAGCTCGTGCGTTAAGATACCGAGGGCCCAATAATCCACCGCCCTTTCGAAATCGAAAAATAAACGCAATAAAAATACATTAAAAATATATTAAATATATATTCAAAATATATTCAAAATATATTAAATATATATTCAAAATATATTAAGAATATATTAAAAACTGAAGGCAAAGAAATAGTTAAATAGTAAACATAAAGATAAGCTTAAATCTTTTACCTATCGTGCCCTTTATTCAAAATAATTTCCGGTGCGACGTATTCAGGTGTGCCGGCAAACGTCCATAATTTGGCCGGACCAATTTTTTTACTAAAGCCAAAGTCCACCTATTGCAAATTGTTTAAAATTTAAATTATTTAATATATAAATATATTTAATATAATTTAATATATAAATTTATTTAAATTATTAATATTACTTTTGCTATAATACTTTTATAATTGGAAATTAAGCGAATTAATAATCGAGTGTCTCACCAACTTTAAGTAACCGCGCATGTCCAGCATAAGATTTTCGGGTTTAAGATCGCGATAAACAATATTTAATGAATGGAGATGATCGAGAGCTTCCACTACGCAACCGACCATGAATTGTGCGGTAGCGTCATCGAAGCAGCGTCTCTTTTGCAGGGTCGTCCATACATCTCCCCCGAGACATACTTCCATTAGGAAATAGACGTATTTATTATCCTTGTATGTCTGATAAAGCCTGAAATGTAAAATTATATTAATTTCTATCAGATTTCAGAATGATTTTATTTAGAAATTCTTATATATAATTATTAGAATTTGTTGGGGCGAAATATCATGTTTCAACTTCTTTAAATATCTTTATTGTAAATTTTATGATAAACAATTATTTTCAATCTTTGCCTAAATTAGTAGATTAATTTTTAGAATTATTTTCAATTTTAAAAAATTTGATATTTCATAGATTGATCAAAATATTATATTTATTTTAATGTTAATAAACTAAACATTGCGTATTTTTCACAAACAAAAATAATATTTTGATTATTTCATATTATAGATTGATTTTAATTTATTAAAATAAATATAAAAACCAAATTTTTTACAACTTACTTGCATATGAATGGCGAATCGCACGCCTGCATAATGTGTTTTTCGTTTAGCACATGCTCTTGTTGTTGTTGCTCGACCATGACCTTCTTTTTGAGTTTCTTCAAAGCGAAACTTTTGTTCGAATCAGATCTAAGCGTAACTAATTCGACGCGACCAAATCCACCAACTCCTAACGTTCCTCTCGTCTCGAGATCGGCTAAGGTCAAATTTGCATATTCATTAGTCCACTTTTTCGGAGTTAATGAACGCTTCTGCTGCTCATACTCTGCTAACCAGTCCTTGTTACGAATTTCGTCCAGACTGCCCAGGTAGTTTAAGAATGACCTGACAATTTTTTGAATTATTATATTATTGTATTTTCAATAGATAGAAAAAATACATTCCCTCTCTTATTGAATCACATTATTTATTAATTAAAATATGAATATTTTTTCGTAAATAAAACAAAAAGATATTCGTAATTGTTCCTTAAAATAAATGTAAATATAAGAGAATTTTATTATGAGCTTGCAATTCTGTCATTTATAATTAAAATAACTAAATTTAATTATTCATAAAATAATTAAATTTTTCAATTCTCCCATTTTGGCATAAAGTAAATGTAAAACAAAAATTCTACATTGTTGCACGTTTTAAATAAATTACGTGTATAATAATCGGACTCACGTTCTATCCAATGTCAGACATTCGACACCAGGTGCAAGCGCAATTGCGTTGGCACGTCGTTCACCCCCGTCATCATAGAGAGCCAATTCACCAAAATAATCTCCTTTGCCGAGAACAACGAGTTCTTCTTCGCCTCCGTATTCGGTATCCTTAGTGATACGTACGTTACCACCACTGATCATATAAAATTTCTCACCTTTTTCGCCTTGCCGCAATATTTTTGCTCCAGCCGGAAAAAATTCCTAAAGAGAGATATTATTATAATAAATAGATAAATATAATTAATATTATTAATAGATAAATAGATTATTATAATATTCTTAATTTTTTTTTATTAGTTATATTATAAATGAGAAATTTTCAGCAGTGATATAATAACATCTTTTCAATATTTCCTTACTATTCTTATAAGATCAGATATTTTCGCGAGCACATGATCCTTGGGTTCGGGCAGTTTTTGAAGAACGGAAACGCGTTGAAGAAAACGGATATTGCTTTCCAATTGTTCTTGGGCTGTTCTCATCATTATAGTGAGAAATACTGATCTGTCCAACACCCATACTTTTCCATTTGTCTTTACTGAAATAACATAAAATTGAACAAATTTTAATTCAGGAAGCAGCATTACGATTTACAGGAATGTCTATGCTTAATATTTATTATGAATTTTACAATTATTTTCACACACACACACACACGCATATATTATTTAAAAATTTTGTTTCATAACTTAGATATTGATTACATTTTTTTATTGTTTACCGTTGATAGAACGAAGCCTTTTTGTATTATACAATAGAGCGAGCTCTCCAAATGCAATTCCTGGCCCGAAGCGTCTTTGAAATTTACTTCCTTCGTAAATTTCAAACTCTCCCTCCGCGGATACATATAAATGTGAGCCTACGAACAAACAATTATATAGCATTAAATAATATTTAATATTTAACTCTGTGTGTTAGATATTAGTGATATATAATATTATTTCAATCACTATATGATATAAAAATTAATGTATACCTATGTCACCTTCCCGGATGACTAGAGTATCAGCTAGAATTTGTTTGGGATACATTGCAGAGACGAGTGCTTCAACTTGATTCTCTTCGAGATTACCTAGAAATTCATTCTCCAAAATGGCTCTTTTAATTTGTCTCGCACTCCTATAAATAAAACAGAAATAGTTATGTTTTCCTTTGTCAAAAAGTGTGTTAATAATAATTAACTAAAAGATATGTATATTTTTTTAAAAAAATTACATGATATATAGTAAATAATTAATATTTTAATTATAAATTTACTTTTTAATTATAACATTGTCTTTTTTTAATACTATAGTTGCTAAAAATAATATAAAAAATTGCTAATAATTATATAAAAATATACTATTAATTACAATTATTTATTATATTAATATTTACTAATATATTCTATGTGATCACCTGGCATCTTTTTCGTATACGGGTGTAGGCGCCGAGGGTGGCGTCGGCGTTCTTCCAATGACGCCACCCCTTGGATTATTTACGTGCTGTTCATTATTTTCGATAACAGTTGCATTTCCTAATCTGGATGGTTCTTGATGCGTGAGATTATTGGCCTGAGATGGCGACGGTGATATTGTAGACTGTGTGGATGATGTGGATGATGGTGGACCGCTGCCATTTATAATTGGCGTAGAATACTGAGTATGGGTGCCGAATATTGGATTATACGGTATCTAATAGAAGAAATTAAAATGATACAACGTAATCTTTAAGAATTGCTTGATGTAACAAATAAATAAAGCAAATTTTTATTGTTTACGTTTTTTTAACTACTTATTTTCTTAAGAGTATTTTTTTAAATTATTAATTATATCTATAAAAATTTGAGATTAATCAATTTATTAATATTTATATTTGAATTAAAATATTTTATATTAAAATTGACTTTATAATTATAATTATAATTATAAATTTTATCTATAATTATAATTTCATAATAATTCAATAATAATTTCAATAATAATTTAGTTTTTCTATATGTTTTACAAAATTTAGAAATTGATTTGATACATTTGAATTCTTCTAAATTAAAAGAGCATAACTCCACAAATCTATCGTGCAATTTTATAAAAATGCAAAAAATTTTTTCAACAATTAAATGATTTGCTTATATATTACATAGGACTTACAACGCCTACAAAATTATTAGATTCCTTGTGGCCCGGCGGAAGGGTAACATTAATGCTACGCTTTTCCGGAATGATGCTTTTTGGAAAGCAAGAAAACTTCATGTTATCTTCATCCAATGCATGTCCAAAACAAATCCTTTTGACGCCTGAAAAAGAGAAACATATTTTTTTTTAATATTTATTAATAAGTAATATTAAAATTTGACATTTTTTTCATTTAATTTGAAAGAAAAAATATTATAAATTTATATTATAGAGATAGAGAGAGAAATAAAAAATATAGCGCATAAGGAAAAAATTCGTGATATTACAGATATTAATTATAAAAAATATTATATACAAGAATCTTTATAAAATATAGATACATCGTGTGAAGAAGAACTTAATGAACATCAACTTTTTCTTAATACTTTGTTATCAATGCATTGCCATATCTATATTGTCATATGTCAATTTTAAAAAGTAATTCTTATTGATAAATTCTGTAGGTAGAAAAAAATTTCTCTATTTATTTTTAAAATCAAATTTTTGCAAAATAATCATTTGTCTACAGAACAATTAATTTACTCAAATAAAGAGATTACTCAGAATAATGTATTTAGATAATGTGTAGAATAATGTAATTTGACTAATTTAATCTTATCTTAAATTTAAAATTATGCATAATTTTTAGAATCAAAGTATCTCTTTAATTATTGTGTACCTTTTAAAGTTTCATTGAATTGATTATAATTGTACGCGAATAAAAAATATACAGAAATGCTAAAAGAATTATTTTAATCACTCACTTTTTCGCGTCACGTTTATTTCTTCATAGAAGAATTTAACAAAATTCACTCTTCAATATCGCTTGATATTATGAGATACTTATAATTAATATTCTATTTCTTTGTCGAATACTTCGATTCGTTCGGATTGAGTTCATCAGACTATTTCATTTTTCGTGATACACAGTTTTCATGCGACTATTCATTCTCGATGCGAGAATCGATTCCACACCAGTCACATGCTTATGCTAATGGTGGTGTTTGGTGCACGTGATGTATTGTACCTTGACGTCATAATGCATTAGCACATGCTCATGATGAGAATATTCTCGACTTTACGAAGTTTGATTATCTTCCTCTTTAAAGTTTTCATTTCACAGCAATTTTTCTGAGAGCACTATAAAGATGTTAAAAAATTCAAAATGTACATATTACAAATACTGTAATATATGTAAAGTCTGTTTGCAATTATAATTATGAATTTATAACTTGCATTATCATGTTTGATATTTTTCAGTATTTTGAAATGACTTATAATTATTTGTAATATTTTATGTATAATAATATATATAAATAAGAATATATAAAAAAGAAAATTTTAAGATTTATAGTAGAAAGACCGCCTTGTATTTAAATAGATTAAATTAATTTTAGTAGTAAATTATCTATTTCATATATTTCAGTTAATCGTAAAATAAATATATTTAAAAAGTTCAATCTGACAAAGACCAGTGTCAAAGTGATGTAAAATTTTTCAAGATACTTTGAGAGAAAGAGAATTTTCAGCTCATTTGTTTATCTAAGAGCATGTTTTATAAAATTAGATAATGTATATGTGTATATTCTGTATATGTATCTCATTTCGAGTTATGTGACACATTGTGTGACACATTGTGTGATGATAAGAATATTTTCGATTTTAGCAAGTATAGGCATTCTATATTCTTTACCAACATAATACTTCTTTTTACCAACAAAAACTCATACAACTCGATTCATTGTTCTGTGCAGTAGTACTCTTTCAGAAAAGATCTGTGACAAGGTTCGCGCTTATCTTTTGTGAAGCATTTCGATAATTCAGGCCACGCGTCGCGTCATCATGTTGCTGTTGATCGCGATGCGATTCAGCGATATATTGTCAGTTTTATTGTAATTTTTCGCAAAGTACATGCGATATTGTATCTATTTACTTCTAATTTTTCTGATAATATTTGATGAGAATTGCGCGAGTTCGCTTTATTATGTAAAATATGTAAAAAATATGTAAAAAAAACGCAACAATTTCAAGTTAATATTTTTTAAAAGCCTTCATTATTCGTAAAATTTGAAAAATTATAATTATACCGTTAGTTATTATTTCATATTGAAGAATATGAAATTGAATTTGATTCTCTTTTCTCTTATTAACATAACATATTATTTTTTTCACAATTTAAGAGTTAAAATATATATATTTAAAAAATAGAGATAAAAATATATTTGATATAAAATTAATTAAAGAGAAAATTTTGTTATAAATTTCCTTTATTCATAAAATTTTTGCCAAAATTGATATTATCCAATTGTTTACATAATTTAAAAATCCATTAATTTAAGAAATATTCACTCAAAAAGATTAATTAAATAACTTATTAATTATCGAATATTATATATATATTTTCTTTTTACAAGATTTCAAAGCAATCTTTTATTATATAAAAATGAAGAATATTAATATTATTATTCAAATGTAAAATTCATTATGTAAAATTTTTTTTGCAAATTGCATAGATATTTTTTTATAATAGAATTTTATACAACTTCTCGAGCGAAGCGTCGTACAATTCTTCAATGATGCATGATCTCCTTATAAGATACAAGGTCGAGCCATACACACTATATCAGGATCATGATAACAATATTTGATTAAACACAAACGGGTAAACAATTGTCTAAACCTTAATTATAGCGCGTCTGCCAAACATATATTCGTTGCGACATACATGATAAACTTCACAGTGATTAATTAATTAATAATTGATATTCTACAAAAAAGTTTTTATAAACTTATTACCATATTTTTCCATTGAGTAATAAAAAAATATGCAACTATAAAACTATAGATTAATATCAAGTATAAGAGTATTACGAGTAATAAAAAAATATGTAACTATAAAATTATATCAAAAACATTTCGTGATTAGATTGCTGTTAAATAATTGAATTTAAGCCGCATTAGATCTTATTGCGCATCCAACCATAATAGTTATATAATGATAATAAACGAAGCGATTTATTATAATTATTATTAGTCTGAATAAATTATGTTTATGTAAAAAAAACAAAATATAAAGAAAATCTAGCATTTTTGATATTGTATAATAATATATGAATCAATTAAACTTTTTTATGTATGTTAAAATGTTATGTAATCAAAACTTCTTTATGTAATGTAAAATAAAAAGGTATTTCAGCTTCTAAAATAAAAAAATCTAAAATAAAAAAATTTCTGAAGAAAAGAGAATTACGTACGATAAGAAAAAGTTATAAAAAGTAATATAAAAAAGTAATATAAAAAATATAAAAAATAGTAATATAAATTTAAATATATTTAACTGATAATCATAAAATTTATTTGTCGACGCATTTGTAAGACAAATGTGTACAAATATATTCATATTATTACATTTGAAATAATTTAATAATATCAATCTAATAACGATTGTTTTTAAATCTCTTATAAATTTAGTCTGTGTGTGCATTCAATTTAAATATATGAGATATTATTTTTACTATACAGAATAATTTTATAAATGACTAAACTTTTTTCTTTTGTATGAAAATCATTCTAATTGTAATTCAAATATATTCTTTATTTGCTCAGTTATTATTTGCAAGATATTGTCATTACTTACTTGCACTTTTTCGCATTTTCAATATGTAATAAGCTTTTTATATTTATGTATTATGTGTGAAATTCAATTTCATTACATTTTTTCCGGAAAAAAATTACACATGTAAGATGAGAAAAACGAGAGCGAAAATGGCGAATGATTACACGCCAATGCACCATATGTTTAATACGAAATGACGTTTTCTGTTCCCTGATATAGCGATCATGCATTGTTAACAGCACGGAAATAATCTCGGAGATAATTGTAGTCACGCCTCGACACGATGTAGCTACGGTCGATTATAATGCGACAGTTCCTTTGTTTTTTTTTTACTTGTTTATGTAAAAATTGCGAGGTCGTGCAAGTTGCGGAAGCGTTGAGAATAAATGTCATGATATCGTAATTTGTTACACAATACGCGCTCGGTGTCGGTTTCCAGACGGAAAATACACGGGCAATGTTTAAAAGCGCGATCGTCGCGGTTGCGAAAAGTCGATTTCGTAACAAGAATAAGCGATAATCATTTTTAAAGATTGACCTTTAAAACATTTGTCATCAGAAATTATGTCTTTTAAACGAACGTATTGTTTGCGAACGATTATTACCCGGATTTTAACAGCTCTAACAATAAGTAGATTTCCAGAATATCTTGAGGCACAAGTGCTTTTTCTCGATTTGTCTAAAATTTTTTGATAACTTTGGATTCGCGATTCATTTAAAAATTTGATTTAGATTATTTTTTAATATTTATTAAAATGTTGTTTAACTAAATTATTTAATATTACTAGTTTCACGCTTTTGTTAAATTTCATTTTCATTTCTAAACTTATTAGGAATTAAGCATATGAATATAATCTGAATTCAAATTAAGAAGTCAAACTCTTTAAAATGTAAATATCCTTTTTATGTACTTTACAGTTTTACATATCTTACAGTGATTGTAAAACGTCTTTCTATATTTAGTCTTTAGCGAATATTTAGTCTTCTGTTTCATATTTCGTTACCTTACACGATACATTCATTTTTATGTCTCGCAAACATCTTATAACGTAATACGAACGTAATACGAACGTAATACGGGTTATTTATAATGTTAAGATAACAAGCAATTAAAGCACGTGTTAAACACTGCCCAATATTTTTTCGATATATGTATTTGCAAAGAGGTCTGAGCATATATTTTAAGTCGCGGACAATTAAGGCAACATTGTTTTAACAATTACATAGGCTCTTTATTACAGACGCGTTTAATCAACTGTCTCGACAAGCGTTATCGAGGTTAATTAACTTCACCCATGCATACGTATATACAATTGTAATATCTCTTAAGGTAACATGTGTGAATTTGTTACGCGCAGTTTTGTTTTCTTTGAAGGATAGGTAGTTATTTATTTTTTTTAATCATTTCCGGTTCATCATTCATCGCGCTTATCATCCAAATTATTTTGTATTCATGATAAACGGAAATATAAGTATAATAATGAAAGATAAAATGTAACTGTGCAATTACTATAATTAGTATTTATTTTGAAAAAAAAAATAGATTTTTGCTATAATAATTTTTGAAATTAATTTTTGAATATTAATTAGTTATAAAAAGAAAGTAATAAGATAATAGAGGACGAGATTAAGCTTTACATATAAGTTTTCAAAATATAAATATAATTTTTACATCTAAATAAATAACGCTCATGCCTTTTTTAACAAAAATTCAAGATTATGGATACAACTTTCTAAAAAAATAAGAAAAAACTTCAGGAAAAAATATTAAATATTATATATAATTTATATATTTTAGTTGCAAGAATATATATTTCAATTATTCCTACAAGATTGCATAATCAGGTTACCTAATATTCCAATACATATTTACGATCTCGTCGTGACACTGATGAAATAATGAAAAAACCTTATCACTTGGCTGGCTTTTTTCGATTATCAAAGTCGGAATGCAAGTCGCTCTTGAAATTTATCATTCTCAGAGGATATCAGAAACACGATCATCATTTCTGTGGATTGATTAGATAATTGATCGCGGATAAAAGTATCCGTGCGAAAATTCGAAACCTAACTTTGATTTTTCAATAAAGCAAACCTGCTGACGAGAAGCACGTTTCGCTTAGCGAGATTTATTAACACTTTTCGAAACTCACCCTTCAGGTTGACGTACGAAGTGCTTCAAGATGAATTAAAAATGCTCCGAAGACTAAAAAGCTTCGTCTCCGAAAAACGAAAAGGTAGATTAAGGAAAATTATGCACCTTCCGCGTGCATAATTTCGCAGAAATACGGTGAAATACAGATTTTTATTTTCAGCTATGACGACGGAGCTGCACCGTACGAATTCGCGTATTCGACTGATACCTCAAGTTCGACAAAGATGCAGAAATCTTATCTAGCCGATAACACAGAGTAGCGACAAGCAGTGTCAACAGGCAGGTATATGCGGCGCGCGAGCATCTTATCTAATGAGTCTATTCTCTTTCCATTAATAAGGCCACCTTCGCGCTCTTTGTTTCGAGCGTTCGCACGTACGATTGTAATTCTCAAGGAAAAATATTTTATTTTTCCTGTCGAGCAGCGATATTAACACTTGCTTAGTCAATCTTGCTCAACATGAATTGAAATTAATGTTTGAAAATTTCTGTTTTGTAATTATATTTTGCAGAATAAACAAAAAAATATAATTTATTATATATAGCTAATTTATTATATATAGCTAAAATTTGTCAAGAGTCCCGAGAAAATTATTCAATATAAAATTACTTGAATAAAAAATAATTTAAACTCAAAATACCGTGAAAGCTTATCATATGCATTTGCTATATATTTTTTTATAAATAATACTTATTAATTAAATTAAAATAATGTCTTATTAATTAAAATAATGTTTTATGTAAATTGAAAATAATATTAGTTTACAGTATAACAGTTTAAAATGTAATATGATGCTAATGCAATTCAAGGAAAAGTGATTATGATTTTTTTTCATATTATTTGTAATAATTTATAGGTATTCTCTTTTATATTGATTAATTTATATTGATATAATGCTTAGTATCATTAATTATATGTACAAGTTTATTAAAATGAGTTTATTAAAATAAGTTTTTAAAATGAAAGTTTGAATATAGAATAATTATTTTTTATGAATAATGACATTTGTTTATGCTGAGTCAATATAATGATTCAGCAATGTCTTCATGCTCACATTAGTGAACGAATGTTTTTGTATACACGTGTGTAAAATTTTCTATATATTTTAGTAACAGTTTAGTAATATTATAACACTGCAAATTCAATGATAATTCAACATGTGACTCGAGAATGTGCATGTGCTTTAAATTATCGTTCATTTTAAGCATGTGTCAATAACAATGTAAGTGACATTTCAACACAATATTATTATAAATATAAATGCTCAAATATCTGTTCATCAATTATCATGTATGGTATTATGTTTGAAAATATTGTTCTCGTCTTGTTGCCAAAATCATTTTCGCATTTGTAAAATTTTGAAAGTCATTTGTTTCCTCTCTTTGAAGCGTTTTAAATAATTAATATTATCGATTAATATTTAACAATTTCATAAAAAACTGTTAATTAGCTCGCAAACAATTGATAACTCTGTCTAGTTTTATATTTCCTATATTCTTATCTACAAAATAATGATCTTTTATCGTCTGTTGCTTTTATCATGTTCACTCGTTGTATCTTAATTTTTTTTAACAACCATGATAAGCGTTTCCAAATACTTTTATTTATTCTGTTTTAATACTTTTTAAGCAACTAGAAATAATTTAATAAATCTTGTTATTGTTAATTTCTTTTTGAGTGTGATCACGTTACTCTATTACTTATCTGTATGCTTTAATTCACTAAGTGAACAATTGCGTTCTTTTTTTCTTATCATCATCTACTTTTTATTAACATCATTATTATCATTAGATAACGGAAGCAAATGATTCATTTGGATTGTAATATCCGCTATATTTAAAAAAAAGATTAAAATTTAAGTTATTGTTTTACATCTAAATATTTCTACTATAATTAATTAGTCGCAATTATCATATTTGCTTAAATGTTGTATCATCTCTCTGATAATTTTAGTAATATTGATTTAAAATTTTTCTGCTTTTTCAAATTTAAAATTGATTATTCTTGTGTTAAGTAATAAATTACGATAAAAAAAGATTATTATATATAAAATTCTTACATATTTTGAAAAATATATTACATTTGCTTTTATACATGAGCAATTTGTAAAGTATTACGCAAGCAATTTAGTAAGTTTTAATTATATTTAAATTCAGATTATGTCAAGTCGTGACATTATCAGATAGAAAATAAATATTATTAACAAAGCTCTTAAAGCGCAAATGAATTTTATTCTTTCGACTTTATATCGCTAAAAAAAAAAAAAAAAAAAAACGCTAAAAATGTAATAACTCAAAACCTAACATTTTTATCTTCGCGTTTTTAAAACTGCAAATGTTTTACACGTGGCGAATGATAAGCGCATATAATCGCACATAAACGCATAATTTAACCGGAAATACTTGCCTCTTGCACGTCATCATAATTTAACCGGAAATACTTGCCTCTTGCACGTCACAATTCCATTCGTTGCGTTATTAATTTATTTTTGATCATATGTTGAGGTATAGATGTAAAATATTTCACTCTAGATACGTCTGTCCTCAAAAAGACACATTCACATTTTTTTCTATCTGATTGTTCTTAATCACACAATAATTGTTTATCATTTAATCGTGAATTAAGAAAAATTCAATAAGATAATTGAAATCCAATTATATTTAATAGTTCGATCACGTCACACCAAGTTTTGTCATCGACAGTTCAAATTTATAATTAGATTGACATTTTACTAACAAATATTTCTGTATCGTTGTACGAATTATCTTCGAAACGGACAGATCATTTTTTTTTATTACAAATTAGTCTGACGCAATAGAGAAAATTCATACCGGGTGTTAATAACTGCCGTCTAAATTAATTTATTAGACACATCTGTATCGTCGAAAACAACTTCCTTCCACGATGAACGACGCGGCAGTTGTATCAATAAAACGTTCACTTAACAGCTTTTCTTGATATCAAATTCTATGCGTGTCAAGCTTATCGGCTTCACCGATCCGAGCCGAAAAGTGCTGATAGATGAAATAACTCTCGTGCTATCGACAGGCCAGCCTCGGTGCCACTAACAGAAAAATACGCTCACGTTTCCCGCGGTGGTAGATACGATTGGCAATGTGGGGGTATTGGTAATTATCATCGTTTGGCACTTATCTGTACGATATTGGGTACGTGTTCAAGTTGAATTGTAATTTTACATTTGCTTGCACTATATATTCTTATTTTTCAGGCTATATATTCTTATTTTTTTTCTTTACATATATATATATATGTATATATATATGAATTATAAAAATACTTAATTTTTATAAAAAGTATTAATTTCTACATAAAAGTATATTTTGAAATGATTTTTGGTAGAGAATTTATTCGTAAACGTCGTACAATTCGAACAGGATATATATAAAACTGTTTTTATTTATCTAATTGTTTATATAAATTTTTATAAACTTTTTTTGTTTATAGTTTTTTTAAAATAAATAACGAACGATGGCTTAAATTTTTCGATGATTTTTTCAAGCTAATGATTTTGACAATATATGGTCATGGTCAAAATGATTCGATCTGGTTGTTTTATTTTAAATTTATCAATTTATTTATTTATTTGTCTGAGAGAAAATCTCTATGTTATCCAATTTTTAGAGTTTTATGTATATTATTTCAACATACATTACATATATAATATTTACAATTTACTTTTTTATATTTACAAGGAATAATAAAATATCTTAAATACATTCACATATGATACAAAAATAAAGCATTATCAAAAAATAGAAAATTAGTCACATTCGATTAGTATAAAAAAATAAAAATGTATTTCCTACAAGGTAGCAAAAAAAATGTTATATATTCCTCTAATGCAGTTCTTTTTAAATCTTTAGCTTAATCAATATTGTGATCAGTGCAGTTAATTGACAAGTGATTTTTGTTTCTTTTCGCAATCATCGTTGTTCGTCACTTTGGTCAATTGTTTTGATCATTGCCGAAAAGATTCCGTTTTGTAGCTGCATTAAATCTGTTGGTGAGCCTTCCTCGATGATTTTGCCTTCATCAAGAACAACAATACGATCACAACCTAATAATGTCGCTGCTCGATGCTGCGAAAATATTAAAATTTCATTAAAATGTATTTAATTTCATTATAATGAGATTAAATTCAAGATTGTAGGAATTTTAGTAAATATTATAATATTATTATGCTTCTTATTTTTATGATTGTAATATGTTATAAATAATAACATATGGAATAAATATATTAATATATTATTTTAATGTTAAACATAATGTTATTTAAAAAACAAATTTCTGTAAATGTCAATTTTTTAAAAAAACAATTTCCATTTTATAATAATTTCCATTTTGCACAAATTTAATAAACATATATCTTTTATGATTCTTTCAACTGTTCAAAACAGTTGGTCATTATTGATAAAACGAATAATTTACTTGACAAAATGCATATTTAATTTAAATGTCTACTAACCGCGATAATGATCACAGTTTTGTTCTCAAAGGCGACAGCAGCCGCTTTTAGAAGCGATTTTTCGGTAGCTACATCGAGCGCGCTGGTTGCTTCGTCGAGTATAACAATATTTGATCGCTGAAGAATCGTACGTGCCATGCAAAGAAGTTGTAACTGACCGGATGAAAAATTTTCACCGCCTTCTCGTACTTCGAGATCTGTATTAAAATTAGATTCTATAATATGCATACATATTTTGTACAACACATTGTTATCTTAAAAATGATACATTAATCATATTTTATAATATATTTATTATAAATTTATTACACGTACTCAGTCCTTCCGGATGCGAAGCTACAACATCTTTGACTTGAGATAGTTCCAAGGCATGCCAAATTTCTTGGTCTTCATGTTCCGAAAGCGGATCTAAATTTTCTCTACGAGAAATAATTTATTATGTTATAATTTTTATAAATTATGCAAGAGAGAGAGAGAGTCGAGTTGTATTAAAAGTTCTAGACGTGTTTCGCAAGACACTTGTGAAACTACATTGTTTATACAGACCTAATTGTGCCGCTAAACATTATTGCATCTTGCGGTATGGCTGATAACCGCGATCGTAATATTTGAAGAGGCACTTGCCGGATGTCAATCCCGTCTAATAAAATGCGTCCTTGACAGATTTCGATTAACTGGAAAAGAGCCATCATGGTAGATGATTTTCCGCTACCGGTTCTCCCACAAATACCCAACTACAAATATTAAGTTATACGTGTACATAATATATATCTATTTTCTTATATATTAAAAGCAAAAAAATAATTTAATATTTATTTTATTTATCTTATGTATTGTTATTTTTATATTATTTTTTAATTACTTATTATATAATTATTATTTATATTACTTTAAAATTATTATTTTATTAATTTAATTACCTTTTGCCCAGCTGGTATTTTCAAAAATAAATCTATGATCACTGGATTTCTGTCTACATCGTAGCGCAAAGAGACGTTTTCGAAAATGATCTCGCCCTTACTAGGCCAATCATCGGCCACTTGTAAATCTAATAATAAAATCGAAAGATATAATTAATATATATACGATAAAGAAAAGATAACGGGAAACAAATTAGATATTTGAAAAATAATTTCATATCAAGAAGACCTTGTGATTCTGGATAATAAATAAATTAAGCGCTGAGTAATTTCGGAAATTGATTAAATCGCTAACGATAAATTTTGATTAATATGGAAATTAAAAAAATATGCTGTATCATTCTGACAACAAAAGAAAAACTTTATTTATGACATTTGCTTTGAAACTAAATCCGCAGAAAAAATAAAAAATTAATAATAATAAAAGAAATTTTTTAACTAATGACAAATTTTTAAACTGAAATAATTACCGTTTTCGTGATACTTTTCTGGTTGCACGTTTCTATAGGTGGAAATTCGAACTACACTTCCCATATACATTTCGATTTCTGCAGTGAACTTGACTACCCAGTTCAAGTATATCGGAACTAAGAGAGTATAATTGATTGCTAGACCTACTAGAGCGGGTGTTACGCGGTTTGGGTATAATTGCGCAGAAAGTAAGGCCGCAAAAATGGCTGTTATCACAATAATAGCGCCTAGATAATCCTGAAATTTATCAAATTATAAGAAGGTTGTTATTAGAATCAATAAATCTGAGACATTCCTTATATATTGATATGATTCATAAAATATATATGTAATTATATTTATATAAAAAAAGTTTTTATATTGATATAAATTTTTGAATGCTGATTTTATGATTATTAAATTTTTAGAGATCGAATTTTGATTTTAAATTCTAGCACTTTGCTCGTTATTTTTTTTTACCAATGCGATGCCGAGCCATCTGCTGCTAGTATTTAAAATGAGAAACGCATTAGTGTTTATATCGAGGCGTCTCATTGTTTCCTTCATGAAACGGCTTTCTTGCTTGAATGCCCTCAGTGTCGGAAGCCCGGACAAAGTTTCTGAGAAATGCGCTGCTACCGGTCCCCTCGTGCTTAAACCATACGTATAATTATTTATACATTCCCGCATGAGGAAGTGAAAGATGCGAAAGAAACTTGGTGACTATCTTTAGTAAATTGGAGAGAAGAAACCTATGAAATATTTATTACATGCATCCTGTCTCGTTCAACTTTCATTCGGACAATTATTATCAATTATTATTGTTTAGTTGTTATTTAATGAATTATAATTTTTATATAAATGTCATAGACATATCATAGACATTGTAGCATATTGTAGATTTCTAGGTTTTTGAATAAAGAGTCCAGAAAAATAAAAATTTAAAAATTAATTTTTAAACGATTTAGAGGAATTATACACATAATTTTTTTAAAAGATTTATTATAGTAATCATCAGTAATACCTTCCGTCTAGTCGTTGCAATTGTCTGGCGCTCCGCCTGTAGAATCTTTGCAATACGTAATAAGCGCAGCTGGTTGGTACAGCAGCGATCAAGAACCACGGTGAAATAATAACATTAACAATCATCGCCGAGCCACAAAGTAATACAAAGGATGTTAATCTCTGGATTGATGTGGATATTTTCTTGAAAAAATATTAAAATAGAAACTATTTCGCGCATAATTAAAATAACATCACATATCAGTTATATTTGATGATATTGGTTATTACTTATTATATTATACATTATCAAAGAATGAGATGAAATATTAACCTTGTCTATGACACCCATATCGGCACTAAATCTATTCAAGATCTTCCCGATGGGATTATAGTCGAAGAATGAGATAGGTGCGCTAAGAAGTCCAGCGATGGCTTCTTGGTGTAATTTGCATCTAGCTCTGGCACCTGTCCACTGACCTGCCACATTGTACAAAAATGATAAAAGGATAGCGCCCACGGATATAATGATGTACACCTTGAAATAAGATACCGTCTGAAAAAAAGACAGAAATTCAAAACTGCTTAATTAAAAGAAAATACGAATATATACAGATATATATTATTGTAAATGTCATATTTTCAATCATCGGCATGTCACTATTGTCTTGCAATAGCAATTATTATTAATTTTTAATAATAGTATTATTAACGTATACATATTACTTGTGCTTAAGTTAAGATTGATATATTATATTCTCTCTGATGCAGAAGCTATGAGCTTAAAAAATGTTTTTCTTTAATGATAAATTTTGAGATGACATATGAAATATTTTTATCGCTTGTGTGTAATTAAATGTCAATATTATTATTTATTTACATTCTGACGTTCATTTATCGACGAATAAACGCTTTGATCCGTCCATCGACTCAACCAGAGATCAGTATACACACGAAGAAATTGATAACCTAATGCCGCTATGACGTAAATAAGTCCCGGCATCCATCCACCGGTCTTTGGATACTCCATCCAAGTCATTCGAGTTACTATTCCATTTTTATCGTCAATCTCAAATTCATTTGGTTCGTTTACATTTTCACTATCCATAGCTAAGAAAGATTAAAAAATCATATAGATAAATATCTTAACAAAAAAGAAAATAAAAAGGGGACTTTATGTTTATATTAAAATAAATTAAAAATATATATAAAATTATATATGTAAATAATTTGGAGAGAGAAAGAGAGATAACTAACTTTCTTCCATGTCATCCATATCGTCATTAATTCGTGATTCTATTGATAACAATCGATTTGCTGGAAGATGTTCCTGTTGATTTATCCTGAAAAAAGTGAAAAATACTTGATTTTCAAATATTTACTTATAATTTCTTAATAATTTTTTTTCTGTAATTACTTGTCAGAATTTAATATCAGTCGACGCAAGATACTTTTGTCCCTGTTAATCGTCATTTCTTCCGGATATCTAAAATTTAAAATTTTTACTTTTTTAACTCTTATTTTCTCACAATAATAACAAATTGTTATTATCTATGTATGAAAAGAAAATTGAAACCTTGTGGAGAAGAATTGTTTTAGCATATTGTTGGGTTGTCCGTTGTCATAAGTGTTATTTCTTGTCCTGCGCGAAAATAAGATACAAAAAAATAAAGCTGTTTAATGCGTAAAATAATGTATAATTCAATACTATTTTATATTAATTTTTTTTATTTTTTATATAATTGCAAATAAATAATTCAACATTAAGTATTGAAAACTTGCGGTAAATAAGATTAAAGATTTTTGCTGGTATAAGAAAAATCAATTTTGCATCAAAGACCTGGATGACTAGGTTTCTTTTTATAATTCGAAACTGAAAACGATTTTCCTCATATTTATACCTCAGCGTTATGTGTTCTCGATTATCGAGAATCATCGGTGTGCTGTTTTGTCGAAGAACCGGTAGTGGCCGTCGATTTTGCGTTTGAAAACTCGTCGACCTGATGCTATCGCGACACGTTTTCGATCGTTTCCTAGCGGTGTTCCATTCTTCAGTTGGTACCGGAAGATCCGTGAGATCATGACTCAAGTATCTCGATCCAGATAAAGTCGTTCGGCGCAATCTTAAAGGTACAAACGTTGGCGGATTCTGAAAGGAAGATTTACAACAAAATAATATTATCTTCGCGATAATATTATCTTCACATTAAATCTCTTAAAGAGATCTCTTATCTTGTTAATATATCCGCTTTTTTTTTATTTACCACATGAATATCGCGGTCAATGATCCACGATCCGTCGCTGGCGTGCCTTTTTGTTATGCCGATTCCAATTCTAGAGACTAGTCTAATCAAGGACCATCTATCTTTGGCCGTTTTCTGAAAACGATTTTCATTCTCCCGTCTTGAATCCGCGATTCGCCATTCGGCCGCCAATTCAGGATCCATATCTTCGATACCGGATTTTGTTCCGACAGCACGCACCCGACAGCTGTCCATGACAATTATCTTAAAGTAAATTTTTATATAACATTCTTTCTTATTCTTTTTTGATAGAAATGATTAGGTGATATAATAGAAATAAATATAAATAAATAATTATTTTTCTGTATATAAAGAAAAATATATTCAAATAAAAATATATTTTCATTTTAATTTTTTATTTATGCACAATATGTAATATGCTATATTAAAAAAAAAATAATATTATATAAAATATTATATAAAATATTATCGTTAAAGAAGTCATAAAACCTGATGAGCAGCCAATAACAGATCTAATCTGTGAGTGACCATAATCACAGTTCGACCGCTCCTCAACATAAGTTTTCTGACGCCATGATCAAAGATATGCCTACCAACATGTTGATCTAACGCCGATAATGGATCATCCTACAAGCAGAGTTTTCAATATAAAATTCAATATAATCTGTACAAATTTTGCATATAAATCTTGCACGCAAAAAACTGATACGTTAATGTTAAATTTACATAAAATATAGATTAAACACAGACCAGGAGGATGACATCGGCGTCACTGTAAAATGCTCGAGCTATAGTGACTCTCTGCTTTTGCCCACCGCTCAAATTGATACCCCGTTCACCTATTCTAGTTAGATCCCGACCGGGAAGTATGTCCACGTCCGGTTGAAGAGCGCATGCACGCAAAACGTTGCGATATCTTCGTGACCGATACGTTGAACCGAAGAGAATATTATCCCTCAAGGTCGCATTTTGGAGCCACGGCCGTTGCGCTACATAAGCGATCTTTAGACCCCTGATAAGATATATGATGACATATGGTGTTTTTAGTCATAAAATATTATCATTATTATTTCTTGCTTTTTTTTTCTTGTTTTAATTACTTGGTCCATTCAATGCTTCCGTTGATTTTTTGAATCTCTCCTAAGAGCGCCAACAATAAAGAGGTCTTTCCACTTCCGGTCTTTCCTACTATTATTGTCAACTGTCCTAAAATAATGCACGAAAATAAACGAAAAAATTAACAATTAAATACTTTATTATATAGATTTTTTCCTTTATAATTGTATTTACCTCGCGGAAAATTGAGAGCGTTAATCGTCAATCTATTTTCATCAGATTCCCAAGCGAAAGTACTCGATCTAATTCTGAGGACAGATTCTGGGACTTCCGGATCTTTTTCGAATACCGTATCAACCGAGGAATCAATCGCTAAACTAAACTCGCGCAAGATATTCGATTGCGAATGTTCCTCGTCCTCCACGATATTATCGAGCGACCCGAAAGTTGTCGCACTGTTAATAACTTCCATCTTGAAGACAATAACGCGTTGCATCGAATCGAATTATGGAATTATAAAATACAATGTTTCATTAAAATTAAATTTAATTAAAAAATATTTTTTAAAGTAATTTATAAAAGAGAATATTAAATTATTTTATTTAAAAAGTACTCACATCATTATCGGTATACGAATTTGTCATTGACAACGTATCTGCGGCCGGTTTTCGATCGTTTGGCTCAGGGAGAATATTTATGATCTCTGGCAGGAAAAGAAACTCCTCCAATCTCGTTGTAGAAGTCTGAAAAATGGAGAATGTCTCATGGAAAATAAACTTAAGAAGTAGTATCTCAGCAACGCGTTATTCCTCACCAAAGCGTTGATAATAATCGGCACTATCGCCGGAAAGATGAAGAGCGGTACGGTCAGCTGCGAAAAGAGCGCGAGACTGACAAAAAAGTTTCCCGCATCAAGATTTCGTTCTTCCAACCAGAAATAAATTCCGAATGTGAAGAGGGTCATCAGAACGGAGGAGGCGTGTGTCAGAAAGTCTACGATATTAACGTATAAATTTAGTCAGCTTTTTAAATTAAATTAAATTAAATTAAATTTTATTAAATTAAATTTTATTGTAATCGAATTGTAAGACTTATTAAAATCACACAGCTATTAAATTATAAAAATGATATAGAAATGTAATTATCCGCGTCTTTTCCCGTGTTTTACATAATAGATATTTCAATGTAAGAAAAATTACTGATGAGTGCCCAGTACACAGAATCCTTGTTTAGTAGTTTTAATTCCTGATTCCGAGTTTTGCGTATGCGATCGTCAAAAACATTTTCCCAGGCACGTAGCTTAATTAATCGCATTCCTTGAAGACTTTCATTAACTAGACGTAGTCGTGCATCACTTTTTTCCTGAGAATATTTTGCGATTATTAAATGAAAGATTATATTAGTTATAAATAACATAGTATGATTGATATACTATATTATTATTGAATTCATTCTATTAAATATTTGAAAAATTTTTAAAAAGAAATAAGAAGAAAGAATAACTGAATAACTGAAGAAATATTAAAAATTGAAAAATTAAGGAACAATGCAAAATATTCTTACTGCTACAGATTTGGAATTTTCGGACATTCGTTTCCCGAGAAGAAGTTGTATCGGTGTGACGATCAATATGCAGCAAATTGCTCCCACAATAGCACTGACACCCAATTTTAAATATAGAAGGAAAATGATAACAGCAATCTATACAAATTAAAAAAGATCTACAATAAGGGATTATCCTATGTTTTAATTTTGATATCTTTGTATAAATATTTAAATAATATTTATTAATAATAAATATTTAAATAATTTGTATAAATAATAAATAATTTTTAAATAATTTTTCTCTAAAATATTATATATTATAGAGGCATGTAATATATACATGCATCGTAATAATGTTTCTCTACGTATTTAAATATCTTTACTTTTAATGGAATGGCCCAGATATAATGACCGATCCAGAAGAAACTCATTACGTTATATACGTCTTCGGACATGAGATTTGTCAATGTTCCAATATCAACTGCTTGTTGATGGGAATGTTGATCTTTTTCTTTGTCGGATGGTTTTTCTTCCTCAGAAATACTCCAAGAAGATAATCGAAGAGCCTTATCGTAAATTAATACCTGGACAATTCAATAAAATTTCAACAAATCTTATTTATCTGGCTATTTTTCGAAATTTGCGAATCAAAAACAATGAAAATAAAAAAAAATTGTCTTCAAATTTTAAATTATAAATGCTTTGCATAATCCTCTCTCGAATATTTTCGTATAACATGATAATATACTACCTGAAGAGCTGTTCGTAAACGTATTCCTTCAACGCAGAGTACATGAGTAGAAGCTTGGCTTATTGTACTTTGCAAAATGGTCGCAAGAAAAACCAAGATTCCCAAGAAATATCCATTTTTTAGAATTTGGGAAAATGTCATGGCTCCCTAAATAAAGCCCGTCTCTTTTAGGTGGTTAAACATATTGAAATATTGTAAAATGATCGAGAGATGTGACAGTACCTTCCAAGAGAAATTTTCATTCATCATGGTATTGTTTTGAAGATTCGATGCATAATCGATGATTTTAGAAATCGCCATAGGACCTACCAAAGTCGTAGCATCACCTAACAATTTTAAGACGCCACCAGCTGCGAAAGCCAACCATATTCGTTTCCAGAAACATTTCCATAATGACACTTTCTGCCCACGGTTTCGTAGCTAAGAATTTAATAATTTAACTTGTATAAATACACATAAATGTGTAGAATATAAAAATAAATCGCACATAAAAAGTAATTATATTTATTTTTATAATTAAAAATTTAATTTGTCTGAGGCACATTAATTAAAAATTCATTTGTCTAAGGCACATTAATATATATAAAATATAAAATAATATAGTATAAAATATATTTAGATTTATGTTAAACGTAATAAGAAAGACTTAATCATCTTTTGTAGAAGTATTTTGGGAAAGGAAAGAATCATATACCCTTTCGGCTTCGTAAATATCGCGGAAACGTTCGAATTGGTTCCTCGCCGTCTCCTCATTCGGAAGTTGTCCAAGGTCGTGGAGCTCGAGTGATGCGTAATAACCGCGTGACAGCAGGTCAGTCACCCAGTGGAAGGTGATTCTGCTGAGGAACGGCGAGACGGAGTGCATATAGGAGCCCCGCGTGTTATCGAACCTTTTAACGGTATACCGCCTGCTCTTCTGCATCTAACAAGCAAAACCGAAATATCCTTGCGGATGCATTCACGATGAGAAAAGCGTTTGAAGTGTCGAGCGACGCGATGTTTATACATTTGGTTTTGCGTCGAGAGGAAAATTCGAGTAGTAAAACGTCGCTGGTTGTTTGCTTTTATCGAGTCGAGGAAGTCGTAAATGCAAACGATGGGAAGGCTTTTAATACATCTGAATGTTTCCTATAAGTTCTGAGGATATGCATTTTGATAGATATATTAACGAGTGAGAAAAGATATATAATAGAGGGAAAATGTCTTTATATTTATATGTGGAAGATAACTTGAGCGTATCTTTCATTTTTCTAAATCGGAATACCTTTTCTATGCAATTTTACAGTAAGCAAAATCTCTGTTGAAAGTTTGCCTTATGTATTTTTGTGGACGTGCCAGCATAACCCTTGAACAAAAAGCACCGTATTAGCGTTCGATAAGCACGTCTCACCGGTGCATGATAATAACCATTATTGTTCAAACAAACTTGCTAAATGTAAAACAAACATTTACGCTAGTTGCTGGAGCAACTGGGTAACGTCGATAAGAATATAACTTCCTTGTGCTAGCTGTTGGCTTAAGTTGCGCTTGTTGTGAATACCTGATGTCATCTTACGTGATCAGGTTTAAACTTATACCGAAAATGAGTCACACATTTTGATCCGAAAAGGAAAGCGGGAATATTTTCGAATTGAAACTAATATATATGTAATGAAGAAAGGACATCTTTTATATTATTAATTGAAATTATATTATAATTATAAAGTCATGAAATATATTTAAATTTAATTTTTATTTATATCTAAGCTATATTGTGTAAATTATAAAAGAATTTTATATAGATCTAAATATTATATAAGTATAAAAAATTCTTTTTGTTAAATAATTAAATTACTACTCACCATACGATAAAGGGTGTAAGAATCGATGAAAGCGAGCAATCCGCAACAAACAGCAGTGATCCCTGTTGTTGCAACACGAACATGTTGGATGGACAGATTAAATCTAAAATATTTCTTTCCTTATAATTTCCGAAGTATCTCCATAAACGTAAAAAAGAATAAATAAAATAAAAATATAGCATCTTAATAAGCATAAAACTGTCTGGAGAAAAGTTGTTATTAGTAATAATAATTGTTTTAATGTAAACTAATGATAATATTTTTTACAAATAATAATAGAATTAATAAATTTTTAATTTAGATAGTAAAATGGTTCATAAAAATAGAACTTATATTCAGAGTTTTGACCACAAATTGCACATTAATAACAAAAAGGGATGAAAATATGTGAACATATATTTTATTATCGATAGTGTACCTGCATAAGTGTAAAAGCTTCCATGCTCGTGAAAGCCCAATTATCGTAAATCCACCGCCAGATACAGCAGTACCAAAACCATCCCTCTTCTCGGTTTCGCGATGTAATATCCAACAGAATAGTACAGCGATCGTCGCCAAGATTGATGACAAAGAGATCGATGTTAATATAGATTCGCACACTTCCAATAGAAGAATTGAAAGTAGTAACATACAAAGTAAAGTTCTGCTTGTGTGAAGCGGCAAGAGCGACTTAGAAGATCTAAGCGAAAAAAAGATTATATTATTTTTATATTATAATTACGTCTATTTATCGTTACAAATTCGTCTATTTATCATTTAAATAGAACTACGTAATGAAAATGCAAGTAACAAAATATTTTAATAATAAATAAAATATGCTAATTAGCAATAATTTTATACCATTGGTCCATAAAAAATAAGATTGTAAATAAAATAAAATTATTGAATAAAATCATCAAATGATACAGTAGTCACTCGCTTTATTAATAATCAATTAAAATGCAAAAAATGGAATATTCAGTATGAAATTATATCAAAAAGATTTAAATTTAAATATTACATTTGTGCGTAAATACACACACACAGTAAATGTTCAAAATGACAACAATCCGTTGGCATACAGCTTTAGCATTTGTTTACGTTATGTATTGTAATATTCGCCCTCTGAAATTCAAGCCGACAGGTCATGATATGATTTGCTCCGTATGTCATATCCCGTAATTGCGGTTATTCTCTATAAACAATTAGCAATTATCAGCGTGTATGATTAAATATTTGTAAATGTATCAAGAAGTTCGCTATTTACTTGAGTAAATAGTTCGCATAATTTAATCATTTAAAGTAGAAATCGAAGCAAGAGTATAGAAATTATAAATTATTGCTTTGTTGCAAGAAATTTGTAAGCAATAATTATTTAAAAAATATTATTAATACTATAATTTGAATTTTATCTTTATATATTACAAATCAACATAGTTTATACAGTCAATTCGCTGTTGCCAATCATCGATCAGTGAGTAACAAATTTTTATAAGAACGTCAAATATATATATATATTTTTTTTAATTTTTTGCTTTTTAAACTTATATTTGTTAAGTATTAAATTTTTACTTTTTTACCTATTTACAATTATTTAGAATTCTTATCTTTTCTTATCTTTTCTTATCTTTTTTTAGAAAGATTTTTTCATAACTCTAATTTAAAATTTTTATTTTTATTCGCGTAATTGTAAATTATCTAATATTATTTTTACATAGCCATTTTATTTTTTGTTTAGTTTCACGTATGCTATAATTCGTTATTATAAAATAATTCGAAAAGCTTCACTCATTGTATTGATTCACATAATTCAATATTAACTCATAGCAGTCAATAAAACTTTTATGGGGAAGTTAAAATGAAAAAATGCCAATGGAATTTGTTTTTTATAAGTGCATAATCGCATTAGGTATGCGGGCACATTATTTATTCAAGGAATGAAGCTATATGAATAAGGAATTAGATTTGTACACGTCTTAATGAATTTGAATAATCTCTGAGTCATTCCGCTTGCGATTTCCTGGGTCTTTAGATATATCATGATAGTAATCATGACGGGATCAACTTGCTTTATATCCGCATATGTGTGTCGCGCAAAGTAAATATAAAATTAAAAAATATCAAGAAGTGAAAAGAATCTCCCTCTCTTCGTAAAATAGGCGTGCATCTATTTCGAGGTCTATTAAAATAAAAAAATATAATGGATAAAAGTAAAAAGTATAACTCATATTTTTATCTTTGAAAAAGATGTTTATAGAAGATTTATAGCGACAGGAACGGAAAATTGATATATTAAAGATTCTACTTATACGTGGTCTATTATTAATTTTATGGTAGTAATAAGTAGTTTGTATCGGATTAGCTAATTTGTAGACGAACATGCTTGAAAGAATAAACTTGAAACAAGTTTGTTCCTATGTGCAATTGCGAGGATATGGAATTTCGATATTAATATATAAGAAATTTAATGTTTAATTTGTGATAAGAGGATTTGGCAATCAATATTGTTAAGATTCCTCGAACGATGATTGCAAATCAGCGATCACACAACGCGTAGTAATACGCGCAGAATATCTTTATGTTACGAGAAAGAAGGAGAGAAAGAGACTCGAGCTACAACCTGTTGTAAATTATTCCTATAATTAATATAAAGTGGCTCTCCCTCTTTCTCTTTTTCTTTCTTCTTCTCTTTTCACGCATGAACACATTCCGCTACTCCGTTTCATTAATTGCTTTCGCGTAATAAAAACGCACGCAGTGTCGATGAAGTATGTCGATCATGATTAACGGAATTGCTTCATTTGCATGCCGCTACAATTTTGCAGATCCTAGGGACCGCATGTATTATTATTATATAATATGATGATCATGTATAAAATAATTACTAGGTAAGATTTATTGATCAAATTTTTAATAATTGTTCCGTGTTTATTTTGAAATTATATATTAATGTTATACGATTAACATAATGAGAGTTGTAGTCAAAGTATTCCAATTTTTACTAGAGAGAAAATATTTATATATTTGTTATGAATCGTGATATTTTTAAATATTACTTAAGTTTTAAATATTTTACGATGATTAAAATCAATTCTTTTTCTAGTCATTAGAATATTAAATTGTTTTCCTTATATGTTCGAATAACTCAAATAGAATTTATCTAATCGCTTAATTAACATTAAATTTTATATAACATTTTACAAAAAAAATTTTAAAAATAGAAAAATATAAGCATTTATTCTTGTAAAAATCCATTTAGATTGCATGATTGCAGTTAAACATAATTCATGTTGAACTTTGACAAACAAGATATCAAGTAATTGCGAAAATATCGCAGAATTTTGCAGTTTGTTGCTTCTGCGAAACATGAAACTGCAACATGCAGCTTCAGCATGTGAAAATAATCAATACGCTTTTTTAAGAAACGCATCGTTAGCCACTGTAAACACTTGGTAAGAGAGTTGAAAAATTAAATTTCAAAGATACTGACTGAGAAATTAAGCTTATCATTAACAATATATGTATAATATTATTAATAATATTCATAATATTTTGTCACTCTTCGTTTATCGTTATATAAAATTGTATTAATTATGTCTGATTATTCTGAATTTTAATTAATAGGCTAATGATATATATTATTCGGAATCTGTTATGGATAGTTATTATAAAAGTAACGCGGAAAGATGATGAGAGAGCATGTTGTATTCCAGATAACAATAATTGATTCAAGGATGACGTATAATTACCAGCGGCTTATGCGTCTTAATGGAGTAAATTCTCTAAGATGAACGTAACCTTTGTTTGAATCATGGGACATCCCCAAACGAATAAAATTGTCTAATTGAAACTTGGTTCAATCATAGACTTATAGAATAGACTGACTCCTCCGTAAGAGGCAGCGTTGAAGTATATAAAGGACAGAGAGTCCCGGAATCATCTCTCTGTCCTTTATATCTTTCAACGCTGCCTCTTACGGAGGAGTCAGTCTATTCTATAAGTCTATGGGTTCAATTAAGCCTGAAAGTTCTCGTGTACTATTTAAATAACATGTGTAACAGATGTTCCGTTAAAATTTAACCGGGAAATGGTTAACGCGCGAGAAACTTCGTATTCTTAGATGGTATATATATATATGATACATTGATATTTCGCGTTTCCCATTTTAGACTGCTCTATAATTATATTGTTGAGCGATATTTCTATTCGTTTATAACTAATCGCGAAAAATAACTGCCTCATAAATCCTAAATAAATTTTGACTTTCGAAACGATTATTCTAAATGATGTGAGTTAGAAAATTATTATAATTTTAAAATATTAGCTCTTAGCAATATTCTCCTTTTTTCAACTTACTTTCTGATCGCGCTGCATTTATACTTGAAAATTAAAATCACGATCACAGCAACGAGTATTGTAAAAATAGCGACGAAAATGTTCATCAGTTCAACGAGACACTCGGTCGCTGATTGCGAGTCATTTTCCGGAACCTGGAACATCGTGCCATTTTCGGCGCGCCAGAACCAAACGATCCGTTTTGCAGGTCTTGGTAATATACGTAGAAATTTGTATCGTTTGCAGAAGTCCATTTCGATTCTGTGTAATGTCTCCGATAATTTTAACACAAGGTATCATTTATGTACCTCATTAGAATTGCACCTAGAAAAGCGAATATTTATGTGTCACATAGATCGGATAAAATGGTCGATAAAGGAATCGAAGAAAAAAACCAAGCTTTTATATGTGAAAGGAATAAGAAATGTGTGTGCATATGTATATACATTTGCATTTCTATAGAAAAGAATAAATAGTAGTATGACAAGTATTCATGGACTGAAATAAATTACGCGCGTTGGAACATTCAGCCTGAAATATTTAGATTTTTACCGGAATAAATTATACGCTAGAGTATACACATTACCGGATAATCGGAGATCTGAGATTTATTTTCGTTATACTTTTATACTGACGTCACAAGAGAGTCATTCACGAATTAGATCTGTCTCTCGTACGGAAAAATCCGTGCATCACGTGATGCATTTTCGCGTTTTAACACGTATTCTAAAAATATACCGAGGCATTGAATAACTTTCAACATTCAATAATTTGGGAGCGCGTGTGCACTAAACTTTATAATTCATTCGTTGTTACTGGAGAGTAATTTAGGAAGGTCAAGGATAAAATCAATAAAACGATGGAATTAAATGAAGTCTTATGCGATATTGCAATATACGAGATATTTTTGAAAATTGTATATTTAGCATTTTTCGTTAAATTCAGTAAAAAGATAATCGTAAGAATCGCAGATATAATTTCAGAGATAAAAGCTATTTAATATTGTTGTGAAAATATACATGTAGATAGACTATTTTAGATAGAAAATGATCTTTATTATGTTGAAATTACCATAAAATCGATCTACCAGAATTAATTGCTTAAATCAATAATTCACGATTTTTCACGCGACTTGAAATTATAAATTATATCATGAAATATACTATGTATAATGTTTTATACATGTCTTGAATAAATCTTTTAATACAATGTCATCTTATTTATATTCAATCAGTTTCTGAAAAATAAATTTGACGATCTTGAAAAAATAATTTCTGCTCAAGGTTTTTGTGCGACGCATTTTGTATCTGACAGTGATCAGTGATATTGAAACGAAGAAAATCAATCATATACATAATAAGTTTGAATTTTAATTGTATTTTGCATTTTTTACATGCATTATATCGATATTTGAATACATTTTGAATATACTTTTTTGCGAATAATTGTGCGTAATATTAACATATATTACTTTTCACTTGAATATTTAACAATGATAATTAATCGTCATATGAATCTTAATGACATGGTGTTTCTGAGAATCTGTGAAAAGTCCTGAGAAAAATCACATCAATCAAATTTGAAATTTGTTTTATACTATTTAACTTTTTTTCAGAAACTCTGTTGAATATAAATAAGATATATGAGAAGACATCAATTGTTTGAAGTTCAATTTATATATTCCTTGAATAAAATAATTTTATATTTTATTTCATCCCTTATATGAGAAAAACTTATAAATTATTCTCGAATTATTTCAACTCTTTGACAATGAAATACGAAATATGATACAAGATAGAAGTTCAATATATAAATTACATACGCTTATTTAAACGAAATAATTAATATTAAATAAGTTAGATAATCATATTAATTCTGAATAAATTTTTAAACATGTTCCAATAAATTTACTTACCAATAAGATACATTAATTTTTTTATTTATTCATGGTCCGTTTGTTCAATTATACGAAAGGCTCGATAATTATTTTTACGAGTTAACATAAACACGATTCTAAATTACGCTGTTTTTTTTGCATAAACACAAAAAATTTGCAGAAAATTAAACCACTAGCCGGTTGTCACCTTTGGCCGTGCATGGCTGACAAATCGCCACGTGCGCGTCACTGACAAGTAGCACGGGAGCCACGTCCTCCCTCGCCAATGGTTCACAGTCTACTGAGATGAGAATCGCACAGAATGCCAATGGCAATTCCATATGTACGGTGAGTCACACGGTGAAAAAGAAGATTCCGCGAGCTAGTGTGGTACATAAACTTCGAGATACTGATATAATTTCGTTAAGATAAAATTTCGATGTGTGTAACAGATGCGAAATTCGTATCGATGAACGCAATTTTTTCATATAATAGCATTTTCTGCGCGTTGTTTACTCCGAATTTAAAAATGTAGAAACGATGATGAGAAAAAATTTAAAAATATACCGTTGAATGTTAAAGAAAGGTTCCCTAAACAAAACAGCAGAAAATTATATACAACTATAAGATTGATATAAGAATAATTATTTGGATTCTATAAAGAATTTAACATAAAAACTTGCATTTTATCCATCATGTCAATGCCATTATATGTATTTAAAAAAGGAATGTAAAATATTTGAAAATAAATAGTAAAATAGTAAAAAATCAAAGGAGTAAAAAAAATTCTGAAATAATTTCATAGTGTTATTTGCTACAGATCCTTTTTTAGCTGTAGCATAAATTGAATTTGTGGAAATTATATTGAGTTTCAGTCCTTGATTTCCCGACGGGAAACAAATGTAACAATTGTAAATCTTCGTAGATTGCTGGCGTTTGAGAAAGCCAACTGACTTGTACTTGTTTAGTTTTTCTATGTACAATAAGATCAGTCAGGAAGAATCGATAGCTGTGTCCTATTAATGGACACCAGTAACTATTGCTTCTATAAATCGCGTTAGTCACAGCTTAATTTTACCGGCGAGGCTTTTATTCACATCTCTTTTGACGGTTACCTAGAAAAAGCTCGAACTTTTCATATTCTGATATTTTCGAAAAAATACTTATAGACTTTTCATATATAGTATTTTAATAACAGATGGTATTCTAAAAGAAAGTAATTATTATTTAATTATTCTGTATTAAAAATTGATAAAAATCTATGCAATGTTAAATTTTATGGATATAAAAATTTTAATTTAAAGAGATGTGAGGCTAAAAAAGCATTTAATTAATTAGTAGTAAGTTACATACTCTTTACAGACAATATCAAAATTTCGTTATTTAAAAAATTTCAAAATTAATAATTCACGATTAATTGGACAAAATACGATTTTTTAATGATTTTAAGAGGAATTCACAGATTTGAAGGAATTTGTCTTAATATCATTTTCGGCCTCTATGCTATTTTGAGAAACACGTTAACTTTATTTTATTTGTGTATCAAGCAATTAATTATCGAAGGTAATTTTCCGTTCCAACGTAATAAATCACGTTTTTCCGTAAATTTATCGGATGTAATAAGAATTATCGGCCGCCTCTATCGTGTTCTCCAAAAAATATATTACTCAAGGCAATAACCAGTTTTGCTTGTATACATATCTTTATAGAGCAGAGAAAAATAAACTAATGAGAACCAAGCAGAAAATAGAGCGTAAATAAAAATCCTGCAATTAAAGTTAAATTTGGACTTTTTTTCGGAATATTCTTAGTAAGTGTTAACAACAATTATTTTTAGAAATCGTACAAAAATGAAATATAAACACATATCAAAATTATGAAATAATACATTCTTTTCTTGTCATTTACTTGCTATCTGAGGCGTTATAGATTGTATGGAAAACAGAGCATGCGATTTGTATAATTTTATATTTTTTTTATTTTTATATTTTTCATTATATGTATATACTATCCATTTTTGTATCATTTATCTTTATTCCGAAAAGGAGGTGAAATCTTTAGATTTTTTATAAGCATTTTTATTCACACTCCCTTTTTTGGGCTTGACTGTCATCAATCTATTTTACTGTCTGTTATGTATATTGTTTATTAAAGCTTTCTTTCTTTAATTTTTATCTTTATAACATTCCATGAGGTTTCCGCGAGAGAACAGCATCATTCCCTCGTTGACTAGTTTGTTATTCATATATTCCTTGTCGTTTATACCATAAATTTATTCTACCTCAAAAAATATTGTGTATTAACCGCGCGCGAGGATCCTGTCCGCGATGTTTATTTTATCTTATTTTTAACGCGTTACTATTCTATCTCATCTCGCGTTACGTTAGATATACTCGACATCATAAATGTTTAAGACATAAAATTGCACTTTGCGCGTATTCGAAGCACGTGTACACGATAAATTATTTCTTGCACCGTTAAACGGTAGCTTTTATTTAATTAGATTCTGAAATATATAATATCAAATTTTATCTCTCTTTCTCTCTCCCGAAATGCGTAGGTACATGGGTACGAAATCAACACACGAAAAAACACGATGATTTATTTGAAAAATATTTAATAATAAACATTGACAATATACAGAGAAAATACGCCATAAGAAGTCGCTATGGGATTAATAGAACCTAACAACTGGTCCAGACTTACAAAATATCATCAAATCAGACAATGATAAAGGTGTCACGAGTCACACCTTATATTCCTATCAATATTTCGCAAATAAAGTTCATCGAGTTGATCAGATATTCTTTCTCTCTATCTCTCTCTCTCTCTTTCTCTCTTACTCTTACCTTTTTCTTTTTTACTCTTTTACTGATTTTCATTCATTTCCTGCAAGAGTTCATTATTATGTAACGAACTCTCGGTAGCATAAAATCGCTTATGAGGGGGAAGTTCGCAAAGAGATACAGAGGCATACCTAAATGACGTTTCCCTCTCTTTGCGGATTTCTTTTTACATTTGCGAGAGAAGCGGAAAAACAGATGGCGATTAGCTGTTTTAGTTTTTTTCAGTGAGTCGAATATCACTGGGCATTTTTCCTCATTTGTTACATTGTCTTTGTGCTACCTTACTAACGATAATTAATTCGTGTTCTTGATTTCACCAATCCGTGGAGAAGGGTACGAGTTTCTCGCTCATTCATCGCACATCAACGCAGGCATACACATAATTTCACATCACACGTACAGATACATTGAACTTTACACACGCACACGCGTTTCTAGAAATATCATTAATAATAACGCCCTAATGTCATGGAACATCTCTCATTTATTTTTCTTTTTTTTTTTTCATTTGCAGTAATTCGAAAAGAATAGCACGGCGCTGCCGATGATGCGGACCGGTTCGAGACACACAGTTTCGCTTTGGGGCATCAGTCGCGGATATTATATATATTCTTTCTCGTGCCGGACGATCACATAACAATCGCCAGAAAGATCCTTCGACAGCACCCTGCTCAAATACCTAGGATATGTTGCTTGTAAGATGTGTCATTACGTAGTCATGTATTCATCTAAATTCATTTAAAAATTCTTTTACAGTATTTATCGTTAATTAATAATTATACGTATAACGTACGGTGCGTATCATTGAATTATTTTACATTGCGCGAAAGATCTATCACTAGCTTTGAATCTCGTCGTTATCTCGACAAGGATAAATCAATTGTCGGTGATGAATTCACAAGCTCTCGCTTGCGTCCGTTGCAAGCTCACCAAGATCGAAGAATCGACCTCTAAATCATTTTGCGATTCATATATTAAAACGTTTCAGATATTACGGTTCGACATATGGATCTGAGATTATTTGGAAACGAGTTCTTCAATCCGGAGGAGACGTACGCTTGGCGAAAGTCTGAGAGACCGAAATGACAGGATAAAGTGTGTTGTTTGTGAGACACGAAAATATGTAAACGTGCAGAAACTCGACAGAAGCCATTAAACTTTTTCATAAATTATATTATTATCTAGATATGTGTGTCGCGTTCTTTAGTGGACAACGGTGCCTTCGACGGTCGAAAAAAAATTTCTCCCGTAATAATTCTCGTAAATTTTATTTTTCTTTTTCTTCCGATAGAAAACGATAAAAGAAATTTCATTGTCGCTTCAGAATTACACTAATGGGGGATTCTCTCGTTCTAATAATAAAGGGAGAAACGAAAATAGAGAGACGTGAGAAGGAAGGGGAAGAAGAGAGCTGATTTAGTCTCTATGAACCTCTATGATTCTATGAACATCTTGTACGATAGGCCTGTCGCAACAGTAACGCGTATAAAGAAGAGAGGAAAATCGAAGAAAGTAAATTATGCACCTGTAATGAGGATACGCGACGAACCCGCGAAAAGAAAGTGTCTCGCATGGTTCTCCCGTCTCGCTAATTTGAGCTTGACTTATTACGCTAGCCACTAGTAGTAATAGCCTACCGATAAAGGTATCGATTACGAATAAGTATAAATTGTAATTACAGTGTACAATATACACAGGGAGATAAATCTCGCAGAATCTCTTTCATGCTCGTATCGTACTTTTTACTCGTGCGAAAATTTCTTTTTTCGGAAAAACGTATTCTCTTCGATCTTTCTCCGATTCGGTATAGTTCCTTGTGCTGTCCTTCACGCGGAAGAGTGTGTACATACGAGAAACTGACGCTTTGTAATTCTCAATAGATGAGATTCTTTCCTTCGAACATCAGCCGTTACATCGTCCACGTAAAATAATCACACGTTTCATTTTCATTCGACTGATCCGCGTTTTACGTATTTACTGCGTAATTAATTATAATCTACGTTTATTAATTTAACGTTACAAGAATCATGAGTATGTTCGAGTGTGGTAGTTTCTTTTGTTTGCCTGCTTAACAAGTTCCTAAAAGTGCACGGTTCTCGGCACGATTTTTCTCCACCGTCTTTGTGCTCGACAAATCTAGTTGATCTATGTACACGTACACGACGCTCGCGAGAGAAAAAAAAGAATTGTCATCATGACTCGAGTATTTCCCGAGTGTTCGAGCTTAGCCTAACTCTAATTGAAGATTAGAATAAAACGTAACGACGGCCACACTACATTCCGTACTTTCTAAAACATCTTTGTCATATTTGGCTATTTCTTATATCCTCGTTCTCCCCCCTTTTTTCGTCTTTCTTTACTCTTTATTTTTTACTCTTCAGTCACATTGGTTCTCATTCACGTCCTCCATTCTTTTCGTACGCAACATATTATAGCGTAACATATCTTATTCTTACGTATAATATACGATAAATCTTCGCTTAACTATTAATTTAACAGAGATATCACTCATTCGACTCAGTGTGCGTACCATTTTCCCTTTCGCGTTACTCCTAAATAGAGTATCTTTTACTTTCTGTATAGCGTACCGACATATCTACTTTATCAGGAAGCAGATATTGAGTGTCACGAAAAGAAAAAGAAAGTTGATAGTTGAAAACACCGATCTGAATAGAGAACAAAATTAATAGTCATAAAGAGGAGATACCCATTTACAAATAAATTAACAATACTGAGGAAACGAAAAATGAATATATAAAAAGATTATATAAAAATTATGTGCGCGTTTCAGCAAAATAATTTCTATAAGATAAGTAGTTCGAAGGTAAAAAAATAGACACAGTATTACATCTAATATTTAGTATCAAGATGTATGATGTTGACCACAGGTCGCGAAATTAAAAGATTAAAAGAGAAAAACATTTAATACGAAATATTAATATCTATTCGTATCGGCATTTTCGATCATTCAACGCATTTCGCTACAACTGGATCGGCATTTAGCTGTTTCTAATCATTTTTCGTGACGAGAGAAGACGAGTTTGTTTTATTTTATAGACACGTGCGCGCGCATTTCTTTGACATCGAGAAACCGAAATAACATGCTGAGTATACAATGTCACGTTGAAGAGTGTTCGCATAATATTTGTTTATTACCGGTGAAGGAAGTCCGACTTAGCATCGCGGATCTTCATGGATTGATTTTTTTTCGTTTAAAGACCAAATATATATACAATCATAAACAAATACATCACTAAAAATATTATTTAAGTAATTATCAATATAATTATATAATTTTAATATGTAATTTTATAATTTATAATTTATATAATTATTAAATAATATAATGTATAAAATTATTTATATATGAAGTGTAATTCAATTATATATATGTAAAAGTATATAATTTCGTATAAAATTAATATTTTATATAAAAAAATTATATAAAAATTAATAAAATAATAATTAACGTTTCTTTATATTATTCATTATGATTGTTTGTTTGATCTTTATACGATCCCAGCTTTATATGATCGATTACTTCGTAAGACGCATTCTACGAATCCTAGCTCTATCTACGTATTATTACTGTGCTCTTGTTCATAGGCGTTAAGATTCTATATTTACCGGTTATGACGTGGGCTTTGCTTAATGTTTAAAAAAAAGTTGTCATGTTCATTCAGTCGGTTAACTAAGGAATAAATTAGTATAACACACGATTCAATTTGGTTGTCGCATATGAATTTATATCGCAATCAAATTTCTCATGGAAAAGAGAACAAAAAATAATACAATTGCATTCGCCACTCCAATGCATAATTCGTCGCTTAGGTTGTAATCCAACGTGCGAGAAAAGATACAGTGAAATTACACAGTTTTTCTTAAACAAGTAGGAATATATATAAAACTAAATATGCGGTTTCTTAAGTGTCTGAAAGTTTTAAGTTTTCCGAAAGAACTAAAATTAGAAAATTGAAAGAAATCCTTCCAGTTTTTCCTTTCGATATAGATACTTTAATCCTTTAATAATTGTTTACTAAGAGAATGCATTAAATTATTATATTTGAAAATTAAAAAACGATATAGTTTAGGCGTAAATATTTTTAAATCTTATGAGTTTCATTTCATATCCTTAATTTAACTCGAGTATCGGCAAATGGAGCGAGCGAATGCGCGAAACAAAGATTCAAGATCGGCATGTTAACATTTTAGAAAATAAGAATCAAAGCTTTGCGTGAATTTAAATGAAATTGATTTGACTAGACCCTGTGCAATTAAAATTCGGCATTTTGTTTTAGAGGTCTAAGCGGTTCTTCTCTCTGTCTTATTTCGTCTCTGTCCGCTATTCCCTAAATTTACTGAGAACAGAGTTTATTTCACAAATCTACGCACATACACACGCGCGCAAAAGCGCATACACACATATTTGGCATAGAAACCCTACCGGTCACATGAATGCCTTTGTTTCTTCCTAGAGGTCGTTTTTTTTCTTTTTTCTTTTTAACTAGCTACCTAAGGATCTCGCTTTTTTTCGGATCACCTTGTGCCGGTTCGCGTCGACTAAAGTCGTCAATGTTTCGCTGCCATTTAGCAGAAAATGTCGCACGGCAGCCATTTATGCGCGTATCTATGTCGTAGAAAATTACATTGTGCACTCATTTCATGATAATTATTCATTTCGAATTGCACGCATTTGCTCATTTTAATTTCATAACTGTTATCAATTAATATATATTTACTATAACATCCGCGTATAATCTATATATGAAAAAAATTTATTTATAAAATTATTGTTTATCTCATTTAAATGAATCATGTGCAGGCTTATATTGTTCAACAATATTTGTGCGAAATATTTAGCGCTTTTCCTTCAACATTAATTTAGACTATAAATACAAACCATATCGACCATATCAAACAACATTGACTTAAATAGAAATAATTACAACATATGTGCGCAACTATATTACAACTAGTTCAGTAAATGAGCAAATATACGAAAATGATGCATATTGGTATGTGACAACATCATATTATTAATGTACTTTACAGAAACTATAAACAGAGATAGAAAGATTATTTTCATTTTATATTTCGTTTAATAACTCGAAAATTTTCTCGCATTTTTTTTTTATCGATTAAAACACTAAGATGATACTAAATATTAGTTATTAAGAGATATGCATATAGCAAAAATGTTCATGATGTTATTATCGAAAATAAATTCATAAATTTGAAAATACAACAAGTATATTGTATTGATCTTATTCCAATTTTGTATTACATCGATTTATTCAATTGATTAAATAGAAACAAGATCGAACAGGTTCCATTGATTTCGTGTGAATGGCTGCTGGCAGGGGATTGATTAGGAGCGACTTTTTGCCGAACACGACACGACATTTCGATGCGCCGGCCTCGACACCACCACGTTGCATTTACAGATTGATCTTCCTCGTCTATTCGTTTCAGCTATCGCTTATAAGTTTTTAAAATACAATACAATTTCAAGATTTAGCATAAACATGCAGTATATCATTGACAGCAGTTTCGCTTTGATCGAACGATTTCGGCTTCAAAAGTCAATGATAGTCTCCGTTTATCTCTTACAATCTTGCGTCGCAAAGTTGGAAAAGGGGAAGAGATAAAATCGACGAGTCGTTATGCATGGAGGGTCCAGGCTCGTCGCCTCGAGGGTGATCTCGATGATGGCAAAATGACGGTGATGATTGTGTCGACTTGTGTCTGGTCATGTTTTGTTGAGTATAACATGGTGTATAACTTGGAAGGCTCTCGCGCTCCGTTGTTAATGAGCCATTTAATATGGTGCGAACCTGTTGTAACCGCTTCTGTACACTGTCGCCTGCAAGAATAAAATTTAGAAATTTATAAGTTACAATTTATTATAATACAGAGCAAATTCTAGCGTATAAACCATCGCGATGCACTCAGCATTAAATATAATCAATCTTCAACAGCTGAAATATTTATTGCATGGAGTTATTAAAAATATCAAAAGCACATTGTGAATATTATAAATTTATAAATTTAAAGCTTGCGATATTACAATTTAATTGCGCAAGATTTTTGTAAACTAACAAGTTGAGAAATTATTTATTCATCCTATCATTAAATTGAATTTATTGGTGGCGATGATTAAACTTTCACATGCATATGATATAATTTGTTTCGTCATTGTTTATAGGATATATAGTTGCCATTTACATTGTAAACGTGAGACAGCGATGAAGTAGATAGTTATATTTAAGGATCTATGTGCGCAATGGAAGCACGAGTCATTAACTTTCGCCGTGACACAGTTTCCGTAAGTTGAAGATGCTGGGCATTAATAATTCATATGTGAATGAAACGTGCTGAGACCGAAAAGGGTTTTTCCAATGCCCGTTATTTATAGCGTAATAACGGAGTGCCCTATTCTCTCCCTTAGATAGATAAAGTACGGATCGGCTACGCGCACGACTTAAGGGCACTCTTGTTAAGTGAAAAACTGTAAAAGCGTACACTACATAATCAAAGTTGTTTCTTACCCCGTAACCCGCCACAGGTCCAATGCCGTGTCCAAGGTAAGGATCGGCGTATTCACGCCCGTAACTAGAAGGGCATAAAAAAGTTGACGATTAATAGCGTGAAATGTTTTACGACCCGTTAAAAATCGGACGACTTTGTACTTTGTTGTTTATTCGATTTTTTTTTTACGAAATATAAAAGTATAAATGAGGAATGAAAACAATATAATAAAAAAATGCGTTAGGTATAGTATTATATTTTTATATTTAATGCAAGGTATACCAACGTAAAACGAATTGCTTATTTTAAGATTTCTCAGGAGTAGTTGTGTCTGGACTTTCAGGACTATTGGGACGGGTCTGGATTTCACGAACGTATCTGCGACTCCTCAGAGCTCGTCCACGACGTGCGGAAGTTCTGCAAGGAATGGACTAAGTGCATTAAGCTTTGTGATAATTGGTATCTCTATTTTTAAAGAATTAATATTTTGTTAGACAGAATGGATTGAGAGAAAGACAGAGGAGATTAGTAAGCAGATCAAGGAGATTAGTGATAGCGATAGTAAATATTATCAAGAATTGTGAGATGAGAGAGGGCAATTTATCACAATGTTCAATATGCAATATACACTCTCGTAATGGGGTCAAACCGATGACTTCGAAATGACCATCAATCTATACATATGTGTATGCATATCAATGCAAATGAGCCTGCATGTAAACCACAGATGGCTCGAGAATCATGGCCCTTCATGTTGTTAACGAAAACATTAAATTTGATGTTATAAAAAACCAGCTTTTTACATAAGTGTATTAGTAACAAAAAATTCAAAGTTAAATTTTTTTCAAAATGTTCTCAATTTAATAGCTGTTATATCTTACATCTTATATTCGCAGTATAAATGTCTCTCTCTTAAAATGCATTATACAATTTCATTTCATGATAATATAACAATTTAAGGATGTTTCCAAGTGGCAAGGAAATATTACAGCAATGCAACGAACGTTGCATAATGTGCCAAATATATTACAGTGATGCAACAAGCGCCTATATAACGCGTTATAAATAATTCATACGAAATAAATTAAGCATGGTTTCAAAGGAAGATCTAGGAATCTTATGAGACAAGCGCGCATTTTTGCGAAAAATATTCGCAAAGCTTCCTTTCTCGAGAACGATGAGGAGAGCGACAATTTTTCTTTCTCCTCGCGGACTTTTCCATTTCTCCAAAGGATAAATAATTTGTCCTAGATTTAGACTAAGCGGCTCCTCTCTCATCGATTTACAATCTTATTTCTCTAACTTTAAACATTCTCTGTATAGGAATTTTAATTTCAAAAATTAAAAAGTGCAAGTGTATATATTTATAAAAGTTAAAACCCACAAAATCCATAGACAAGAAGCTAGGACAATGCTAAATGTAGGACATCCTGTGTGAGTTGAGTGGAAGGGAAGGAGAGAGAAAGAGAGAGAAATAGAGAGAGAGAGAGAGAGAGGGTGAGAGGTCTCGGAGAGAGGACTCGGTGAGGAGAGTAATACACACACATGAGAGGGAGTTTCTCGGGCGAGAACGCGGTGCACTTACCCCGCGACTGCGGCATATCCTGCGACCGGCTGTGCCGCAGCTGCAGCTGCGCCGTATGCGCGCGCAGCCACCGCCGTGTAGGTCGCTGCAGCTGCGTACGTGGCCTGCTGTGCCGTTGATAGGGGTGTCTTCAACAAGGGTGACGCTGCGGCCGCTGCTGCCGCGGCCTGAAACAACAACCATGACCCGCCATGCAAGGCTCAAGCAAGCTCAAAGACAGACAGAGAGGATGATCTGAGAGCGAGAAACGATACTAGAGTACGGTCGTTCCTAGAGGCTCGCGTTGTTGCACACAGAAAACGTGAGGGAAAGGGATTCTCTGACTCTGAAAATGATAGCGATTGAGGCAGAGAGTGAAAAAGAGATACATGTTGAGAAAATGCGACATTGAATTTAAAGAAAAATGTATTTGAAGTTTCTATTCTGTCATGAAAACTATTATTAAGAGAAGCGATTAATAAAACTGCAATTACTTTACGAGTATTTTATAAACTCGAATTAAAAATTTTTAATGCGAAACGTATTTTGTTTTTCTCAATCGCAGCCTCAACTGGTCGTCTATCCAGCATAAGAAATGAGTGCGCTAATTAAAACAGTTTGCATACTAGGTATATGCATATCAAAAGAAGATTAAGTAAAAGATTATATCAGTATATGCAACTTTGTTGTGCAGAAAGAAAAGCTTTCAAGGCTATTTAATAATTCTAGATTATATCAGCTTTAATTTTCATGTTTACAATCGCTATCATAATCATCGTACTTCTTTATCACATATTTTTTAAAATCAAGAAATTATATTATAATTATATTATAATATATTGTTATATTACTATGCAAAATATCACATTATTAATTTTTTAAACTCCATCAAATCTGATTATAATCTTATTATTACTTGTATATCTTGTTATATTATATTTGAATATTCTTAATGCATTTTAAATTTTTTATTTGAATATACAAGTTTTTCGAAACGAATGGAATTTATTGCTATTTGAGTTGTTAACGTTTTCTATGTGCAACCATTGCATAAAACGCATCGGCGTTATCCACTACGACATCGATAGAACAGCGAGATGTAATAGGAGTGACATTTTTGGGTTTGAATGCACAAAAAAAGCTATCGGTCACCTTTACATCGTATTTCGCTCGCTGTTTTAAAAATGTCAGTATATGGATATTCAAATATTTCGAGCACATAACTAACCGTGACACTCGAAGTTGTAGTTTGTAAAACAAGCTCCGAGGGGAATGTTTTATTTACAAGGAACATGATCCCGATCAAAATTGATGATATCCAATTTAATTACGAAGCGACTATATGTCGAGTAGTTTTGCGATAATACGAACATTCCAATTTTCAATCAAATTCTAACTACAGAAACGTAAATCAAAAATTAAGTTTCTTATCGCTTAAAATCATATCTCTTGTATATACATTAAATATGTCGAACGTGTAAAAAAATTATGTAAGGAAATTTTTTTGCAACGCGTGGATTTTTTTAAGTGTTCTATATGTCTTCTAAATAATCCACGGAATAATAAAACGAATGAAAGAAAGTCATGCAACATGAAGACTCGTGAAAAAGCCATGGTGCAAGGTAAAAAATATTTATTATTATTAGGAAACGGAGCGAAACGACAAATATACGAAATCTAGTGAAAAATTGGAGCGAAGAGATGGATTATTGATAATTTTTCTTAAATTTTCGACGCAAGTTGAGTCGATCAAGAAGAAACTATCCAAAGCTCATAATCTCGAAAAAATATATCCTTACTTCACTTGAATAAGCAAAACAGAATGAGATAGAGTTTAGTTAGCAAAATTGACTTGGATAAAGCGTTTGAAAAAATTCCTGATATAAAAATCAATTAATCTCTGACCCGATAAGCGATCGATTAAAGTGCTATAATTATTACATCGCACAGAATAAGTAAAGTCTCTCGGGTGTTTGTCGACAAAAGTACTATTTGTATTTATGAGTTATGAATACCTATGGAATTTCAATCTCTAACAACGTGTATATCTCACAAATTTCCCAAATGTGTTTAACGCGACGAAGCTTCGAGCTCACCCTTATACAGCATCTCGATATCCCACACGAGGGGATTTATGCCCGTTGAAGATGGGGGCTCTTGAACACGCCACTTATTGGCGCCAAGGGATGATGGCGGAAGATGTACGCGCATGCATTTAGAACGTGTAATCTGATATACCGATGTAAATGTATCCATTTTGCGATGACATAATACGGGCGCACTTAGACGCTCACGATTTCCATGACATTTCCATTCGCGCGTCTGGCGACATACACCTGAATGCAGTTTGCTCATCATCGTTAAGAACGCTCCCTGAAAACCGCTTTAAGTCTAATTATCGAGGAAGAAAGGGTCTTATCGTTTGCTGTTGTATGCATGTTATGAGCACACAATTATATGCAACGTTTAAGCTCGTACTTCTTTAATACGTAATACGCCACAATAAAATTTATGCGGAACTGTAGCAGAATAATAGCGAATATTAATCAAAACACTTAATAGAATTTTTTGTCTCTTTGCAAGATTTTCCTTCAGTTCAATAAGCTTTTAAATATCATACATGTCATTAATGTTAATTTTTGATTGAAAAAAAAAAGATACAGGCTAATTAAAAATTGTTAAATTGTGTGAAGAAAAATCAAATATTTTATAACTCAGAAGAAATAATAGTTAATACTATTGATGTTGTTGATTGCCATATTAGTTGAAATTTTATTTATGTAAATTAATTATCATCGACTACTAAATTAACAAAAAACGATGCAAAAAAATGTGATAAAACGGCAAGAATCATCTCGTTTGCATTAATCAGTGAAGTTCGTTATTTCGTAAAAAAGATAAAAGATATAACAAAATATTTTCCAGGAATTTTCTGAACTCGAGACCTGCTCGTTCGTAATTAGGAACGAATGTCGTAATCCGAGTATTATCCATCACTCGTACTAATTAGTAAGATTTGTTATCGGAAAATTAACAAAGAATTATGAAAAAATGTCCAACAATTATAAAGTTCCTGACAAATGTAGAATTAATTTCTACCGGACGACAGAATATTTAAGAGAATAGTTACCGAACTGACAAATAAAAAAATAGAATCTTTTAAACTGATTTTATTTTCTAAAATATTAATATAAAGTTCTTAATAAATTAATTAATATAAAGTTATATAAATATTAATTCAAAATTTCGATTATGTATATATCAATTTTTTTAGGTAATGCTTAAATGATGTTAAAAAATGTGATTTTATTAACAAGACATGCAAAAAGATCGAATCAAAGAGCTGATAGGAATATCCTGCAAATTAACACGACGTAAGATTTCTACATATAAATCATTTGGAATTCCGGAAGAAAGACAACCGTGTGTATTATCGGAAGTGCAAAAGCGTCCAATAATTTTTGACGTCGTAACAACTAACGGGCTGCAAGCAGCACAATTCCGCGCGCGAATTGGCTGACCAGCTCACGTATCGCGACGAAAACACGATTCGGTCGGCGCCAGAAACTTTCGGCGGTCAGGAACGGGTTGTTATTCGACGCGTTTCGTCGCGAAAAAAGCGACGGGGTAGCGGGCGGGAAGTGAGCTGTTTTGCCCTCGGGAAGAAAACAGGACGACGTATTGCGAGCGGAACGAGAGGCGCCAGGTCGCTTCGCGACTGCGGATTTTCTTGGACGGAAACCTCGTTTCCAGGCCGAAGTTTTCAAAACACGCGAAGAATCGTTCGATACAATTCTCCCACCGCGACAAGAATTATGCAATCCTTTTAGAGGAAGACACTGTAACTGACGATGAGACAACGACGATTCGCCTTCGACGAAATATCGTCGGAAACAAATGGAACAATAATTCCTGGTGGCTGCTTGCGAGAATCCAATTTCCGGGAGCAGCCAGCCGGAAATGTCGAGATCGTGACAAAAAACGGGTCTCTCTTCGCGTGCGAGACCAGTGATTAGCTTTTTATCTCGCGATCGAGGATACCGGAGTTACGTCCGATTCAGCATCCCGCTAAGGTCACGCCCGGACAGACCTTTTTCTCGTTGGCCAATCTCCCTTGCTTTCTTTGCTCTTTCTTCTCATTCGCGTTTTCGAGTCGGCCAGTTAATGGTGCACCGCGAAACCGCAGACTCAAAACCCCTGTTTATATTGCGGCTCGAATAAAACATTGAACGATTAGTCGCTCAACTCTGTGAAGGTTGTCGAACAATCCGTGGCGCTTTAAAAAATAGTCAAGTCTACTAATGTAAAGAAAATATTAAAATATTAAAATTGACGCATAACAAAGTGATCCATTTTAATTATCACTATCAGAATAATTAATAATAAATGAATAAATTAATAATAAAAGGAGCAAGTGTTGAAACGACTGGTTTTGGAATTACCTCCGATTTCATTCATATATCTTTCACTTATTAAGCACAAGATAAAAATCTTCATTTCTATCGCATCTATGAAAACATTCGACAGATACTGAAAAGGCGAAAAACATCCTTTTTCCATTACCGAACACAAACACGCGATCTATATATATTATTAGCTGACTGAAACTTGGTTGTAAGTCCGAGTCCTCAATTAAAGCTAACGAAAAGACTTTCCAAGTATTTCGCAGACACGGCATTCGGTCCGTCTGAAAAAGGAACGCGGATTCAACCGATGCAACCGGACGAAGTAATTATCGCGAACCGGCGAAAGTTAAACAAGCCGTGCATTTTAATCCTTTCGCGTACTTTCCGAGCCGAGCCCGAACTTCTGCAAAGGCGCAGAAGATCCATATAAATAGCTGGAATATTTTTATATCGGGCCAATTTCGCGAAGTGCCGCGAAGACATTTCGCGTAGAAACAACCGGGATAAACCCGTCAACCGCTAAATGACGAGCATTCCTCACCGACATTGATTTACGGTAGCTTCTCACAAAGTCGAGGAAGAGATCGGCAATTCGGCCATAAATTCTCGCTCGAATCAGGGGCTTCTCTGTCATCGTGGCTGGCGACCATCGAACTTGACATATTGAGTCCATCCAAATTAGCCACGAAAATCCTCCGAGTTTCTCAGCATGTTTAGACAATTTACGACCTGCCACGTTTAGACACTCTTCACGTTTTAAAATCGCGAATTTTCATCGGACGCAAAAATTTTCTGTTCCCGTATCCTCTTTTAGTATCTGACGATAATTAGTGTCTCGCTAATTACTCTTAAATATTATTTATTCGTTGGATTCGTATTTAATTTCGTTTTTACGCTTGTGTATTTTATTAAAAGAACTATTTATTTTCTTCAATTTTAACATTCATAGATAAAATTTAAAAATTTATTTTTAATTACTTTGTATAATGCTAGTAATAATATTAATAAGGCTCTCATGGGGGAAACACAAATTTAAATTTCATGAGTTAGTAACAGGAACAGATAAACAGATTCCAAACACGGATAGCATTAAAATTTTTCATTAAAAACTGTCACTAGTTATGTACACAAGATAATCATTTTTCTTAATGCATATCAAGTAATTAAATAAATTTTTAATGTTAATTTATTTATTATTTTATTTTAATAAACTCGGAACTATCCTAAAGAAGTGAAGACTAGAAATAAATAATTAAGGAAAAGACTAAAATTAAAAATCGGAGAAAAATCATTGAAAAATCCGCGTTAATAATAATAATTTTAATTTCGACACATTAATTACTTCAATTCTGTACTACTTCAGTAAGACTACTTTCTGTAAGACTAATTATCTTTTCTCGAACTTTGAAATATCTTTGAGCGATATAACGTTTCGACATAATAATTTATATATAATAATTTTCTTTAAATGTCACAAAAATTCTTGATGTAATTTTAATGTCTCATAATAAGACACCTCTTGTACACTAATTTTGTATCTCCAAAGATTCTTGAGATTAATATACTAGCAGTATTCTTGTAAAGTAGCTATTCATAATGCAACCGAAATGGTCAATGCTCAGTGATTTATAATCGCAAAACGACTTTTACTTTCACTTTCATCAGCCTGTGATTGTACAAATAATTTGCCCGAGATTTAAAGGCTTATTTTTATAACACAATTCTCTTCTTAATATACAACACATATTATTTAAAAAATACCAATGTTTGAAAAATAAAAGTTATTTATATGTATTTTAAAAATTATTGTGTATCTAAATAGCGCTTGTTCTGTAAATTTAAAAAAATATATATAATAAATCTCTGTTCCCATTTTTAAAGCTCAAAGCTACAAAGGTGATTAAAAATGATTAATTAACCGTTTAGAATTATTTCTGCCGTAGTTCATTCGAGATTCGCGACTATGATATTATTTAATTAAAGAGATTACCATACGGTTGCTATCTACCTTGCATATAGCTTTCTATTCGCACGAAACCTGCCTACGCCATTTACTGCCCGCATAATACAAAGCTCCCTCGAAATTGAGGAACTTCAAACGACACATTTAAATTTGCGTGCATTTATTACAACGCTTACTCCACTCGCCTCTTATGACGGATTCTAGGTCTGTGCGACGCATGCTCTACTGATTGAAAAAGGCGACATTACATGCTCTCTCACGCTAATACCAATCGCAGACAATGAAAAAAAAAGCGTAACATGGTCGGAGAGGGAAAACCTCATCACGGCCAGCTGAAACTCTTTTCTACAGTTCCCCTAAACGATCTTTCCTTGTGGAAAAAAATTACAATAATTTTATTTATAGAAGGATTTTTTTTAGCAAAAATGGATTGAGGGACACATGTAACTAAATAAACTCCGAAAATCGATGAGCACTTCAATCTTGCGAGAAACATATGGAAAAAAATAAAGAGAACAGACCAAACAAAACAGAAGAACAAGAAGAAAAACGGGGTGTATATAGATAAAACAGACGGAGAGACGAACAGGCGAACTCTTAATTCCTACCTCCAGGGCGGGCGCTTTAGCCTGAAACACAAACGGCAAACCTGAAAAGAAATTCCGGAAGAGTTCCGGACGGCGAAAACACGAGCTCGAGTTTTTATGTGAGGGAGTTAAGCCCTCGTTAAGCGAATTAAAACTTCGTTTCCCGATGCAAACGCAAAAGTCCGCACGATCGGCGCGTGTCAGCGTTATCTACCTTTCAATGACACTTTTTCTTGCCCCCGAACATATGTATCGTTGTGTAATTAATGACCATCTCTTTAGATATTTGTGAAATAAAGCGGGGAAACGATACGAAAAGATGAGTGGAATGATGCATTTAGGCAACAAGATGCAACAAGATGCCGCAATTTTGATTTTGAGCGGAGTTTTTTGTGTAAATAAAAATATGAATTCAATTTCAAAATTGGAACGTTCATGTTTAAAATTTAAATTAAATCTCTTCTTTTTCTCTACATTGAACAATTCGTTTTAAATTTCTTTATTCTCGATTTTATCGATTGCGACATTTTCTATCAATAAATATGATTTCTGAGCGATTAGATAAAATTGAAAAAAATTTGAAATTATCGCTCTTCATTATTCATTAGCAATTCGTTGTAACTGTAGTTGTCAAGATTCTTTCTCGATATTGTTTTTTGACAAATTAGCTGCGAGGGAAATATTAATGGAAACGGGCGAATGTGAAATTCACGCGCGAATAGTGCCCGAGACAAAGATGCTTTATCGGGACAGAAATAATCATCTCGACGGTTAGTAGCGCGTCGAGCGTGCTTTTTTCCGATCAATGGTGCTGTCGGATGCATCGGGATTTTTGCGCGAATGAAACGAAAGGGAGAGAAATGGAGAGAAAGAAAAAACAAAAAACGGCAGGCGAAAAAATGAGACACAATGAGAATGGCGAACGGTCGGAACAATGTAGAACGCGAGATAGTGGTGGCGATAATTGTTATCGGTTTCTCTCTCGTGTGTGCAAGCCTGTGGCAAAATGTGTGTCAACTAACGTCAGCTGTTGCTTGAGGCCATTCCAGCTAAACGGGTCCACCACAAAGGTGTTACGGACTTTAGTCAAAATCTCTGCGTTCATTTGTCTCGTCTTACAGATACTACGCCGTATTCCGCTTCCGGTGCACGCGCGAGTAATTGTTTCCTGTTTTTTATTTTTCCGAGCGAACGTATCGAGAACGCTTTTGCAAGTTTGCGCACAAAATGATTGGCATGATGCATGAATTTTTTAGAGATTATTTTATCGCTCTCTACTTTTTCGAGTTATAGAAAAGCGTATTGCCATCATCAAATTTAATTTTAATGTTTTTCTTTGATGGATTTCAATTTTGATCTCTCTTTACAATAAAATGTAAAAGATTTTTAATATTAAATTCTTGAACATAAATTTTTCAATATAAATAAATAATAAAATTTTATTTAATTTCGAGAAAATTCCGTTTTGGAGAAATTAAATTAATTATGTTAATTTAGAATCGAAAAATGCCAAACAAGCGCTTCTAATATTTTTGAAAAATACAAAAAATTCATCAAGGATCTATTAATAAAGTTTCATCATTACTCGTGACAAAATGCAATTCTATTCGCGTATCGATCATAAATCAATAGTGTGCTGATTGTCCGATTAATTATGTCCGCGCGATGTTCCATTCACGTAATGTAACATAATGAAAACGCATCAACGCGCTCGTAAAGATTTGTTTTCCGATTAATAGTTGGTTATCACGGTGACGATCGCGGCGTTGATTGATTATCGCGATTTTCACTCGGAGCGGCACACGCTCCGTTCTTCGATTTAATTAAAAACCCATTTGTGTAGCCCGCGTCTCGGTAGCTTGCGGTCGCGTGCACCGGAAGCGGAGAACAATTGTCGGTAGAAATCGAGAAATGTCTCACCTGCAACCTGTAGTTGGGGTCCTGTGTCGCTGCGTGCGCCGCGAGGAAGGGGTCGTAATAAACACTGCAAAATATAAAAATCACCAATGAGTACGAACGGCTTATCCGCTATGGGAACACCTACAGGATTATCGGATTTTTAATTTCGCGATTCTCTTTGTGAGATTAACATTTTATGCGCGTGCGTCCAATTATTTCCGTTTAAAAATTCAACACTTGCGCATGAAATATTCTCTTGTAAAAAAAAAAAAAAATAACGCGTACTTTGTAACGTGTGTTTCGCGCAAAATATTTTATAAGAATTTAATATTTACTACGATAGAGAGATATTTGGACGGGTTAAAAGATTCAGAGAACTTTTAATCTTTCGATTCAATAATGCACAACGCTTGTTTAATGGACATGGCGTAATAAACATTGAGCTCAGCCGACGATAAAATTGAAAATTCATTTCTGGAATACGATAATCTCGCCTCGCAGAATAATAGGGGGGACGATAGGGGCGATAAACTTTGTTCCCCGCGACTATCTGGAACGAAGTTTGTTTTATGCGCGAAGATCATAAATTATGTCGAGGAAAAAGTTGATTGCTTTATATTGCATCTGCTCAGAAGTATTCGCAATGGAATTAGTTTTATGAGTAGCTCACTCCCATTATTACCCTCGTCCATGTTGAAGAGATCGTTGTTAAAAGTCTATTTAACTTGGGTAAGTAATAATCTTGTTTTAAAAGACTGGAGAAAAAAGCTTGTTGACTCTATGGGATGTGAATTCGCGCTCTATTTTGATTACACATTGCCAGAAGTGGAAAAAGTTGAGAAAGACAAAGTGTTATCGCTCGCGCGATACGGAGTGTTTTGTAAAATGTGAGCACAATTTCAAGATTCCGAAAAAGATAAAAAAAAACTATACAATTATCCTGCCAGATTTTATTTAAAATTATTCTTTACTATTTTAATTAGAAATATGTGTTCTAATCTATAATCATATATTATATTCAATGTATGCGTCTCTGGTAAAAGTTTATCAGAAAAAAGTCTCGCGTAATCGAGTCTATCAAGCAATTCAATATACAATAGTTATTTCCCCTATTTTTATAAGCACATAATGTGTAAATCATTTTTCAATATGATTTCAAATTCAAACCAGATTACAGAATTGTATTGAAAATTTTTTTAAGTACTGCTTTTGTTAAGAGAACAAATTGAAATAATTTTTAAAATATCACAAAATCGTTTCTAAAGAATTAATAGTAGATATATGAGGTCAATAAAAGTAATATATGAAATAAACAGCTGGATATCACGCTAGCTTTAGTTTATATCGAGTTTTATACCGAGAATTATTGAAACATAGAAAGTACAGACAAATAAAAAAATCAAATAGAATAGATACGTTTGAACTTATTTCCAAGCTTTTTTCATTATTTTTCTGCATTATGAATTTATTCTTGAAATATTGCGCTCATATTTTACGCAAGATACATTTTATATTGAATATGAGAAAGTACATTATCGCCAATTTATGTGAATTAAAGATAAAGTATTATGTCACATTACTTTTTCTCTCTCGTGCGATTCCTTCGTTTCACGACAATAATTTACATTTACAAATTAAACGACACGAGCGTTAAATTAAAATGCATAGCGTACACACGTATGCAGATATTGGATTTGACAAATCCGATTTCGCGGCTGGAACGTGTAACAGGCTTCAAAGATTGATTTTCGTCCATATTCAAATTTTTCATTCCTGCCAATGCCACGTCCAATTCCGTAACGTTAAAATGAATGAACGATTGACGGTTCGACGCGCATGCTTGCTCCTAAAAATCCGACATGACAAAAAATCTGAAAAAAAAAAAAGTACTCTACAATGATTTTTGAATTCTATAGAAGAATACACGTGATTATCGCGACGTAATAATTCGCGCTGATCCAACAGTCGCATTTTAATCTCCAGTCAGTTAAATGCAATTCGGCAGTGTTGAATCGAATTTTTCTTCTACCCTTTATTTTCCAGCTTAGACTAAGTTTTTTATTTGACGGGAGATGAGCAGATATTTTTTCGCAAATTATAATCCGCATGAATTGCATAGAGTTAGATTGGTATTTGAGGGAGGAGGGACGGAATTAGACGTCGTGCAGATGCAGCGAGACTGACAGGTAAAGCCTTAACAAGCGACGCGTGCAATTCATTGCAGTGAGTAATAATTCTCGATCGATTTTGATATCACTCGATGATTTTCATCGTGCGATGAAGTGTGGATACAAATACTCGATATTCTCTCATTCATTTATAACTGATCGAATTACGAATCATTAGAATTATCTGTGCAAATAATTAATGTCATCAATGTGGAAAATTAAATTCTAAATATGCATTTAAAAAATAGGGAGATTATATAATAAATTGGTTTGCTAGTAATAAGCGTTGTTTATTGGAAATGTAATTGGTGTTTCATTTCGCTCGACTTAATTTAATTAAAAAAATGTAATTTATGTTTGAAGAAATAAAAACTTTTCTCTCTCGAGCAGATTAAATCCAAGCAAAACACATCAGATATCGTATCGAAAAATAAACAACGGAATTAGTAGAGAAAATGGTTTGATGTTTTAAAGCACAGGTTTTCAGGCGAAACTTTATCGCGTGGAAAAAATCGCGATAGTATATAAATCACGCTAACTACATAATTACCGATCGTTAAAAAAAAAAAAAAGGCTCTCGCGCGAAAAAGTCTTTCGAAACTTTAACGTTGAACGCACTTTTCTCTTTCGCGCTCCGCTCGCATAAATTAATTATCATCGTTATATACATATCATCGCCCGATGAATCCACGTAAAAGTTTCATAAAATAGAATTTTTATCCCTGATTACTCACTGCAAGCGTGACTTTACGAAGAGAAGAGGGATACATACAAAGAGAATACGGAACAAGCGGTACAACACAGATAAAACTTTTCAGATGGCCTCGATCATGTAAGAATATTCCCATACACCTTTCTTAACGATATTCGTCGGTGCTTAGTAAAAGATATGATATATATAGATTAATTATAATAGCAAATCTCGATGGAACACCATAATTTCTGATAATCTAAAGCAGAGTTTCCCAAACTTTTTTAGCTCACCGCTCCCTTTTCAAAGATAATTTTTTTCAGCGTCCCCCTCGGGAAATCTCTATCTCTATTTCAACTAATAATAAAATTGTAAACATAACTATGTCTGTAATTTTTGAATTTCAAAAAGCTAGTTTGGAAATAAAGCAACTTGGAACCGAAACTTTAATGCTATTTATTAAAATAAAATAAAGAAATTGCACATAAACATAAAATTGCTCACTATTATTAGTAAATCAAATATTAAATAAATTCGTAATATATTAATCATTAATTTTATACACGACTATGTCTAGACTATGTATAGTCAAGTGGATAAGTTTGCTTAAAAAATGTTTCAACGCCCCTCCAGCGCCCATTTTGGGAAACTCTGATCTAAAGCATATCACGTCTGACTATTATTACACAAAACTACTTTATATGTCTCTTAATATCTTCTTGTAATATTTTTCACGATATTCGTAATTTTGTCTGCACTCAATCGAGTTATTATTATCATTTGTCAGTGGTCCATAACGTTATAATTGAATTGAAGTGAATTATATTGCAGACACCGATGAGAAATACCGTTGATGGAGTATCGGAGAATAGCTTCGCATCGGCCGAGATTAGACGTGACCTGACCGTGATCGGGCCAAACCAATACTTACGTGGGCGCGAAGGGATGTAGACTCGTGGCCGCAGCTGCGGCCGCAAGTGGCCCTGTATTCCTAACCAGTGCTAGCGCGGCCGCGCCGGTGGGGAAGGTGGTCCTTGGCGTTCCAGCTCTGCCGCGTTGAATGGCGACTCCTCTAAGGGCCGCGGCTGCAACAACACACGCAACACGCGCGCACATGCTAATTACACGAGGTTGCCTACCTTGGGGAGACTTACGTTGCTATCGATCAGGGTGCTTCCAGGTTGCTCCTTGAGGAACTGCGGCGCACGTCGACAGCCAGCGAGACGAGGGGGAGTTTGCGGCTTGATTTGATAGTTAGAAAAGATTCGATATCGATGTTTCGCTCGAGAATTAGCTTGCCGAGTATTTCAATTGTTCGAACAATTTCAGAATCTATCTTTCCGAAACTCCTAGAAAATTATTCGTTCTCAGCGTTCGATATACTTGTGTTAGCGTATTTATAGGTCGCTGCTTGATTGAAGTTCAGTTTCTTCAACTATGAGATAATTTTGATAACGAATTCTTTGATAAGTTTCAGAACCATTTTTCTTGAAAAGCTTGTAATTATATAATTTACTGTTCATTAATAATGTATCATATTTAATATACTAAATTTTTTTAATAAAATTTGAATATCTGAAGAATGAAATTTCGTTTGAAAAACTTAGTTTGTTGAGGATTTCGAATAATACTAAATTATTTTAATTTTTGTTATTGAAAATTTGAATAATATTCTGAAAGAATTTACGTAGAAAATCAAGAACCATTTTTCTTGAAAAGCTTGTAAATTATATAATTATAATTTACTGTTCATTAATAATGTATCATATTTAATATACTAAATTTTTTAAATAAAAGTTGAATATCTGAAGAATGAAATTTCGTTTGAAAAACTTAGTTTGTTGAGGATTTCGAATAATACTAAATTATTTTAATTTTTGTTATTGAAAATTTGAATAACATTCTGAAAGAATTTACGTAGAAAATCAAGAACTATTTTTCTTGAAAAGCTTGTAAATTATATAATTCACTGTTCATTAATAATGTATCATATTTAATATACTAAATTTTTTAAATAAAAGTTGAATATCTGAAGAATGAAATTTCGTTTGAAAAACTTAGTTTGTTGAGGATTTCGAATAATACTAAATTATTTTAATTTTTGTTATTGAAAATTTGAATAACATTCTGAAAGAATTTACGTAGAAAATCAAGAACTATTTTTCTTGAAAAGCTTGTAAATTATATAATTCACTGTTCATTAATAATGTATCATATTTAATATACTAAATATTTTTTAAATAAAATTTGAATATCTGAAGAATGAAATTTCGTTTGAAAAGCTTAGCTTGTTGAAGATTTCAAATAATACTGAATTATTTTAATTTTTATTATTGAAAATTTGAATAACGTTCTGAAAGAATTTACGTAGAAAATCTCATACGTCGCAAAGATGAAATATATATAATAAAGGCAGCTATATGAGAAGGAAAGAACTTGTGATCACAGTTGGAATATAACAGACTCTTCATTTTATGCGCATATCGACCGCACTGACGATATAAAAAAACAAGCAGAATCCATCGACAAACATCTGACCCTGTTTATGCAGAGGAGAGACCTTCGATATGGCACGAGCAGGAAATTTTGCTTTTCCTATCAAAAATTGGCTTTGGGGAATTGTGCTCGAGAAATAAACACGAGCACGGAAAACACCGGAAGACTTGACGGTAAAAGAAAATGAGGGCGATAGAACGATCAATTTCGAAAAATCGAAAAATAGAAAAGTCGCCTTCCCTTCTTATTCCATTTGCAGTTGACACTCGTGAAACGAAAGAGATAACTCGAACTTTGAGGGAACGAGACATTTATCCCGGTAAAAATACACCCCTTTACAATTTTTCGATAATTTTATCACTCGATTCGCTCGCGATAAATTTTTGTAGCAAATAGCACAGAGTAGGAAGACAATTTTCTGCGGTAATTTCAACTTTTAGACTTTGAAGGGCCCCGTCAATTAAAAACCTTCAAAATCGCAAAAAGCAGTATTTCAAAGGCTGTCAAATGGAAATCGAGATATCCGCGACGATTGAATCTGACGAGATCAAAAAGGAGAAAAGCGCAATGCGGATATACACGAGATATTTTTTCAAAGCAATCGCTTCTTTTTCCAGCTGATCTGTATCTGAATTTTTCAAGAGAACACTTTTTTTTCAACAAAATTGAACGGGATGATGACGCGAACATGTCGCGAGTCATCCATGATTGCGAAGCAGCTTGCATGATCGGGAGAACCTTTCCTCCGAAAGGGGAGGAAAGATCGTGGACGAATGCGCACTTCCGAAAGCTGACAATGCACAACGTGGGCTGCTGGGTTCTCTTACTCGGATGATGCATTTTAGATTCACGGCAGCGAGCTTCGCTCGGTGAATTTCGACGAGATTATGAAATATTAGTAGCTCTCTGTATTTCTAGAGCGAGACGGAAAACAATTTGGGTCTCTATTAATCATGTAAATTGCGAAACGGTGAGCAATTATATTCGGAGATGACGGAGAAAGGGGAGCGTTCCTTGATTAGACTGATTGAAATAATTTAATGGAATGAAAATCTGGCCGTTATTTATAGTCATTAATATTTCTCTAATAAATTAGCAAGACAAGTTGGAACAAGAATTACACCGCCATTGTTAATATCTCTGGATAACAATTTTAATTTTCCAGAAAGCGCAACAAATAAATTACATTGAGCTATCATGACAGATTATACTTGTGAAATATTTCTTAATTTATTTAACGTTGATAGATGATATGACTGGAAGAGCCATATAGGTACCTAACCTTGATGGATAGTGACTTTAATGAATAGCCGCCTGTACTGACGAAAACGACAAATGACGTTGAGTTATCGACAGATTCAATAGAAAAAAAAATATTGGCACAACAAACTCAGCGACGGGAAGAATTCCTTTTATCCTCGACTAGTCCAAGATGGAGTAATAAAAACTGTCGATTCTGCCTACCTTTTCATCGGCACGAAGTCATCTCGTCTTTCGGATCAGCTGCCGATAGAGCGATTTAACACAAGTGCTTTATCATTTATACAGATAATTGACCTTAAATAATTTTCACTTTGAAGAGAATAACACGCGACATTTTTACTTGCAATTTCTTTCGATTCAGAGAGAAAGAGAGATTTTATATTACTCATTGTATTAACTTGTATATACTTTTTTAAATGTAAATGTATTTAAGTATATCAAATAAGCAATAAGAAATTTTTCGTTTAAAATGTATAAGTATATATTTAATTTTACTTTTATATAAAACCATTACTTTACTATGATTATTTTTCTCGCTTTTCTAATAATATAAGATAATTATAAATGTATATCTCTTCAAAGCGCTGATTATAGAAAGACTTATGTTGAACAAGGTATAATGAATATATGCACTGTTGTTAGACTAATAGATTCAATTAAACGAGCATAACATCAACAGCATCTTTAATAGACAACTACCAACAACTGTGCAAGTAACGCGCGTGATGTTAGCGCAAACCAAACGAAAGTTAACGATCAACGACGAAAGGTTAATGGTCGGTTCGATTGCCGGTTATCTAAAGGCGGGTCAAGAATAAGAGCGTGATGCATAAATAGCAGGCGCATTCCAAAAAGAAGAGTGTGAGGAATTTGTGTGAGGAGCAGGGGGAGAGGCGGTGTTATAACCGCATCATAAATACTTTGTTACCAGGCTCGCGTGATCTGTGGCACAAAAGCGTAATCACTTGCTAACATATACATATACTTGTATTAGTAACAATCTCATTCTCTGCATTTTCGCTGGTTATTTTTGCGTCTATTTTTTTCTCGAAATTTCAGACAGGTTATTAAGAGAGATCGCGCTTATTATCTCATTTGGCAAAATTTTCTAATTTTCTAAATAGAATTTAAGAAAAAAATTGAAGTATTTAATTTTTATATTTTTTTTTACCGATAGAACATTGTTTTTACTTTTTACATTTTACTCTTGGCGTCAATTAAAACCGTAAACAAATTTGTTTCTGAAATGTACGTTTTACTCAAAATTAAAATGAGCTCAAAATTATAATACATCGCCGGAAAAATTATAGTTCGTTTACTCTGACATATTTCGCGAACGCGACACGCGCAAACGACTGGATTCATCCCGGATACGAATTTAAAAGCCAACCATGCTGAATGACCGCTGTCTTCGGCCGAATTTTACGAGTGCGCGTGACACGCCAATTAACGGCCATTAATTAATCGACTGCGCACGCGGTGGCAGATTGCCCGACACGCCGCCCCGGCCCGGAGGAAATTCAAATTTATGGAAATACGGTCCGACGATAGCGCGCCCGGCAAAGAACAGTGATATTACACCCGCGAACAATGAAAACATTGTCGTCCGGTTTAATCCGGCGGGCCCCGTCTGCCACTTACTCGCGATCGTACGTTCGCCAGTCGGTTGCAAAATTTTCGCCGCGAATAAAAAAATTCGCCGTTGAATACGCGCGTTATTAATTCCGGTGCGCGATCACCGCACATATAAATGAACGTGTCACCGATGTGCAAGTTTAATCGGAAACCAATGAGCCTACGAATTAAATATTAACCCTTCATCCATTCACTTTGTTCCAATTCTAATTCGTTCTCATCTCGTATATTGCTGTTTTGTTTCACGCGCGGTCGTAAATACTGATTTTTATACAATAGAAAAAAAGGAGGAAATATGAATTTACGAATAATGTTTCTAAAAATAATTTGACGCTAAAATATTTTCGCGACTTATGGCAGTATTATTTACGTAATCGAGAATTAATGATCTGTCAATCTTACGTATCATACGTATTTTATTAAATTCTCTCAAGTTTAGTGATAAATAATTGAATGAAGTCTACGCGGTTACTTCCGGCCACAGATCGAGCATCGCCCGAAACGAAAGTTCCTCCCTAGTAGTCGATCGGATTTGACTAACAGGCGAAAAATGCCGACATATATGCGTGCTCTAAGAGCAGAAACAATATATATATGAATTATATAAAAAGAACAAGGGAAGAGAAAGGAACATATCGCGTTCGTCCGACTAGCATCAATGCAACAACCATGGCAGAGCATTCGGGGTGAT